ATGTCACCACTTATAATTTTTTTGGGGGGGGGGGGGAGCGGGGGGGGGGCCTGACGACGACGACACGTGACTTTTGACGTCACCACCCTTCTTTCTCTGTAATTTACATGGACGTATTTACAAAACATTTTTTTTAAGTCTCAGGAATATATCCAGGAGATTCAGAAGTCAAATAAATGTATTATTTTGTTTAAGGAGGAAATTGACTTCTTGCCAATGATCATTGCAAAATAGGATCAGCTAATCGAAAACTATGAATATTGCAATGAGGTTACTGACGTCACATGAAGGTCGTGAATACAAAAAAAGCACATGCGTTTTGTTTAAATCTGTCAAGGTAGGATTAGAGTTTTGCGGTGGACGAGTTGGCATAATCTATCTTGCAAACACTCCGGATCTCCGGATTTTCGTTATAGTTTGAAGTTTACTGGGTTGGTGAGAGGGAAGGGTGGTGGTGGTGGTGTTTGGTGCTTGCTGGCTTGCTTACTAACATTTTTGTTTATCATGGGTTTATCATTCATCATGGGTTGCAGTAAAGTGCTTTTGTGGATTGATGGGAATAATAGAAAATACTCTTATAATTAATATGTTTCCAAAAGGAACATGGCAAGATAAGCCTAGTACAGCTGGTATAGGAGAGCACACACAATTCTGCTAAATCGAGTCAAAATAACTGGAGTACATATGCTACGAGACAGATCTAGCCCATTCATTGAATTTGCGGGTAGGGCCTAATCCCTATGTTAAACTTTTGGTGAGACTTTATCTATGATCTACTTCACATGTACTTTGCAACTTGGAATACCCATTTCTATTAAATCACGGGGGAAGTAATGTCACCAATCCCCACTGCCTTTAGAGCTGGGTATTCCAAGCTAGGGCAGCCATCCCCCCCCCCCCCCCCCCCCCCCCCTCAGTTTCGAAAGAAAAAGACTTCATGTTGTAGTGAAACCTTTCATGAACTGCACGTTTTTACGAGATCCGGAGTGTTTGTAAGATGGATTATGCCAACTCATCCACCGCAAAACTCTAATCCTACCTTGACAGATGTAAACAAAACGCATGTGCTTTTTTTGTATTCACGACCTTCATGTGACGTCAGTAACCTCATTGCATTATTCATATTTTCGATCAGCTGATCCTATTTTGCGATGATCATTGGCAAGAAGTCAATCATTTGCATTTCAAAATGGCGCGTGAAGTTGCTTGGTAGGCGTATTCATCAGTGTCATGTGTCTAAAAAATAAAGTGCCGAAAATCTACAGTATTCTGCAAGCCAGCAGCACAAGTTCTTCGTCAAGATGATTATCAAGTAACTGTAAGTTGAACGGGAAATGTTTGCTTTCGTCTCTATCGATGAAAAGATGTTTTTGGTGCCAACGTGGCGACTGTATCACGATCATGCATTTTTGCACGTAAGACCTGACTACGTAGACTGAATGTAGCAGAGTAGTGCATATATAGCCGGCCCCTATATGGCCATACACTGCATGGAGTAGACTCTGTGCTGTAGGTCATACAATAAAAATGTGATCAATTATTACCTCAGTTCCAATGAGGAAAGAATGCCATATAAGTACGCCACTAGGTTTTCCCTGCAATGACTCATGAACCATCAGAGAGAGGGATGATTAACATTTCCTATAAAAAGTGAAATTTAGCAGGTAGGCCTAGGTAGTCCGATCGAGTAACAAAAGTCTTGGACCCAACTAATTGCCTTTTTTAACATTCGGACATGGTCTGGCGTCGGTCCAAGCATGGAGAAATAAAACACAGCTAATCCGTATATGCCGAGCAGCAGAATTTTGTCCTTGATCCAAAAAACCCAACATTGCCCAACAAAAACATCAGATTTCACCCTCAAAATGGCCTGCAAATTACTAGATACGCCACCTGAGGTACAAGTAGACATTGATGATTAAGATGGTTGTACTGAAGTTTACTCACGATCCGGATAAAAATTGAAATTTCCCGTTCAATTCCGAGAGCTCCCGTCGTGATCGTGAACACGTTAAATTTCCGACTCGTGTTAATGTTTGAACGATGCGATGTGGTCATCATCCCAGCGTTCATTCGATGGTCCCGTATCCCAAGTGCCATTCTGTTACCGAGCGCGCACGATGCATCGATTATGATAATGAGTAGACTGGATCACGTTTGTAAACGCAAGTGCATTTCGAACGATAAAAGGGAGTCGGGAACTACGGCAGCTTTTATGGGCAGAAACCCGCTCAAGCTAGTTTCCGACTCCATGAGGTGGCGTATTTGGCACTTTGGTTGGGGTCTGATTTGGGGGTAAACTCTTACGGTTTTGGTGGGCAACTGGTACCCCTAGAATTATGGTGCTCCACGTACATTGTAAGCTTACACGGAGCACCACAGTTATAGGGGAAGGCGACAGGGTGATGAGTGTGCAATGATTTGTGCTCCAAGGAAAGAACCTCTCTAGCAAGGACCCTAGGACTGTATCACCAGATCATGACCAAATGGTAAAAACGGCGATTTGTAGAGTAGTTGTTCGGACTGGTTTGACATGAAATTCAAGATTTTTTCGAGGTCATGGAGCGATCAACCACATTCTGAGTGTTCTGGTGTTTGTCAGTGCAGTACTCAAACAAATGAGAGATGATGGGATGAACGCATACAGCTTTTTGGGCTTTCGAGTCGTTGGTCATCAGTTAGCAGACCAATTCAGAGACATCCGTTGCCACTCTCCAGGGATCAGAAATCCATCTAATACCAGTGTGATGCACCTATCAAGTATATGTATGACACACCTCATGACTCCCAGAAATGGTGTGTCATGTCAAAGATTGGGTCATCCTTTTGTGGAATCTGTACACACCCCCTGCGTCGGAGGAGTGACGCACCAATGGGAGACTTTTGAGACGTTGGTGGCAGCACAAACACTGGTCCTTTTTCCATGGGGGGGGGGGGTCATGGGATCGGTCTTACGACAGTTCATAACTGCAGTGTGAGAATGCTGTCGCTTAAGTTATCGGGGCAGTTTTTTTAATTATTTTAAAGTACTATCCATTCAAGCCTATCCAAGCAGAACAAAGGTATTGCCCTCAAAATGGCCACTGTGCCATATTTCTCCCTTACAATGTTTAGCTGGCTGGAGAACCATAGTTTCTCTTTGTTATAATTAAGGTAACAAAAAATGAGTAATTTGACACAGTGTTTATATAAATGTCTGTGTTGTCTTATCTTCGATAATTCATTGTCATTATTGTAGTAGATCTGTTTTGGGCCTATTTAAAATGATCCAGTGGGATTCAAGGAATGGTCTTTCTAGAATTCAATTACAAAATAATAAATTAATTGAAGGGCATTTTGGATATGAAAATGTATGCAGTATCATCTTGTTGGGGAGTTGGGGGAAACCCACCATCTATTTGCATGCAGAAGATAGATGTATGTGAAGGTGCATTTTTACTCACATTTTCAAAAGTCAATAATTTGATCATGTTTGTGGGACTCCAGATTGCATTTTTTTTTGCCATCAGAATTGTTCTTCATTTTCCAGAGTTTGTTTTGGAGAACTTTTGTACCTGTAGTTGTCGCCAATTTTTGAACTGGTGATGCAACAGAACAATTCAAAATTCCCTAGTCTATTGCATTGCATGTAGCCGCTCCAGAAAGTATTTCTTCTGAAGTGAAAGTTAGCGTGCCTTTCCTTCCAAAGCAGAGATCTGCTGTTAGTTGTCATGAATGAAATAGGCACAGACAAACTATGGGCAAGATTACCATATGGGAAGTTCACTAATTTTCCTCTCTATTGACTAACAAGCCCCCAGATAGCAATTTCATGTCATCAAAGTCAATTTGAGCAGTGAGAACATACAAGCATTTTCTTAGAAAACACTTAGAATTTTTCAGTCCAATCTCATAGGGTTTGTACACAGAGTGTTGAGTGAACTTCGTATATGGAAATCTTTCCAAACTATGTGAGCTTATTTGGGTTTTTAACCTGATTCTGTGAACACAAGGATTAAGTGGCAGGTGGCATGTGGATGCCTGGTTGAGGCAATGTATACATGTACTTGATGAACTGCAGTGCACATCCTGTGCTGTGAGTAATTTATCTACCAAAATGTGTATCGGGATGACACTTGTAACCTTGCGCTTTCCTGTGGTTTTCCTGTTTGACCACAAAGTGACTATTTTTCAACTTTTCCTTTTAGGCCCCCCAAAAAAGGCTCTGGTTTCTGGTGTGTTCGCGCGTTGCCGTAGCCATGCGTTGGCAAAATCAAAACATTTTTTTTTTTTTCAATGTAAGATGATGACTCAAAACCACTTAACTCACTGGTTTGACTGGAATCCTGCTGCTGCACAATTTTAACGTGTTTTTGGATGGGGTTACGATCGAGTATAAGCTTTATGTGGCCTCTCTGGGCTCCCATACATTTTGCACTCAATTTAGTCGGGCACCATTTGCAGTCATCAGCCAACATTTGAAGAAAAAACAAGTAAAAAAAACAAAACAAAACACGTCGCCGCACCACTTTTGGGGCAAGCTCCATACCAGAAACCGAAGATTTTTTTTTTGGCCGTATATATTGTATGACATTACAATTGTCATAGATTGTACTCAGCACTGCCAGTTGGCTAGTTGAACATTAACATTCAGTATAAATTATTTGATGTAGGGATGATAAACGTGAATTTTATCGAGCTTTATTGACCTCGAAGGCTTGTCAAGTACTTTGTGTAGCCATAAATAGCCATCATTTTCCTGTAAACATGTTGGTAATGATGATAAAAACAGAACCTGTTACAATTCATAGTGGCCCTCGTACCATGTTCAGACATGTTTGCACATTCACCAAAGATGTTTCAGTTATCGTATATTCTTTGTATTTACGATGATCACAATACAATTTAATGTTCTAGAAGTTCGCTAAAATTGGTTGAACCGTTTCATTAGAAAAGTTAAGTCAGTGTCCAAACCAAGCTCAGTCGTTAGGAAGTGACAAGTCTAAACCACAGACAATAGTAAAAATCACATGACTAATTCACAACACTGACAGTGACACTTATTATTAGTCATCAGTTGATACTTGAGCAAGTCACATGACTAAATTCTTGCCTGGTGGTTTCAACCCTGACTTCCACATGTGTGAGGTGACTGAAAATAATCCCAAAGGTCATTCAGATAGATCGGGCTTCTCCATTGGTGGAAACAGTCGATGTAACATATGACATGGCATTTGATTGGTCAGTTTGTGAACCCTAGTTGATAAAAAAGCAGAAGTTTTTGCTGTGTGTTATCAGTCTGTGGATTGACCACTGACCAGTCGGGGTCAGAACCGAAACCTCAGATAGGGGAATTTTGTTCGAAAGGTAAGGTTGATTTGTTATTTTGTAAAAGCCTGAATTGTATACATGCACATATGCATGTTGACATTAGTTCATATCTAGTACATACATGAGCATTCTGTTTTGGTTTCGCTTGCTTTCATTTGTTCTTTCGTTTGGCAATATGGATATTTTTATCCAGAAAAGCTCTTCACTTATTTATCAACTCACTGTATTTTTCCTGAATATATGCCGTGGTTGGCTTGGGAACCTCTCATCCTCGAATATATTGTTCACTGAGAACAAGTTCAAGTTTGAAAGAATCGACTGTGATGTAGTGTACTTCTTAATATGTTAATTCAACTGTGTTAATTCCTGTCGTGTTTGGTTTTGGACAATTGCCTTTATCAGACTGCCTTACAAAAAATGCTGGTACTCAGTTTATTCAATTGTACGTACCTATGCACAGGTTAACATTAATAATGCGCACAGTTCAGCCGCAACCGTTATGTTAAGTAATGTGATACCTTTCCGGGTTGTTTTCAATGAACTTTCTTTTCGTGCCAGGTGGCAGTATTTAAAGTGCAGTTGGTATCAAAACAAATTAACTTGTGAAAAGGAAAAATTAGGGGATTTATTTCCATCATAACTCAAGGTACTAATTATCTGGACTCATTGTGTTGCATTCCAGTCTGATCTAGGCTATGTATTGATCAATGGTCACCCAAAATTTGCAAACAAATTTCATTCCAGAATCCAGCAACAGCAAAATGTGAAACCATCTCAATCAAACAAAACACTATCTCAAAATCAACAAGAATAAAGATCTGGTAGAAAATGCGCACCGTTATTTTTTATCACTTTTAGAGCTTGAATTTATTGCAAAGAATTATTACTAGTGTGAACTTTGCCCATAATCTCTTCCTTTGTACAGACGATGAAGATTTATTACAGGCTTAATGCGAGTTGATGTATTATCAAAATCCAGCGTTGAGAGTCTTTCACAGTCAAATGTGCTAAAATTAGCAGTGGGGTGAATGGCGTATTCGCTCACAAGTGTAGATAGTTGAGTTTAAAGGGAATATACAACATTTGCAAACATCGAAAAATAAAACTACCAAGTTTTTACGAAATACCTTACTAGGATGTTGGTAAATGACATTCTCAAGCATCTTGTAAAATTATGGCACCTGGTGTGAAGTCATTTTCAAGAAAATTGTATTTTTGTAAACATTTCCAACGGTGGTCGGCCGACCAGCGTTGGAAAAACCTAACTATTTTTCAACTACTGCTCCAAATTTACCATTTTTTCAGTCCAAATTTTGTTTGCTATTGGTTACATGTTCATGAATGGGTGAAGGCCAGCTAGACTGGTTCCCTTGCCTTACAATTTTCCATCATCTATAAATTGATCCATTTTATCTTTTGTGGAGTCAGGGAACCAGACTACTTGAATATTTTTGTTTTTCTTGGTTTTTCCAACCTTTTCGAACACCAAACTTCAAAAATGTCAGTGTAACAATATTTGATCTATTATACTAACCTCTCAAATAGTTCATTTCTGAAAATTACAGCAAAAGCCAATGATGTACATTCCCTTTAATGACTCCGAAGGCAGCAGCTGTAATTGAGTCCAACAAGGAAGAAAAAAACAATGCTAATTATACTCAAACAGCTGACATGCATTTAGTTTGTTTAGATTCTTTGATACTTGTTGCATTTACATGTTAAGTGCAGCTGACGGACCAGATGAACATCTGTGCACATCTTACTTAATCTGCATTAATAACCAACTGGACAAACAGTGTATGTATTACAAGGAAATATATATCAACCACCGTTTTAACATATCTTGGCATCTTTGTTTGTTTTTTAGTTACTGTTTGATGGGATAAGCTAAATTGGAATTGACGACAAAACAAAGCATCGAAGGCAAATTGCCGACATGGATGAAGCTGTAGCAATCAATATGACCGAGGTAAGGGAAGCTTGCCAACAGACCCATGACAAAGATTTATCCTTACAAATGCTTTCAAATATTTCCTGCGTTTCTCAAATGATTTTTTTCTGACTAATTTGTGAATGAATCTGATCATTTTGGTAATGTTAAGAACAGGTACTGCTAACCTGTATCTGCAGTACGAAATTTTTTATTCAGTGGAGTTGCTGGGTTTAAAAGCGTATGTCTTGGCTATAAATAGTGTACGAGTTGACACAACAAACGAAAACAGAGCTGTTACATGTACAAGTATGTAATGCCTTAAAAACAGAAACATAGACAATAACCTGAAACGAACTCTCAAATATGCACAGGGCATGAAATTCTCATTACGTTTATTTGCACGAATTGAGCAATTTTCTTAAGGGCGGACTAGAAGGCTGCAATTCCTGTGACGAATTGTTCAATATTGATGATTGCTTTTGTTATTTTTTCTGTAGTTACCTCGGTCAAGCTCCTCGGACTCAGCCAGGGAGCGGAATCCTGAACTTGACGCTGAGATGGAGAAGGTTTTCCAGCCACCACCCAAATTTGAGATTCTTGATACCTCAGTGGAAGTACAACCGGGACATAACATTCACTTTGATGAGCAGGATTATGACAGTAAGTAAAGTAGAACGTCGCTTTAAGTATATCGAATACCGCAATTCCGTAAATTCGGACGTACATGTCAGACACTTTAATGAGCTGCTGTTGGAAAAGTGAATGTGAAGCATCACTAATAATGTGACGTCTAATGAGTAGAAAACAATTCCAGACCAACGAAAGGTACCTTGTACATTATGTGGTCGGACGTACATTGGATTTGATGGAATTGCCCTATGGTGAACAACTGGTTATAACGAACATCACCCTTTGGATCCCGAATTTTATGTACAGGTATACCAAACTTGTCTGAATTCTTTGGAAAAGGCATTCATATTGTCCATTTGTCTCACCAAGAATGCCGCTCAACTATTGGAACGTCAACAAATAAAAATCTTGTCAGCAGTTCTGGTAAATGTCCATGAAGATCGCGATATTGAATAGTGGGTCCGGTTCATGATCGGGGGCAAGCAAGGCAGTTTGGCCATGTTTGGAATCTTGTTCTTGAAGCTGGATGAACCAAGGTTAATGGAATGTTTCCAAAGCACTGATGTCCAGGTAACATTGCAACCACATGTCGGGTTCAGGGCAGTAGGTGTTGTAGATTCATTGGAACACTGCACATACTTCAGCGATGAAGATATTACTAGCATCAGGTAGAATACACTTACATGTGGGTGAGCCATAGTTCTGTGTACGGTCCTTAGTGTCCTCGCAGACCAAGTAAGAATTTCTCCTTTAACGTTTAGGAAATATCACAAAAAATGTCACACACAAGTTCCACAGATTAAGAAGTACTCACAGGTCTGCAAACATTTAAAGGATGGTAAAAGCTAACGGAGATAAAACAGGATTTAAAAGGAGATTTTCTCCACTAAAAAAATAAACTGGCAGCTCATGCAGAACGCCCTCTTTAAAAGTTACTGTTTGCAAGTTTAACATAAAATTGTAAATAGACATTGACGATATTAGATGAAGATGAAGAACGTGTACACCGTTGCAAATTTCTTAGCCAGTAGATTAATGAGTTTGGGAAATTGTAAAAGTCCATGGATTTCCTTCTTTTTTTCTTTTTGTTTAATTCGAACTGTGGAGCCTGTGACTGTTACATAACACAGTACTGTATGACTTTAGGCAAGTTGTGAAGAACCCCGAAGGATTGATCTGACATAGACCATTTGCTTCAATTATTTGATGTCTCTGTTAAAAATGGAAGTTATCAGGCATGGAACATTTTCTCGGACCGAGCTGATTGCCTCAATTTTTCACTTCAAACTTATGCCATTAGAAAAATGGAAACACACTGTATAAAGTGTTTTGTTACTTCCACCTTGCATGCCTGGGTTCTACAATAATTTGGCCATCACCAACACGGAGATGGTGTCACGCTCATGTGCATTTGGCACGCTTTCTTAATTTGAATTGCGAGTGTAATTTGAAAGCCCTATTGTTGTAGACGCACCGAGTGCACGCGTACCACGTGCGCGCAAGCTTAGTGTCCCATAAGCAGGGTTTTTACAATTCAGTTTGAATTCCACCTTTCGGTTTGCTTTTTGGAAGCTGGATATTCGAAACCAACCTTTAAAAAAATATTTGCCCTTCATTTTTGTTGTGACACAAGCTAAAGAAAACAACTGGAACATCCCCTAATTTGCTCTATGGTCCCTGATCGCAGCTGCATTCACTCACTAACAGTGTTTTTGATTCATGAATAGCCAACCCATGCGTCTGATCAGAGAGGTCCCATTCATTGTTTTTCAACATTACAGCTCTGGAGTGTTTTTGTAAAGGCCCAGTGGTCATTGAATCCTGCAAACCATACCAAATCATGGTGGACGGCATTGCATACATACCAACATCATACTGATACCTCACTCGTCCCTTTTTTCGACATGACAGTGAGCTGAATGGGAACTTCGGGTGTAATCAGCTATTAAACCCTTATTCAGTTTGAAAAAAAAATTAGGATAACTTGATTTTGAAATCTCCGATGTCTCCCACCACAAATTAGTAATGACTTTCTAATTTGGGTCACTGGATAAGTCGACAGAACATATTGAAACAGCTGATATTGGTACTCCCTAATACAGGACATCGACACCTGGACCATCACCATCACCATCATCCCCTCAGCCATCTACGCAAAAACAAGAGCTTCCCTCGAATGTCGGGACCGGGCGACAGACCCCATCATCATCACCACACGGGCAGCAAGCATCAACGGCCTAGTGCAGTGTCTAGCTTCACTGAGAGGACCGAGATCAGCCCGATAGCGGAGGGAGAGACCGAAGGAGAGGGAAATGAAGAAGAGGAGGCGGCAGGGGAAGAGGTTGAAGTCAAGGAGGAAGACGTTCAGCTTGACGTCAAGGAGCAGAAAGAAGATGGAGAAGCGAAGGTCGAGGAGGAACCGAGACGGAATGTACCCAAGGTAAGTGGTCAGGATAGAGGGGTGTGAAGATCATCGTTACCTTAGTCCAGGAGAGCTTTTAAGTACCTATGAACCTACGACGGTTGGTTACTAGAGTAGGTTGTTGCTTGAACCCAAAATAATTTTCTACAAGACTAATGAGAGAGTTATAAGAAGACAGAGGGGACCAGGGTTCAATGTCATGGAGTTACTTTGCCGAAAAACATTTCTTGGCAAATTTAAAGGTAGAGTAGATGATTTGTAGCTATCCAAAAAGTAACTGACAAGTTTATTGTAAAAAAGCATACTTCGTTTAAAGATAGTAATGGCACTAAACTCCCTGTGAAATTATTCTTTCTGGCTTGCTGTCATTTTGAAGAAAACACTTAAAGAGGGCAATTTCCAAAGATGCGTCAAGTGACACATTGTTGGAAATTTCCGTTAGTAGTTGGTTTGTAATTCGGTGAATCCGTGAACGGGTGCTTGCGGTTGCTAGTATTCGTCGGTTCTGTGCGTGAAAACGCGTAGCTGCAATGGGCTGAATGAGAACGTGTTCCAGATGTTGATTGCCGGCACAATTCCAAACTTGACTCTACAACTTTTGAATTGAAATCGAGATCCTAGAATATTGTTTTCTCGGAATATACAGTATTCACAGAGCTGAAACTTCATCAGATTAGTTGTTAGGCACCCGTCTTGAGATTTTGAGCACTTTTGTTGCTTCAAACGAAAAAAAAAATGCAAAAATGACAAATAATGTACCCTGCCTTTAAAATCTATAGTTTTCTTCTTGGAGATTTCCTAAACAAGTTGCCTATAAATTGTCTCATGTAGCATGGCTCTAATTAATTGATCACAAGAATGAAGGCTTAGCTCAGCTGTGGGAGAGGACATGGACTAGAAGGGTTCAGGAGTGCAATAAGCAAACGGTTAAGAAACATTTTTGCCTCTTCTTCAAACAGTTCATCATCGGTGACCCTGACCAAGACGAAGATGGCAGTTATCACATGGATGGTCAAGAACCAGAAACTACGGAAGAAGCTCAATCAACAGGAGATCTAGTGGAGTCTAAGAAATATCACCAAAAACACCACCATAGCCACCATCATCACCATCGGCATCATCATAGAGACAAGGAAAATCTTGTGTAAGTTGTTGCAGTTTAGAAAATGTCACAATTATTATTTTCAATATTTTGTTACGCCAAACAAGTGATTTGTTTTGTTTTGCATTCCTCGTAATGTGAAGGAAGAGAGGTAAAACCTCTTCATTTCTCACGCATGCAAAAATGTTAAAAAGATTGATAAGGAAGAGTAATCAGAGGTCACATAATCTGCCGTCATCATCAGACTCAAGATTATCTCCTGAATACCTGAATTCTTTTCTGCGTACATGATCGGGAATGCGAAGCTTTTTGTTGCCGTACGCGTTTAGCAAAAAACAGTGTGCACTAAATGAATCTTCTTTCTGTGAGTACCAGGCTTTGGACAACAATGTGTATAAGAGTCGCTCCCAACTCAGTCTTTGTAACTGTTAGTTCATGCTTACCCATGGCATTATATTAAATTACTAGAGCGCGAACTCCTCATTCTTGCACGTGGAGATGCTTTGAAGCCACTCTGGGCGCAGACATTTTGAATTTATGTGCGTGTTTGTAGAACACAATCAAAATAGATGGATTGAATTTTAAAAGTGTACTCTAAATGCAACGCAGAAGATACGCAAACAACTTGAGCGCGTCATGACGGTTCAAAAAAACGTCACAGCGAAAAGCATCTGCAGCGGTGGGACTCACACAGGTTGCGCTGTTTGCGTAGAGCAAAATGAAACGCTCATTTCCTGATCGTGAGTTTCGGTTTTGGGCGTATCGGCTTCGATGATGCACCGGTATGGAATACAAACGCAGATATGCAAATAGCCGTACAAAAGCCGTACAAAATTTTGAGTTTTCCATAGGTTTGTGCACAAACATGGATGCGCCCATCAGGCATTACTTTGTACATAGAGTTAGCGCTCTAGTAATTTAATATAGCTCTATGTGCTTACCCCACCCACTCCTCCGTGTATTTGTCCACATCTACAGGCCTGAAGACCCATCGCACCACCACCATAGACACCATCATCACCACAGGAAGCATAGCTCTACTGATGTCCCTGAGCTGCGATATCGTAAGGGGAGTAGCGTCAACTTGGAAGGATTGATCCCTCGAGTTCCTACAGAGCTCGATGAAGCTATGACACTCAAAGAAGCTGACCTGGATGATATGGCTAGTGAGTTATCCAGACATTGAAGCATTGTAATGAAAAATATCCGGTTTTGACTTCAGATCCAAATTGTATAAGGTGCCTTAGCACTTAAAGGGTCCATGATATGAATTTTGCTTAAGAACACATTTTGTGCCACTTGCTACTCTTTCAGTGTATGAAAACTGTTTAACATTCCCTTTTGGTTAATTTTATTGAAAAGTGCACTTCTTTTTAAAATTTAAAATTGTCCGTGCTTTTCCGGAAAACTGAGGGCGCTGTTGTTATTTCAGGAAGAAGTTCTTTTCAGGAGTTTTCTGTTCAAATTATGAACCTAGAAATGTGTTCATTGAAAACATTTGTGAGAAAGGGTTGCTCATTGTCTTACTGCCATGTACTGACGCAACAACGAGTCACTAAAGAAAAGAAAATTTACAACAGCAAATATCCAGAATTCCCTGACAAATTTTGGTGCTAAAATAGCAGGAACATTGAGGTTTCTGTCTGAAATGACATCACACTTGTGCTCATGAATTTGGAAATTCGCATGAGCATAAAAACCAAAAAGGCACCAACGCACCCTTGAAAATAGCAAAACGAGAATTAAAAATAATGTTAAATGGGACACAAAGGTACATTTTCAAGGATATTGCATTAAAAAATTACATTGCATGGACCCTTTGACAATAATAGAAGCTGAATATGTTCTGTTTCATCGAGTTCTTTTCTGAAATGGGCATGCGTCTATGCCTTCATTCGCACTTCTTGTATGAAAATGTGTTGTGCCATCATTTGATATGATCAGGTGATTTTTTTTTTCTTCATTTCATTTGAAAACTTTATCATGTGTAGTAAGCTGCATTGTTGAATCTTTTAAATATATTCATTTTTTTTCCTTTTTGGTTTGAGCCTCGCTCGCAATATTTCATGAACGGTTAAGATCCAAGTTATTTAGAAACCCTGAAGTATTGCAAAACTTCAAACAAAAATGAAAGTGTATAAACTACAGCAAGAGCACCTTCCTGTGTGACAATTTTGCCAGCATCTCATTCCTTGAATGTTTGATAATTTGTTCTGTATAGTTCATCGTCTGGCTGATGTTCCCGGGGTCCATCGACACCGAGTTACCAGGAAAGTCAGTTCCTTGATCCACATCGGTCAGCGATCCACTGAAGTCCTGGACCAAGCCGGCAAGGTTGCTGGGAAGAAGAAAGAGTTTGATCATCGACCGCATGAGGTGAGTCGAGAATGCTTTCCTCAAAATGTTTGGGTTAGGCCAAAAAAATAAGTCTCCGGTTTCTGGTATGCGCGTGCGTCGCCGTGGCCATGCGCGTCGGCAAAATGAAAAAGGTTTTTTTTCAATGAAAGATGATGTCTCAAAACCGCCAAACTCACTGGTTTGACTGGAATCCTGCTGCTGCACAATTTTAACGTGTTTTTAGATTGGGTTATGGTCGAGAATAAGCTTTATGTGGCCTCTCTGGACTCCCATATATTTGCACTAAGTTTAGTCGGGCACCATTTGCAGTCATCAGCCGACATTTGAAGCAAAAAAATCAGGTAAAAAAAAAAAAAAAAGTCGCGTCGTCGCACCACTTTTTGGGCAAGCTCCATACCAGAAACCGGAGACTTTTATTTTTGGCCTTAGGGGATGATTTTTAGTAATCATCCATCATTTTTGTCGTGATATCTTTTCTATATTTCTGTGTGACAGTTGAGGCTGCTTCTCTGTAACGAAGATTCAACCTTTGTTTGCACTTACAACTTAAATCTTTGATATAAGGGATTAATTCGACAGAGTTGAAACAATGCACAAATGCATAGAGCCTTTACATGTGTATGCGACATATTCAGCTAATACATCAGCTCACCGTTTGCAGAGTTGAAATTCTCACTCACATTTGTTATTCATTATTTGTCAATTTAATTCAATTCAGTTCAATTCAATTGAAAATGCTTTATTTATCCTTAAAAAGGCAATTACACATGGTCGGACAGCTCACTATAAAAAAAAACACTATAAGTAATTATAAGTCCAATAAATATATACAATTTTAAATAATTACAAAGTACATGTACTTGTCAGAGATCAAGTTAGATTGCTACATGCAAAGAGTTAAAGTTACAACGGTAAAAAACCATTTTGTCCATTAACTCTATTTTTGTGGATCAATGGAAAGTCTTAAAGAGGTTGTGGAATGCTCGAAGACTTTTCCGTCATTTTTCGGGTATATGTAGCCTAAGGTGTGATGAAATAAAAACGACTATTGTTTCTGTCATGAAATGAGTACAAAAGGTACTTTTGAGAGCTGTTTTTCAGGTCCTGTTTCGACCCGAACGTGCAATTTGTGTGAAAGTCGTCGTTGGGGGCAGCAAAAAAAACATAGTAAATCGTAACGTAATAAACAGGACTCCCTATGCAGCGTAGTATAAACGAGTCCTGTTTATAAACGAGTCCTGTTTTTAGTATAAACGAGTCCTGTTTATTACGTTACGATTTACTATGTTTTGTTTGCTGCCCCCAACGACAACTTTTACACAAATTGCACGTTCGGGTCGAAACAGGACCTGAAAAACAGCTCTCAAAAGAACCTTTTGTATTTATTTCATGACAGAAACAATAGTCGTTTTTATTTCATCACACCTTAGGCTACATATACCCGAAAAATGACGGAAATGTCTTCGAGCATTCCACAACCTCTTTAAAAGTTACTAGAACATCTATGCCCTTGTAATCAGCAAATATCCAGCATGACCACAATAAGCAATTTATAGTACATAAATAGACCTTTCCCATACTTTCATTTCCACCAGGTCTTTGTTGAGTTGGATGAGTTGTTCAAGGTCGAAGGTCACGACATGCAATGGAAGGAGAAAGCCCGATGGATCAAGTTTGAGGAGGATGTTGAAGAAGGCTCTGATAGATGGGGCAAACCTCACGTCGCTTCCTTGACATTCCATAGTCTGATAGAGCTACGCAAACTCCTAGCACATGGTAAGATCAGGAAGGCTAGCTCAGGTTTAGGTCTGCACGTTTGTCTTGCTTTTTGTATTTCTTTTAGATCTCACCTACACTTCTGAACTGCAAGGGGGAACTTGTCGTATGAGAGACCTGTAGATACGTTGCATAATTTGAATGGGAAGCCTTGTTGTGCTAAGTTGAAGCCCGAGTCCATCATTTGCAGCTATCCAAAAAGTAACTGGCGTAATTATTGTTGAAAATCATACTTGGTTGAAAGATAGTAAGGGGATTAAACTCCCTGTGAAATTATTCTTTTTAGCAAGCTGTCATTTTGGAGAAATCAATGAAAGAAGGCCTTTCCAATGGTGCTTCTTAAGAAGCACCGTTGGAAATTTCCATTAGTAATTCATTGTTTTATTCGGCGAAGCGCACGTGCGCGTGGTTGCTATAATTCGCCGGATTGGTGTGCGACATCGCGTAGCTGCAATCGGCTCAGTGAGAAGGTGTCTCGGACGCTGAATTCTGGCCCATTTCAAAACATGATTCAGCAACTTTTGATTTGAAATCGAGATCCTAGAATGTTGTTTTTCTCAAAATATACAGCTGAAGCTGAGCTGAAACTTCATCAGGTCAGTTGTTCAGCACCCTTCTTTAGAGTTTGAGCAGTTTTGTTGCTTCAAAAGAACAAAATGCACAAATTACAAATGATGGACTATACCTTTAATCACTCCTGAACAAAATTGAATATAGACCATTCCAGGCACGCTGTCACTTCTATCACGAAGGCCCCCTTCAATGGCGAAAGCATTGAGCTAGCCATTGATCAGATAATCCGCCATGGGGCAGTAGCTTTGTACAGTAGCTAGCACAATGCTTTTGCCATTGAAGGGGGCCTCGCGTGTGTGTACAGAGATCACGTCCCTGGATTCATCTACAGAAAGGACCCAATTTGAAGAACGTGTGAATTTTTGTTCAGTTTGAACACATCATCCCGGTCCTCAAAGTATTACACTGGCTTCCTGTTGAGCAACGTATAATATTCAAACTCCTCATCACCTACCAGTCTATCAACGGAACAGCGACTCATATTGCCATACAAGCCTGTGCGCCAACTACGCTTTAGTGATGCGCACAAGTTTGCTTGTGGCTCCATCTTCAAGGCTGAAGACTTACGGAGACAGAAGTTTTTTCTGTTGCAGCCTCTCGCCTATGGAACAGTCTGCCAATAGCCATGAGGTCACAACCTGAACCTGACTCTTTCAAAACTTGTCTCAAAACTTACCTCAAAACTTACCTCTTCATTCAAGCTTATCATTAGTTATCTCGGACCCCATCGCAGTGAATAGGTTTGTCCAACATATCTCAATCCACCAAGCTTGCTTTCTTCCGATCCTCTGTCGGAAGTATCCTGCTCTACGGTGCCGAGACATGGTCTGTGAAAGAGCAGCTTAAACAGAGACTAGATGGCACCTACACTCGCCTCCTCATGAGAGTGCAAAAGATATCGTGGAAGGAACATAAGACAAAGGCAGAAATTCATGGCAACATCCAACCTATCTCAACTACAGTGGCACATCACAGAGCCCGCCTTGCCGGTCACTGCTACAGAGCCAAAGAGCAAGTTGTCTCTGACCTCATCTGCTGGAGATTGCCTTGCCCCAACAGAGGGAGGAAACCCCTCAACTATGTTGACACTGTATGCAATGATGTGAGCCAGCACGTTGATGACATCACCACGGCCATGGCGGACAAGAGAGTCTGGAAGAGTTTGGTTGCATCCATCTCGACTGCGGCCACCCAATGATGAAAATGATGATTGTCTAGATACCAGCACTTTATAAATTTTTACTTTTATAATACGTAATCACTAGGAGAGCACTTTCAGCATTCCCATAAGAAACTGTGCAATTTGACCTTTCTCTTCTTCTGACAGGTGCGACCCTTTTGGATTTGGAGGAGACACACTTGTCAGATATCTTCCATCGGATCGTCGAGAAGATGATTATATCAGATCAGATCATGGAGGAGAACACGGGCGATGTAATGAGAGCTCTGCTGCTCAAACACAAGTAAGATTCTCCTTCATTTGCTAGTTTCTTCATTTCTTTCTTCAGTTCTTGAAAAGTTGCCGCACGGTTATTGATTGGTTGCATTTAAAATATTGAACGGCATTTTGAAATCTCCAGTTGTGATCAAATTCAAAAATTGGAACTCGATCGGGACTCCAAAAGTGCAAGCATCAACGACACCTATATTTGCCATATTTGCAACTGCATTAAAAAGACCTATTCTTCCCCTTATGTTTTGGATTTCGAATGCTTTGTTTTATTGCTGTATCGTTTTAGTGTTGAAATTGTTTTGCATGCTCTTGTTAATTTGATGGTTAATTTGACAATTTACGTGTACCGCATCCTTGCAGCACCTAAATAAATAGATGTAGCTGTCAGCAAGATCTCTTTCCACTGGTAAAGCTTTCAAATGTATCCCCAAAGCGCATGAACACAGACACGTCTACTTGCGTCCTGCCACCTACACCCAGATACCCTCACCTTGCCACATACCCGCCTGTTCCCACCGTTCAATGGGAGCATTGCTAGATTTCTCCTCAATTTTGATCAATACTTCCCACTTTTGGGGGATAAATATAGTGCAAAGGTTCATCTATTTTTGGTTGTTGCAATGTCTTTTTTTTTTCTTGGCAGCATTTTATTATGATTTATGGCTTTGTTTGTGATCTAATTTGGAAGAGCTTTGTAAACAAAACTACATAGAAAATGCACCCCATGTCGAGATGTCCTTCTTTGCCAATTGATGCAAATTTTCTGAAACTGAAATTATCCGGTATTGAATTAATTTGGAGCAAAAACTTAACTTTTCCGACTTTGCTGTTCCAATGATAAACGATCATTCATAACAACTTCAGTGAGCTGCAATGTTCATATCTAAATTTATCACTCATTATGGACATAACTTCTCATGTTTGTTGTGTTGATTATCAAATCTAACATTTTGAGGATTATTAATCCAAAATGAACGAATTCCATAATATCAAACAATGCCAGTGTGTGCGTGTCTGCATTGCTGTCAATATATAGTTGTAATGTCACGTAAAGAGTGCTTTCCTCATAACATTGCATACCACAACACGCTATTCTTGCATGACAATCAGAAGAGATGGAGTATACAGCGTGTGTCAATAAAAACGCAGGATTAGAAACAATACTATTAAGAATATAAACCACCCCTATTCATCATAATGTTAACCCTCTTTTCAAAGTACCTTTCCTTCTCTTCACTATGCTTTTTATCCCATCTCATTTGGACAATCCTGTCCAGAGATAGAGTACATTGAAGAAGGGTTATAAATTCCAAGCTGGTCTGATTTGTGAAATCACACATACCTAATGAAAGGTTTGAATTCAGTACAGGTGAAAGTATTTGTGGATCACAAAGAAGGACATGTGTGGCAGGATTAGGCTTACATAATCCTTTAGTCCACAATCAATGTTATTAGTCAATAATTCATGATGCTTTGAAACAATGATAGTCCAGTTATTAAATTTAAGTGATACTTATCATCAGTTGTTTCAAAGAAAGTTTTGTTCTGGTTTAATTGTCTTCAATGCATACCTGCATTGTACATAACTGGTCGTTGTGTTAAGGTCATTGAATCAGACCAACCCGCTTCAGAAGGGCTTCACAAAACTTGTCATAACTTTTGAACCAAAAGTCCAAATTCCACCAAACAAAAATCTTGTCAAAGATGAAATTATGGACAATCAAATCCTTATCAAATTAGGCACACCAGTAGCATAATTTTCTCAGAAAAAAATCGCTTTGAATCCTGCGTTTTTATTGACACACGCTGTATCAAGGGATAAGGGAGTCGCCTTCCCAAGTGCTGCATTTGATCAGCTTCCATAAATTTTAAAGGGGAACAAATTTACAGGGCTCACAGACCATAATTGTTAGCCCTGTTCCTCATTCCTGCAAAACATTCCTGAATTCAGCTCGGCTCCCAGGGGGAATACAGCACAGTTTCTGCTACTTGGCACAGAGTGCTTATTCACACACAGCAACCAACTCTGCCCTTATAAGAACCAACGGTACCCTGGGTGGGAAGAAGCAAATTTTTGGAAAAACTGTCCCACAGGATTGGTTCATGCACTCACATTGTGGACATACCCACAAGATCAGCAAGTTCTCCAATGAACCCTAACCCCCTTGAGTGATTTACTAGGAACCTTCCCCACTCTTACAAATTACAACACCATATGGTAAACTCTACACCCAAACTGTTTGGTTCTGATTATGGTGGAATGCCTGACCCCGTGTAGAGCATAATCAGTTTACTAGTTCAGTACTCACTCCAATTCCGACAAACCCTGGTGTTGGAGTTTGACTGGATGGGGATTGTTAGGGTTAAAGTATCAGGTCCTCAAAATCAAGTATCCTACCCCTTTCCTCCTGGTTATCAGTGAGGAAATGCCAAAATATAACAGACTTCCTGACAGTTTATATAAAACAGCTTGATCTTGGAATGCACCAGTTGTTTAAAAGTAGCTTGGGTTTAATAGAAGGTGTAGACCAGAATGTTAGCGTTTTACTCTCAGCCCTAGAGGGAGCTTTCCAATGACCTCTCTTGACCTTCCCCCTGACCCCAGGCACGTGCATGAGCGTCACGGCCTGCTGAAGAACCTATCCACAGTCAGCTTATCCTCCATGATTGGTGGCCATCACCATGACAACATGCATCGGAACGCCCAATCAGAGGTCAATTTCAGGTGTGGTTGCTATGGTGCCCAACTGAGCACCAACTTTTTCTCTCCCTTTTTTTTAACATTTTTTTTTTTATTTAGATGATATTAGCTTAAGCCTTCTACGTGATTCTTCAACGGAAACTTTGTAAAAAAAAATTTCTGCATGGTCATTCCATTGAGACACATATTAATTTGATATAGATTGAAGGCAAAAGTTGAGACATGCTAAAAGAAGCTTGGTGCAAGCAGATATGTAGTTTTTTTAAGCAGTTTTTGCAGTAGTTATATAGTTAGGCTGTATCCTAAAATCCACGGGATCAAGGGAGGTTTCTGCTTTTTTTCCACTTTTTGTTCATTTGTAAAGTTGCTCCAATTCCTTCCACTTAAAAGATTTTTTTTCTCAGTCACTTTTTTTCACGTTCATGTTCACATTCCTCAATTTTTTGCCGCAAAAAAAATGCATGCTTTCTATTATTCTTGCACTGAAATTGTATTTTCTCATTTGTAAAGTTTTTGCCATTTTTAAGAATTTTTTTTTTTCAAATTCATTAATGTGTTTCCTTTAACAAACAGGTTTGTGAGTGAACATTATTACCTCAATTTACAACATCAGTATAAACGATTGGTTTCATTTTCTTGGAGAGGTGAATGACTGTCTTTGCAAGATGACAAATTAGAATGATGCAGTGACCTTTCTATTTTGTACTTAAACTTATTTTTTAACCTCCATTTTCCGCTAACATTGACAATTTGCTGTAGGCATCTCAAGGAGAGTCATGGCATTCTCAAGAACATGTCCGCCATCAGTTTGACTGGAGGGCATGATAAGGATAAGATGCCCAAACATGCCACGGAACCAGCAGATATGGAGCTTACATATGAGGTAAGACTGTAGCTCTAGACTACAGATTCTAATCCTTAGATCTCAACATTCTGACTGTTGTTCAGTTGGATGACTGAACGCATGTTAATGTTCAGACTTGAAGAGGTTGTGGAATGCTTGATGACATTCCCCTCATTTTTCGGGTTTATGTAGCCTAAGGTGTGATGAAATAAAAACGACTACTGTGTTTGTCATGAAATGAGTACAAAAGGTACTTTTGAGAGCTGTTTGTCAGGTCCTGTTTCGACCTGAACATGCAATTTGTGTAAAAGTTGTCGTTGGGGGCAGCAAACAAAACATAGTAAATCATGACGTAATAAACAAGACTCCCAATGCAGCGTAGTATAAACGAGTCCTGTTTATTACGTCACGATTTGGTAAATTGTTTTTTTTGCAGCGATGGTCGGCCGACTATCGTTGGAAATTGATACCAAAATTCCACTTTTCTTGAAAATGACAACACACCAGGTGCCGTGATTTCACAGGATGCTTGAGACTATTATTCACTTACAGTCAAATATTTCATAATAATTTGGTAGTTTTGTTTTTTTGACGTTTGCAAGTGTTGTATATTACCTTTAAAGGTTTCGACCTTCCCTTTCCTATTAGCATCATTTAAGAGCATCTATATCTGCCAAAAATCAACTTTGGATTAAATAAAACTTAGAGATTATAGCTTCTTCAAAGTAAGGTAGTTTAGAGTTTTTAAGAGTTGTGTATATTAAAAAGAATACTTTTTTTAATCCTACGGAAGCGTTGGAATAAAGCAAAGACGTATTGAAATGATCATGATAAGCTCAGTGTTTTCTCACAAAAGTGACACCGCCTTTGTCTTAAACAGGCTAAAATGACTTGCCCAAATGACCTTACGTTAACAGTGACTTGACTTTTGGTGGATTTAAGGTTCAAAGTTGGTTTGAAAAACAGTTTTCCTGTCCTTGTTATCTTGGTACTTTGTAATTTGTCATTCAAGGATCATTAGAAAATACTTCAAACAATTTTTTTTTTATTTCTTGGGTGGGTAGTTTGCTATTCATGATCACTCTTCGAAGACGACTGCATTAATAAGTGCATCAGAATTATAAAATCATAGCTGTCAGATGTAGCAGGGACAGGAAAAAAAAAGTGGACCCCAAACTTATGAGCTCCGTGCGCCAACAAAGAGGGCGCCCATGGGCGGGACATTTCGCTGGTTGACGCGCACCCTTCCTTGTGTGTGACGCACGTACACCAGGGGATTTGTACTATGTACACGCAGTGGCCGCGCTTCGCGGCAAATGAATTGCAGTCAGGCAAGATGGCGTCGGTCGATCACCCCCAACTGTACTCTCTTTGCCAGTGAGGGGGTACTTGTGAACGGAGCAGATAGAATGACCCACTATAAATTTGCCAGATCAAGTTTTGCTCTTCATCGATGTGACTTGACTTATTGCCTTTTAACTTTTCAGAGTGAGGTGAAAACGCCAATGCTAATGGAATCGAAGGAAGAAGTCAATATCCCCGACATAGATGACAACACACCCATGAGCAGCCAGCATCAGACTCCCGCCTCATCACGACCGCTCCACATCTCTCGTTCCTTCGCCAAGAAGCTCGACCTGCAACGTCTTGAAGGAATCATGCGCAAGATTCCCGCAGACGCTGAGGCTACCACCGTCTTAATCGGCGAAGTGGACTTCCTCAAGAAACCGGCCGTAGTCTTTGTCCGTCTGGCCGAGGGGACGGTGTTGGAGAACTTCTCGGAGGTCCCCATCCCCGTCAGGTTCGTCTTCGTGTTGCTTGGACCCAGCATCAGCACGGTGGATTATCATGAGTTGGGTCGTTGCTTCTCTACACTCATGTCCAGTGAGGTAAGCAGCAGGTGCATGTGGCTGTGTACACGTTTCTGTCCTTAGGAAAAGCAGGGTTCCCACAGTCATGGACAAAATCCTGGGCCCAATTTCATAGAGCTGCTTAAGCACAAAATTTGCTTAAGCACGAAAAAGCATTTCTTAGTAAAAGTAGGTTACCGGCCAAAACTCCATGTAAGGTGCATTGCTGGTGACTGGCATATAGCTGTTGTTTACTTAACATAATAATCGAGTGGAGTTTTGGCCGGTTACCTGATTTTATTAAGCAAGACTTTTTTGTGCTTAAGCAAATTTTGTGCGTAAGCAGCTCTATGAAATTGGCCCCTGGAATTTAAAGCTATCATCAAAAGTCATGGAATTTTGTTGTTTTCAAGTAGGCATGGAAAATTGATATCCAGTAAAAAAGTCATGGAAAAGTTGTAGAATTCTGCAAATACATGATGATATATGTGACGTGATGAATTCGTAAACTTTGGCTATGGCAGCCTTCCAGTTTGCATTCCAGTTTACTATATTTCCTCTGTATACGTCTATGCCCTATATTTGTTGTATGTGCAATGCACCATGGGCCTTATGCACGAGTCGGCCATTTATGTCAAGTTCCCTGAATGTATTTCATTAATTGTTAACTGTTGAATGGGATGGCGCCCGACTATTTATGCAGGCATAATGCAGCCTTTTTTTACTGTCTTTTTTTTATCTGGCTTTAAAACATAAGGAAATGTTTAATTACCGTGTAACCGTGCCCAATCTCATACTAGTTTGGCCCTTGCCATTTATTTTGAAGTAATTATTCACCCCACTCCATCCCTCCATCATATCCCATAGCACTTCCACGAGACGGCGTACAGTGCCGACTGCATGGAGGACCTGCTGAGTGCAATGAATGAGTTCATCGACGATTCAGTGGTCCTTCCCGCTGGGAATTGGGACAAGGAGTTACTGCTGCCGATCCTACGCACTCAGAACATGAAGATGAAGCAGAGACGACAGATGAAAGAAGCCATCACAGAGGAAGACGAGGAAGAGTTGATGCCGATGGATATCACTCAAGTTGATCGTAAGTTCCAACTCTATTGACCTGTCGCCGTTTGCGAGTTAGCCACACCCCTTTGACAACCGTATGGAACTTTGTAGGTTAAGTTTTGGTTGTCTTAGATTTTGCGCTTTCTGCGTCCATTTGTAGATACTGTTATTGGACTATATTTCACAAGATGCGTTGACGCAATTCTACTGCGATACGATAATTATGTCGTTGCATAAAGGTCAAAGATTTATCCCAGCATTCCGTACACTTTGCTCAGCTAAGTAACGCCTGCATGATCTACGAGTCACTCTATTAATTTGGGGTCCACATTTTTTATTTCTGTCCCTGTTACATCTGACATCTATGATTTTATCATGCTGATGCAGCCCTCAATTCAGTCGTCTTCCAAGAGTGATTAGGAATAGCAAACTACCTACCCAAGTAAATTAAAAATCTTTTGCAGTAATTCTTAATGATACTTGAATGGCAAATTACAAAGTACCAAGGTAACAGGGACAGGAAAAATGTTTTAACATTGGACCCTAAATCTATAGAATGAAACCTATTCTTTTACCACATGTGGTTTTTATTTAAAACAAATAAACCCTTCCCCCTCCTCAAACAAAAGGGACAAAAATCACTCTGCTTTGTGACAGCTTTTAAGATATGTGATGCGTTTAAGCTAAATGAGTCGTTTGTCGAGAATGTTTATTTAGAGATACAGGCCAAAATAGGGCCACTTCATCACATCTCTTGGTGTTCTGACTTCTGTAATTTTTGAACTAAAGATGGTACCAGCATGCAGTTTTCACAGCAGGAATGCTGAGATGGTGCTCTTTTCAAATCTGTAATAAACAAAAATTTACCAGGGTCGACAAACGACTCATGTAGCTTGATCGCATCACATATGTCCATGGGTCTGCATATCAGTGAAGATACAAAATGTTTGTAGCGTCAGGCGTAGCAGTCTAATTAATGACCCACAAATTAACAGTGTTTACACTCTATAAGACTTAACCCTATCTGTCTGCTTAGTTTTACTAAGTAGAAGACCATGTCCGTCAAAATCCATCACTGACTCTGTTTCACATAATGCTTCAGGACCAAATCTGTTGAAATCCATCACTGGTGCTGGTGGATTTTAATGGACTTGGTTCACATGGTTTATCTGCCAAAAACCCTCAAAATGGGGGATGGATTTGGATGGAGTTGGTAAGGTTAGGGGCAATTCCACGGTTACTCACGTTACATTTTTGATGTACTTTTGAGTTTCCTTCGGCTGTAATTACCTTACTGAGAAGGTTTAATAACTGTTATCCCCATGGAAGATAGAGTAGACCTAGACCTACCTAAGCACCAAAGATGACATCCAGAAAAATGTGTTATGTATGATAAACAAGACGCACAAAATCAGTTACTCACGTTACATTTTCATAACGTGTGTAACCGTGGAATTGCCCATAGGGTAAAGATGTACATTGTGGAGAATCAGTTAGTAAAACATGTTGCTCTAGCCTCTAATTTACATCAGGTATGCAACTTTTCCTCAGAACAGCAGATTTTATTCCCATATCTGCCATTGAAAATTAAAAAACACTGCACAGATTCTTTTCTAGTCTTGAAGTGACCTCTATATTTGGTTTTGACAGTTGCATACATGGTATCTCTGTTTGAGATACCAGTGATGTGCTAATGCAAAAAATCCGTTACTCATTGTTAGATATTGTGGATTGTTTTTATTGGGAAAGATTTTATAGCATTTACTAGAGTAATGTAGCTCACTTATTTTCAGCTGTTTCTGAAACGTAGCCTGATGTACAAGTTTCCTTTGAAATTTCGCCCATTGTAGACAAGGTGAAGCCTTCCAAGCGCCGAGCCAAGCACATAGACCCATTGAAGCGCACCGGGCGTCTGTTTGGAGGTCTTGTGAATGACGTCAAGCGACGGTATCCATGGTATCTGAGTGATCTCAAAGACGCTATCAATTTACAATGTCTGGCTGCAATGTTCTTCATCTTCTTTGCTGCGCTGTCTCCTGCCATCACGTTTGGAGGTTTGCTTGGTGAGTCCTCATCACAGTTCTCTTCAGTTTGTCGGAGAAATGTACCCTACGTTTCCAGTGTCTGTTTAATTCATTTTGGGGGGAGGGGGGATTTTAAAGTTATAGTCCATCATTTGTAATTTGTGCATTTTGTTCGTTTGAAGCAACAAAAGTGCTCAAAATCTAAAGAAGGGTACTGAACAACTAACCTGATAAAGTTTCAGCTCAGCTTCAGCTGTATATTCTGAGAAAAACAGCATTCTAGGATCTCAATTTCAAATCAAAAGTTGCTGAATCATGTTTTGAATTGCGCCTGAATTCAGCGTCCGAGACACGTTCTCGCTGAGCCGAATGCAGCTACGCGATGTCGCGCACTGATCTGACGAATTATAGCAACCAGGGGTGCGTGTGCGTCGTGCTAATGCTTGCGCGCGCTTCGCCGAATAACAAAACGAACTACTAATTTAAATTTTCCTACGGTGCGTCTTAAGAAGCACCGTTGGAAAGGCCTTCTTTCGTTGATTACTTCAAAATGACAGCTTGCCAGAAAGAATAATTTCACAGGGAGTTTAGTCCCCTTACTATTTTTCAACCAAGTATGTTTTTCAACAATAATTACGCCAGCTACTTTTCGGATAGCTGCAAATGATGGACTATAGCTTTAATCATGGCCCACACATCTAACATTCATTCTATACCAAAAGAGTGTGCAAGTTGCATAAGATTGGATTTGCATCGGGATAATGTAAATTCAATATCGGGTTTTGCCCTTCACTAACGTATATCTGCTTCAAATCAGCCAGTTGACTCCGGCAAGCTTGGTGTCAAGTGGTAAGACGTCCGTCTGCGTTTGTAAGCAGGAGGTCGTGGGTTCAAGTCCAACCCGAGTGATTTTTCTTACCAACGCTCGTGGGCATGCGTGAGTATACAGTGTTAATTAGATACGTCGGTGAAGGGCAAAACCCAATATTGAATTTACATCACCTGACGCAAATTCCATCTTATGCCTATTGGCATTATTAAATTCAGGTTTGCATTTCTTTCTTTTTGTTTTTGACAGCTGATAAAACAGGCAACCTGATGGGTGTATCGGAGATGGTCCTAGGCACAGCAATCTGTGGTGTGGTCTTTGCCTTGGTATCCGCCCAACCTCTCATCATCATTGGTGCTACAGGACCGCTACTGGTCTTTGAAGAAAACTTATACTCTGTAAGTATGTAGTCAGAATGTCTGGACTAGATCTCACTGGGTTCTTTGGAAGGGGGAACAGGTTGGCATAGCAGTACCTTCCATGCCTTCCTTCGAATCCCCCCTGGGCCAACATGTGGATTTGGTTTTCAGTCCCTGCCTGATTTTGTGGGTTTTCCCCTTGAATATCACTCCATAGGGTTTGCTCCAACTACTAAAACTTTCATTTCCTTCCACATCTTCCACCAAGAAGCTGAAATAGGTCGAAAACTTTTGTGGGCTATCCCGGCCAATCGCCGAATAATTACAAACAGACAGACAAACAACCAAACAAATTTGACAGTGAATAACAAGATGTTGGACACTTGAGTGTGCCACTTCTGCTGTGCATTCCTCAGCTAAGACGCAGTGAGAATGTGTACCCTAAGAAGAAACTTGGAGGTGCGTACTCGACATCATATGCGCATGAACCACTGTGCGCATGAACCACTGTGCGCATGAACCACTGTGCGCATGAACCACTGTGCGCATGAACCACTGTGCGCATGAACCACTGTGCGCATGAACCACTGTGCGCATGAACCACTGTGCGCATGAACCACTGTGCGCATGAACCACTGTGCGCATGAACCACTGTGCGCATCAGTGTGTCCCACACTCATAGGCTTTTGTGATGTATTGACAGGCAACAGATATTGCATGGACACATTTTGCAGTGTAAGGGCTTTTAAGTGCATGTGATATTCTGTATGATTTTTCTATCTTTTTGTTTACAGTTCTGTGTGAACAGTGATATTGAATATCTTCCATTCCGAGCCTGGGTCGGTATTTGGATATTCGTCATCTGTACGTTCACGGTAATGCTAGACGGCAGTGTTCTAGTGCGGCTCTTCACGCGATTCACTGAGGACATATTCTCCATTCTCATCTCCTTCATTTTCATCTTTGAAGTTTTCAAGAAGTTGTCAGCTGTAAGTTACCGCCTTATTTGTCTTCACCATCGTGATCCTATTACATGTTTTATTTGTGTTTTCATTCGAATCAAAGATTTAGGAATGCTAACATTGAAATTGGGGTACAGGATTCATACAGGTGCAGCACATACAGACATTAAGAACAGTCAACCGAGTGGGGACAAGTAACACGATTTCAGAATTAAAGAAACTAAAAATTGGAATTGATTACTGGAAATTGATCACCCTAACCCTGCTAAATGCAACAGAAATCAACAAAGGTAAAAAGTTGTTGCATTCTGTTGCATTTAGCAGCACTCTCTATTCCCCATGCTTTGTCGCATCTTGTTGCAGTTAGCAGGGTAACTGCTCATAGTGCCAAGGCTGATACAACAAAATCCACTGTTGCATTTGGTTGCATTTAGCAGGGTAACTGCTTGGTGCCACGGCTGGTGTGTACTGGACTGGGCAACACTGCACAATGCAACAGAATCCACTGTTGCATTTGGTTGCATTTAGCAGGGTAACTGCTTGGTGCCACGGCTGGTGTGTACTGGACAGGGCAACACTGCACAATGCAACAAAATCTGAAGAAGGGTACTGAACAACTAACCTGATGAAGTTTCAGCTCAGCTTCAGCTGTATATTCCGAGAAAAACAGCATTTTAGGATCTCAGTTTCAAATCAAAAGTTGCTGAATCATGTTTTGAATTGGGCCTGAATTCAGCGTCCGAGACACGTTCTCACTGAGCCGATTGCAGCTACGCGATGTCGCGCACTGAGCCGACGAATTATAGCAACGGCGTGTGTGTCGTGCCAATGCTTGCGCGCGCTTCGCTGAATAACAAAACGAACTACTAATTTAAATTTTCCTACGGTGCGTCTTAAGAAGCACCGTTGGAAAGGTCTTCTTTCGTTGATTACTTCAAAATGACAGCTTGCCAGAAAGAATAATATCACAGGGAGTTTAGTCCCCTTACTATCTTTCAACCAAGTATGTTTATCAGCAATAATTACGCCAGTTACTTTTCGGATAGCTGCAAATGATGGACTATAGCTTTAAAGCTTTAGTCCTATTCTTTGAATTTCTGTTTTGATCAGCTTCAATGAAGAATTAAAACAAATTTCACAATTCACATTATATGCAGATTAGAAACAATCATGATTAACCCTTACCCTACTAGACCCTCCAACGCATGCCAATATGTGCCTCAAGAAAATCTCCTATGTTTTTTGCATGGCCCTCCAATATCTGCCATGTCATTTCAAGGGTAACTGGACAGGCACTCCAATACATGCCACAGAGAACAATGAGAGTCCTCTGATAACAAAGTGAGTGCCCCCAGCTGGTCAGTATCAGGCACCCTCCAGGGCCTCCAACTCCTGCCAATTGGAGCCTTCACTGTTAAGACAAACTATCTGCCAATAAACTGCAGCTGGAGGGCATTGGCATAACCAACTGACATGCAGTAAACTACCCTCAGAGAGTAAGGGTTAATGGGCATCTCCTAGTTTGTTTGTATTTGATCTCAAGTCTGAGATAAATTGTAGAAAATAAATTTTGTGGCAATGAAGTAAAGCCAACCTTCCCCCCCCCCCCCTTCTCTATTCTTTAGGTGTTTGCAACGCACCCCCTTCTTGATGACTACTGCTTTGATCCAGCGGATGACACCAACTCAACGGACATCTACAACGACACAGAAATGACAACTCCATTCTACACGGCTAACAGCACAGACAACAGCACTGGGGCAGTCTGTACGGTATCAGGGGAGGCAAAGACCAACATGCCCAATACTGCATTACTCTCTGTGATTCTCACGCTTGGAACGTTCTTCTTGGCCTATTTTTTGCGGATTCTGAGGAACAGTCGGTTTCTTGGACGAGGGGTGAGTTCTTCCGATTGAAATGTTTCATCTGAGCTGATGAATAAATTGACTTCTAGATTTTGGAAAAAAAGAAAATTTCATTTTACATTAACCCACTGTTATAACTTATTTAATGTATATTAAAGGTTTGATTTTTCATTTAAAGTGCAACTTTGTGAAATGAATTGAATGTGCTTCAGTTAGCAACCATATGTCATACTGTCCTTGTAAACACTTGTCATGGACATAAATGTCATTCATTTTTCTCTCTAAAATGCTTACAGACAAAAGATAGTACCAGGCCCCAATTTCTTAGCATTGCTTAACAGTTAGCATAAAAGTCGTGCTTACTATAGCAGAAAATCATGCTGCTGCTTAAGCACTATTTCATGGCATGGATGCGCTAACGGTTGGGCGCGATGGAGATTTCTATTGTTACATCACTGATTTAAGCAACTTTTTCTGTGCTTACTGCTTAAAGGTCTCTATGAAATAGATGGAGGCTCGGTAAGCACAAAGTCAGCTGTTAAGCAATAGGAAATTGGGCTCAGGTATATTTCCCGACCAGAAATTGAGGAGGGTCCTAAAAAAGAATTGGACAGCTGTGGACATTGTGGGTTGAATTTTCAGAAGTTTTGGTTTCATTTGCGGTAAACTCTGTCATTAGACTAGAAAATCTCCTTACCCCTAGAACACCTTGGGATTGTATGCTATCAAATCAGCAGCAAGATCGGGCAAGAATCATTGGTTACCTGCATTCAAGTCTACTTTATCTGTGGAGATCTTAACCATCTTTTCCAATCCTTTCTCCTAGGCGCGTAAGACCATTGGAGATTTTGGCATCCCTATTGCCATTGTCATCATGGTGATTGCAGATTTGTTGGTTTCTCCAACCACTTACACCCAGGTAAAATCTGAAATCATTTCTTATATTTTGGTGGTTAACGACGATGCACTTTGAAAATGTTGGGCTATTCCTCACTCCATTTATATTCACTGAGATATCACATTGTCTGTCTTATGTAGATGTAATCAGCTGTAAGACCCTAATGTGATTAGAACTCCTAAAAACTTGGAAGGTGCGAGTTTATTTTCTGATACAGCTTTGCATGTTTATCATTCAGGCTTTTAGTTTTGCAAATTTTATTGAGTCTTGAGCTTGTAAAGCTGAAATGTTTAGTCAATCATCATGTTGGCTCCTTTAACCCCCAAATTTCTCGGTCAATTTTTGTCTAAAGCAGCATCTTTCCTTGTAGCCTTTGGTAAACAACGTAGTGGAAATGAAACATAATTTAAAACACTTGTAAAAAGGTGAAGTCTGTCACCAGCCAATGTGGCCTATCAGGCCGGCGTTCATCTCCGGTTTCAGTAGCATGAAACGACTGAAAATATTTCTACTTCCCCTGGATGGGATGCTAGTCCATTGCAGGTTACTCCCCATCCAATGCCGGTACCCATTTATACTCCTGGGTGGAGAGCGGCAAGTGGGAGTGAAGTGGCTTGCCCAAGGACACTACATAATATGTGACCTGTTCTGTCAAAAGCAGATGCTTCTGGGCAGAGGTTGAAATGAAGATAGGGCCAAAAATGCTGTGGAGGTGATTTTTTTCCATTTTCTAATTTTTGAATATTTGTAATCCTGAACATGCCTAAAATATACTATAAAAGTTTGAAACCCTAATTTGAACTCTAAATATAGTATTTTTGATGATTTGTTGAGGTATATTAGTTAAAGAAATGTCTGTTTTGTGACGTTCGTGGCCATTTTCTACATCTTCTACTTTTCGACACAATGAACTTCAAAATAGCATTACTTTGCCCAGGAATTACAGGTTTCAAAAATTAAACCACCTATTAAAAGGAAAATGTACATACTTCAACAATATGCAAAAATCTCATTTTGACAAAACAGGTCACATATGACCAGCAGCTAGATTTGAACCCCTGATCACGAACCCTAACCACTAGGCCACACTCCCCACACTGTGGTCCTTACTATTTATATATTTCAGGTTGGTCAAGTTTACAGCAGTCTTGTGTTTTTGAAACAATTCTTGTTTATTTTCCCGTACAGAAACTTGAAGTGCCCAATGGTTTAGAGCCGACAGATAGCTGTGCCCGTGGTTGGTTTGTCAATCCCCTCGGTATAAAGAAACCTATCTCTGCTGGTCTGGTGTTTGCAGCTGTAATTCCTGCTGCCTTATGCTTCATCCTCATCTACATGGAATCACAAATCACAAGGTACGAACTGCATTTGATATCTTGATATCAGTTACTTATAATAATAATAATAATAATAATAATGAAGATTTATAAAGCGCACATATCCACCTATTAAGGCGCTCAAGGCGCTATAAACACAATAAATCTAATTTACTCAGAAAATAAACATAATACCAATAGAGAGAGAAAACAAATTACAAATTTTAAAATAAGAAACAACATATACACTCTGTTGGTGTCTTGGTGCATTCTTCCCACGTGAACAACATGAAGGTCGGCCTACATCGTCAGGCATCTCCAATTCAGATGTAAACATAAAGATGTGGCGAATGCACACCGCCACCCACGCCGCTCATGTGATCAGAATGCACCTGGCTCAGAAACAATAAACGGAATGAAATTTTTAAAGCCAGATTCATTAAGCAAAAGCCAGAGTCATCAGATGTGTTTTGAGGGATGCTTTGAAGGAGAGAATGGAATCAGATGTCCTAATGTGTAGTGGTAGCTGGTTCCACAGTCGAGTTGCCCATTTATCCCTTTGGTCACAGCCCATGGTGAGTGTAAAGGAAGTCAATCTTGACAGTGCTGTAGTCAAGTCCAACAGAAGCCTGTCACAAAAAAAATTAAAAATGGGAAGCTGAAGGGATCCTCAAAGCCAAGTTTTGATTACATTTTTGTGACTTTCACCAACAGCTTGATCATCAACAAGAAAGAATTCAAACTGAAGAAAGGCTCTGGCTTCCACTTGGATCTGTTCGTCCTGGGCTTCTTGGCGTGTTTCAATTCCTTCCTGGGTCTCCCGTGGATGTGCTCCGCTACCGTCAGATCGGTGACTCACGTCGGAAGCTTGACGGTCTTGAGTAAGACTCACGCTCCCGGTGAGAAGCCCAGGGTAGAGGGAGTCCGGGAGCAACGGGTGACGGCGTTCCTTGTCAATCTATTCATTGGTGAGTAAAGGTGGTGTTCGAATCCCTCCAGGTACACTGTAGGCAAATGTAGTGAATGATACTTCCCTTACCTTCCACATAAATGACCATGGTTCACATCCCACCAGGTACCACAGGAGTGAGTTGTCCCTCCCTACTTGCTCGCTTGATTTCCTTCTACATATTAAACCCTGTTAGTGTAGTGAATGATACTTGCCTTACCTTTCACATACGTGACCTTGGTTCACATCCCACCAGGTACATGGAGTGAATTGTCCCTCCCTACTTGCTCGCTCGGTTTTCTTTCTTAGTATTAAACCCTGTTGGTGTAGTGAATAATACTTGCCTTACCTTCCACATAAGTGACCTTGTTTCACATCCACCAGGTACGTGGAGTTAATTCTCCTTCCCTACTTGCTCGCTCGGTTTTCTTTCTATGTATTAAACCCTGCAAATGTAGTGAATGATACTTCCCTTACCTTTCACATACGTGGCCTTGGTTCACATCCACCATGTATGTGGAGTGAATTCTCCTTCCCTATTTGCTCGCTCGGTTTTCCTTCTAAGTATTAAACCCTGCAAATGTAGTGAATGATACTTCCCGTACCTTCCACATAAGTGACGATGGTTCACATCCCTCCAGGTGCCACAGGATTGAGTTGTCCCTCCCTACTTGCTCGCTTGATTTCCTTCTAAGTATTAAACCCTGCAAATGTAGTGAATGATACTTGCCTTACCTTCCACATAAGTGACCATGGTTCACATCCCGCCAGGTGTCACAGGAGCGAATTGTCCCTCCCTACTTGCTCGCTCGGTTTTTCGTTCTACGTATTAAAGCCTGTTGGTGTAGTAAATGATACTTGATTACCTTCCACATAAGTGACCTTGGTTCACATCCTACCAGGTACAATGTGGAGTAAGTTTTCCCTCCCTACTTGATTTCTTGATTTTCCTTTAAAAAAACTCTTTAAGGTTTTTTTTTATCTAAAACCCTACTTGGTGAGCATAGTGAAGTACACCCCTGGCCTTCCATCTCAGTTGGCCCAAGTTTGAACCTAGTGCAATGTTCGCAGTTAATTGTCTGTCCCTTCTTGATTGCTGGCTTTGTCTAAGAATTAAATTCAGGGTCCCCCTGCACCTTTGCAACCCTCTGTTCACTGTGGCAAATGATTACTTTCCTTGTGTTCCATCTCGGGTGGCACCAGTTCGAATCCCTCCTGGTGCGCCATTTGGATTGGACTTGTCAGTATTCTTATCACTAACTCTTGTGATTTAAGTTCCTACCACACCTTAAACGGCCTTCAAGGGTTTTTTTTTTCTCAAAAAAGGTATATACATGTAGGCGGGTTCATACTTCATGCGAAAGTGAAAGCAGGGCGAATTTTTACGACGTCAGCAATTGAAGTTTCATTGTGACATTTGCCATTACTCCATTGAATTTGCTTTGCACTAAAATTTGCGTAAAGTACGAAACTGGCCATTATTCAGATTGAAGTACTTTCTTGAATCCTCACCATTATAAACCCTAACCTTCCCAAATCCTCCAAAATCCTCTCTACAAAATGGAGCATATGGCAGAAATGTGTGGCTGATTTTGGAGAATGCACTGTGTCAGGGTCTTGGGCCGGACATTGTGTTGTTTATGCTCAGCCGAGCATAAACTTAGGCCTATATTATACTTGAAATCCTCCGCACTGCTCCAGGTTGTCACTGGCTCTGCCTCAACATATTGACAGTGATTGCTGGAGGATTTTGCAGGATTGAGGCAGTGGTCACCCCTCCAAGGACCACATTCAAGAAATAACGGAGAATTTTGGAGGATTGAGTCTGTATGCAATTTTGACATGGAGGCAGTTGGAGGATTTTGCAGGATTGAGGTTGGATCCTAGCAAAAAATGCCTAGGGAGTTAGGGTTAAGGAATAAAAGAAACAAGTCCGTCAGTTTTTTTAAAATGTGCTTTCTTTTGGTTTCTCCTATTGTCATTTGCAGGTTTATCTATTGCTCTAGCACCCCTCCTGCGACAAGTTCCCTTAGCCGTTCTGTTTGGTGTCTTCCTCTACATGGGCATTGTATCATTGAATGGTATACAGATGGTGGATCGTGTCATACTCATGCTGATGCCTGTCAAGCATCATCCAGATGTGGCCTACACCAGAAAGGTGAGTAACAATAACCCCACAAAAAACCTCCTAGGAATTAAAGGGAAGATACAACATTTACAAACATCAAAAACCAAAATAATCAAATTATCACAAAATACCTTACTGAATTGTTAGGGAATGACAGTCTAAAGCATCCTTTAAAATCGTGGCTCCTGGTGTGCTGACACTTTCAAGAAAAACTATATTTTTCCAACGCTGGTCGGCCGACCAGCGTTGGAGAAAACGTGCTTTTTTTCAAAAACTGCTCCTAATTTTTCATATTTAGTTACTCGAAATTTTCTTTGCAATAGATTACACATCTGTGAAGGGGTACCAACTTTCACCTTGAAATTCCCCAAAATCTATAAATCAGGGAGCCAGATTACAAAAACATGATTGGTTTTCTTGGTTTTTCCAGCATCTACAGGCCCAAAACGTGAAACAAGTCAGTTTAACGATATTTGCTATAACATACTACTCCTCCAAATCCATTTTTTTCCCCTGAAAATTGCAGCAAAAGCAAATGTTGTACATTCCCTTTAACGCTCAATGCATTGAAAGTGCGATACAAAAGTGAACATCCGTGGACGAATCCAGACACGTGATCATTGTACACATACGGGGGCCCCCTTCAATGGCAAGCTAATTGGTGCAAAGCTACTGCCCCATGACAGTAGCTAGCACAGTGCTTTCGCCACTGAAGTAGGCCATCAGCCTGGGGGTTTGGTCGGTATCAAATGAGGGGAATAATGCTCATTGTGATTCTTGGCAAGGTATGCACCCCTGTATTTAAAGAATATGTGATAGCATTGCAGCGGTGGAAGTTTTTTGGGTGCTATCACTTTCTGAGAAAAAAAATGGCGTCCAAGATATGCTTGATACCACATATAATTAATCCAGTAAAAAGCATATTGGTGGCCATTTTGAAGAAAAAAAATTTAAAAGTGATAACACCAAAAAAAGTGCCACTGCTCACACTGCAAAGCTATCACACATTTTCCAACTCGAGATGTGCATACCTTGACAAAAATCGCTATGAGCATTGATCCTTTGGATCATTTGATACCGGGGGCCCAGTTTTTGGACCGAAGCTGATAGCCTAAAGGGGGCCTTCATAATAGAACCGATAGCATGCCCGGATTGGTTTATAGACAAGCATTTAAAGCTTAACACTTTGCTTCAGACCATTGTTCCAGAGTTTTCGCGTTGAACTAAATAACTACGAGGAGCAACTCATGTCAACCTAAATACACTTGGGTATCAGTCCGTCATGGAACAGCTCCTGCTGCAAATGTCAAACTTATACATAAAAAAATATTTTTTTTACTTGTGTTTCATTTCCACTACGATGTTTACCAAAGGCTTAGGGGAAAGGTGCTGCTTTAGAAAAAAAAATGACCATGAAATTTCAGGGTTGAAGGAGCCAACCTAACGATTTACTAAACATTTCAGCTTAACAAGCTCTCAAGACTCAAGAAAGTTTTCAAAACTAGACGGTATGTCTACTTGGCACAGGCCATAGTTGAAAAAAAATGCAAAAACCCAACAGGGATGATTTGTTTTTGATTTTCAGATTTATTGATATTAGTAATCTTTGATACCAGTATGTCTCCTACACATATTTGTTAAAGAAACAGTATAAAAATCGTGGAATAATCAAAAATTTGAAGGCCTTTTTCTCTCAGTATTTTATTTTGTTGACATGTCGATAAATGCGAACTTTAAACAGTCATAACTTGTCGACGGAATGTCTGATTGAAGTGCAACAAACAGTATTGTAAGGATTCAAAGGTGAAGACATTCCGCATGCACCTGTAAAGGCGTTTCATATGCACCTGTTTGCCAGCATCCATTTGATGTGCCTAGCATTCCTGAGTTATTCAATTGTTCCATTTTGTTTATGTCAACAGGTGAAGACATTCCGTATGCACCTGTAAAGGCATTTCATATGCACCTGTTTGCCAGTAAACAGTTGATGTGCCTAGCATTCCCGAGTTATTCAATCGTTCCATTTTGTTTATGTCAACAGGTGAAGACATTGCGTATGCACCTGTTTACCAGTATCCAGTTGATATGTCTGGCCTTACTCTGGGTTGTTAAGAGCACAGCAGCAGCGTTGGCGTTCCCGTTCTTTCTGATCGTACTGGTTCCCATAAGGCAACTCATGAAGAGGTTGTTTTCAGCGTCCGAATTAGAAGCAGTAAGTATCTCTGAATAAGATGTTCAGTGTTGCAATGACAGACCAAATGAATACACTTTAGATTTTGCAGGGGAATATAAAGAGGTTGTGGAATGCTCGAAGACATTTCCGTCATTTTTGGGGTATATGTAGCCTAAGGTGTGATGAAATAAAAACGACTATTGTGTCTGTCATGAAATGAGCACAAAGGGTACTTTTGAGAGCTATTTTTCAGGTCCTGTTTCGACCCGAACGTGCAATTTGTGTAAAAGTCGTCGTTGTGGGCAGCAAACAAAACACAGTAAATCGTGACGTAATAAACAGGACTCGTTTATGCTACTCTGCATCGGGAGTCCTGTTTATTACATCACGATTTACTGTGTTTTGTTTGCTGCCCGCAACGATGACTTTTACACAAATTGCACGTTCGGGTCGAAACAGGCATGACAGGACTTGAAAAACAGCTCTCAAAAGTACCTTTTGTACTCATTTTATGCCAGAAACAATAGTCGTTTTTATTTCACCACACCTTAGGCTACATATACCCGAAAAATGACGGAAATGTCTTCGAGCATTCCACAACCTCTTTAACAAAATCACTTTGCAAACGTGAAGCTCAGGAAAGCTTGTTAAAAATTGATTTCGGTCTTTTGCAAATAAATAATCTTTAAATTTCTTAAATGTCGATTAAACCCCTATTCACACTAGACAAATCTCGGGGTTGACGCAGGGTTGACGCAGGGTTGAAAACATGCATCGTTTCACACTTGAAGAATTTCAACCCTGCGTCAACCCTGCGTCAACCCCGAGATTGATTTCACCCCGGGTTGAACACAACCCTGCTCCAGACCAGGGTTGAGATTTTCAACCCGGGTTGAAAGTCTTGCCAGGTTTCAAAACAGTAGTAACTGAGCATGATAAGCTTGATTTGCATGAAACAAGTGTGAAATGATGCGGGGTTGAATGCGGGGTTGAAAAATCAAAAACTCAACCCGGGGTGGCATTGGGTTCGCCCGGGGTTGAGTTCAACCCGGGATGAAAGGCTCTAGTGTGAAAAGGGCTTTAGAGTATAACACTGTGTCATCTATCCTTGACAGTTTATGTTGATCAATTTGCATAAAATCTTGATGCATATGTGATGTTTGTGATTACATTTTCCACCAAATTGATTGGTAAAGTTATTGGTTTATCTCTTTTTTTTAACAGCCATTAAAGCTTATTTTTTTTTGTCTTCCTTCATTTAGCTTGACAGCGAAGAAACAGAAGCAGATGCGGAAGACAAAGATGAATACCAAGCATCTCATATGCCTGTGTAAGATGTTGGGAGAATTTGACTAATGCCAATTGCTACATCACTGAAACGCAAGTAAATTCTTCCAACCGAGCAAAGGTACTACAGTACTAGTACTAGTACTAGCAGCTGATGTAAGGAGAATTTAATAGTATTTTGGTCCATTTTGTAATGTGCAGTTTGCCAAAGCCATTTATGTAAAGGAAATTTAATTACGTTTTTGATTAGCATGGACTTATGTAAAGTACTGTAAATAACACTATTGGAGATTTATCTTGAACTGGTTGCAGTTGTCAAAAAGCTATTTTTGTAAAAGTAATGTAGATAGTTGAGTTATTAGAAAACAGCAAGTTGGGTGTAGACACATTTGCCTTTGGGTAATTCAAGCATTATTAATGTCAGTGACAGAACCAATTAACCATGATATCTATAATGATTCAGAGAAATGATCCAAAACTCCAAGTCTGTTATCTCCTTGACCATTACTAGATGATGGATGTATAAGATTTGAAAAATACAAATTTCAGGTTTATTTACTGGGTTAAGAGCCCAGTGAATAAACCTGAAATTGCAACCAGTTCAAGTACGATGAAACTAGGCTCTGTCACAGACGCTACATGATGCTGGAATCACCCTTTTCTTTATTGTCGTATTGTTACTTGCTCAAACAAAACTCTGTTTTCGTTGAATGTTTAATTGTCTGAAATATCTCTAAGAATATACGACAAATAACTCACCATATTTCTGAAGAAAAGTTGCCTAAATCTAACCCTCTCCTTTTTTTAAATTAAATATTTGTCAATAAGGATTAACATTTTAAAAAATCTTTTGACCAAACACTATTTTGGTTGAACAGTGGCCACAGACAGTGCAGTGTTCAGCACAATATATTGAGATTGGTTTAAATTTTGAGGAGCCATCAGGAACGATGTACTTAATTTTTGTTTTTAGTACAGCTTTGTTTTAATATTTCACCTAAAGCCAAAACTATTGTACTAAGTCTTAGCAGCTCATTAATAATCTTGCTAACTTCAGTCTATATTCACTACAGAAATTGTTGAAAGTTCACGTGTTTGCATATATCCTCATTCACAAGAGGATATGCAGAATGCCATGGTCCAGTGGTTACGGTTTTTGACTCGTGTACGAAGGTGCGTGGGTTTGAACCCGGCCAGGAACATGGTGTTTGTGCCCTCGGGCAAGACACTTTACTACAATTGCCTCTCTCCAGCCAGGAGTATGAATGGGTACCTGTGAGGGTCGAGGACCGATTGAGCGCTGATATCGGCTGCCGCGTGGTCCCATGGCCTGATGAACGGGGTAATAATTGTAAAGCGCTTTGATATTGTTGATACGATGGAAAGCGCTATATAAGCGCAATTATTATTATTATTATTATATTTATTATTTTTTAGTTCACAGTTTCACAGTACTTTTTAGATCAGGCAAACCGACATGTTCAAGAAATGTTGGCGTCTTTTTCTGGATATACCTTGAATTTTGTATGAAACCCAAAATGAACATATATCGTACTATTCTTATTTGAAATATTTTGAATTGCATAGTACGTGACCAGTTGTTTCCCCACATTGTATATAGCTTTAATTGGACCCATCTTTACTGCAACTTCTCAAAATAGTTCTGCCATTTGAACTACATATACCAACAAGTGTACATCAAGTGCCTTTATACATAAAAAGACAGCTCTTGATGTAAAAGTGATTTAAAGTTGTTTGTTTTTTTATTCCAAGGTTCAGCTATTATGTAGAGAAAGTATGTTTTTCTCTAATCAGTTTGTGTGCTGTTAAACCTTTTTTCGCACAAAATTATGAGTACTTGTTAAGCGTTTTAAAATTGAAATCAGTGTGTCTATGTATTCCACTAGTGCATTCCAGATACAAGGTAATTCTTGTACTGAATGCGGTTTGACGAGTGCATGTAAAAACTCTGTAAAAATGTCCACTGATACATATAGGATGTTTGTACATTGTTGAAAAGACTTATTAAAAGTACTGATAAAGAACTGTTGAAATATAAAATGTACAATTGTATATTTTAATATTTTATTAAACGTTTTCTTCTCGTTGCATGCTCTGATGAAATCACTTGCTTGGCTTTTTGTGTGTAACATTTTCATAAATGAAAAATCTGTGATTAAAATTAACACAAACAAAACAAAGAAATCATACAATGGAAAACACTTTTTAAGTTATCATGTTCCTCAGTGTATTGGAAGGATTTATTTCTAATTTCTTTTTTTGCAACGGTGGTGTTTGATCTACAATTTAAATTATGATCCCACACACACACAACTATTGCAACCCACCCAAGGGATATAATGGTTGCATTCATGGAGTTATGTATATTTACATCTTACAGCCAATAACAACACAGCTTTGAAACAGTCATCCAATCACCTCAACCGAAGAACCAATCAGCTGTTTGACTTATCACTTCTCTCATGCTATCTTCTCTCTGATTGGTCACTGAAAATTACGGTCATATTATGTCCATCCAATCAGATTAAAACCTGTATACACACAGTGACCAATCCATAACATAGTTAATTGTTTAAATCAAAATAGATCTGACCTTTCCATTCTTGGCACCAGTCTTGTAAAAAAAAAACTGAACTCATTTTGGACGTCCAAATTAAACTTTAACCCCCCCCCCCCCCAAAAAATCCAAGAATAGTATGAATTTCTGTCGCAGGACCCACACAATTCAGTTTGACCTGTGTTCTGATATAACCAGTATCTTTCTTTAAGTAATACTTCTCGTGCATTTTCTTGGGAAACTTTCTTTGTACACAACTTGATGTATACAGAAATTAAAAAAAAAAAAACCACTTGAATATGTGTTTCTAGGCTTACGTTTAACACTTGTTACAACTTAATGCATAAACCCTTTAGATGAAATATAAATACAGAAATATTAGGAATAAGCACAAACGATCGAGTAAAGGAGTATTTTGCAATCATCAACATAGGGAGACGACCGGGTTATTTGTAGATGCAAAGGTCTTCAATCATGAATCAATAGGCAACTGGTAATTCCTTATACATATAGTCATTTAACTCCCTTTGCTTAAGAGGTCACCAATGGTCAAAATTTTCTTCCTCACCTCCTGGCCTACTGTGTACAAACAAATGGGGGTCTTGACCAATATTGACCCAAGTAATAACAAGGCTGACAATGCATGTTACCATAGGAGGGTTAATGAAGACCCAAGAATTGTGATATTTTTTTCAGCCATTTTATAAAGGAAAATTTGCATTAAGGCTTGCTCATTCTTAGCGCAAAAGCAAACTCAAACGCAAATTTGTGCAGTTGTAAGTTTTCACGTCGCCAATTTGCAAAAGTTGGAATCACTTCACCTCTGGCGAATTTGGCAGTGAATGAGTTTGCTTCACTTTCTCAATCGCATGAAGTATGAACTAGTCTTTACACTCTCACCTCACTCGGTGCAAATTTTGTATTCAATTCTAAAGACGAATTCAGTGATCAAAATTCGAAGCCATTTGCTGGGGTGGAACTAGGCATGCGTTCTTTAAGTAGAGGCGCTCGTACATTTCGGTAACCCAATTTGGTCAAAGGAGCACCGAGTTTGTGCATACGATCTGCTTGTGAGATGTCCGTATATAAAGATCGGTGGTTCCACCCGAGTAAAAGCTGGTCGCCGAATGGTGTATTGCTCAATGGATATGCCACGATGGGAGAAAATGGATAGCACGGAGTATCATGAATAAGCATGTCTGTACACCACTGGTGAACAAACGGACGTGTCGGGACAGTGTCAGGAAGACACCTATAAACATTCATATCGGCATTCATTCAACAAAAGTGCATCTATTTTAAATACATGTAGCTATTAGGGTGAGCACGGACAGAAAAAGCCAATCAATTATTGCATATATATGAGGACCATTTTAAAAACCATCTTGTCAAACAATCAATCGGATTACTTAAACACCAACAAATTAAAATACACAACTAAAAAGTAAACACATGGACATCAACAAAATGCACGTACACGTCATCTGTCTTGCAAATCAACATCCAAATAGATAGCTTTCTTGCAGAGAATTTGAATTGTCTGCAATAAAAAGATAAAATCATTTTAAAACAAATCACAACATTTTTGACAACTGCTTCGGACTGGCCTGTTCCTGTGCAAGGAAAAAAAACATGGATTATTACATCGATCATTTCAAACATGTAAGTTAATTACAGCATAGGATGTGTTTCCGACTTGTATTTTAATCATTGTTTGGATTCGGGTTATCAAATAATTCAGAAATATTGTCAATCTCAATTCCACTTTCGTGGTACAGCATGGTACATCAGTTTGGGCGATATCTTTTGATATTGTTCGGGACTGATCCACAAATGTGAAATTTTTCGGAGAACGCAGTCAATGTGAATCCTGGATATTACCAATTGATGCAAATGTTACAAAGCAGCGTGGTGGAGTTAATCCTCTCATTCCGATATGCGCTAACATAAAACGCTAACACTTGATGACTTGTAACGTAAAACGGCTGCATTTGTTTTTGAAAAGGAGCAAGATCTGAAATGGTTTGCAGTGTTTCAGACCAAATTAACCAGAGCATTAGTAGTCGTAACACCATTAGTCAGTCCATTATGGCCACTGAAAATTTCCGTTTTAAGATGGCCACAGCTGACACCACGTGTGCTTCAATGTTCATCATTTTACCATTTTGACAGCAATAATTCAAAAAACAGTAGTCCATCAACAGCATTTCTTTTCAAGAATTTCACCTTAACGTTTAAACCATGAGCTGAAGTTACCAGTTTGTGTATGTTTAATACATCCAGGACAGCGACACACAAATGTTGCATTCAACAACGTACGTTTCCCATATTCAAACACTGGGGTTTGTCCTTCACAGACATTTGCTTCAATCAAGATTGTATAGGGCAAAACTAATATTAAAATGTTCATCTCACCGACGCATAAACGTTTTCTGTGTTTGGGATAGTTACAGCTTGCACTGCATAAAAAATGGACTAGTGCCTATTCATAATTCATGAACACTCCAACAAAGCCACATCCACATTACGTAGACATGGCCGGCAATAACGCACATGTCTATTGGAATCGGATGAACCCACTGCCCATAGACCCGTGCGTTAATGCTAGCCGTAGCCATGCGATTTTTGGTGCAAATTACTTGGCTGAGGCTATGACAATCAGAAAACAGTAGCATTTACAACGTAAATTGATTCTAGCCTGGTTTCTTTGTTTTTTTGCATTACAGTGTCAAGCAGCCAAATAGCAAGTGGCTGCCTGTCAAGTCAATTTTGATTATCAAAAAAAAAAATCTTAAGAGCTCGGAACTTCTTGGGCCACACACTTTCCGTATTCACAGCATACCACCACACATCTGCGTTGAAGTTCTGACTGTTTGGGGAAAAAACACCCTCCAATACACCATGTAGTGAGGTTTATTTTGTATTCAACAGGAAAAGCCCCACGAAAAATAAAATTATAATACGCTCAACTTACACTGTACAAAAAACATCCTCTCCACAACAGAGGGCGCTATTTACATTCTGTCCATTAAAACAAATATTCAATGATACCTTTTTATTTGTTTACTTATTATTAATTTTATAATAATACTCATCTTAAAGTGGTTTCGCTCGCAAGGTAATAGAACGGGGGAAAATATTTTGGTACATCGTTGGTGACTAACCGACTGTTTAGAACTCAACAGCACAATCCATACACACATCATAATTGTTCAAGAATGTACATATTTTTTAATATCATTTATACTAGGATTGGAGGAAGTAAATGAATTGACTCATGAGGGATTTGAATCAATAACTTTTTCAATTTCTACCTCGGTGATACATTTTTGGGAATTCAAAAATTCTTAGAAAACCTGTCCACATTAACAGCGTCTACATGTACCATGAAAACAAACCACAATTTGATTGACTGTTTTATGGGAAAACACATTGCATTTTTTTCTCTCGAAAGTTTGTATGATGAAAGGCATGGTAGACAGCCACATTGACAATCACTTCTGCAAAAATGTTCTAGCAAAATGTTTCATTTGAAATACTCCACGTTGGAGGTCCCTGAGTGGTTATTTTCAAATCAACGGAAACCTTGGCCGATAAAGGAAACATTACACTTAAACTTGAGCAAACGTTTTTGCCGTTGGATACTAAATGTTATGTACATGAAATTCAAATACAAGCCCAATTTTGACCGCTTGTTTGAAAAGTCGGGACGATCAAAAAAGTGAAGTAACTGAACTGTTTGTATCTTTGACTGTTCCCTAACCAGACTACCTGTAGTGTACGGATTTTTTGAAGGTTTTATTTAAATCCAGATTGCTTAGAGATGGAAACCGAGGAGTGCAAATTAATAAACCTCATCGGTTTAGTGCAGCTCACAGAATTAAACATTTCAGTATTTTTGTTCTCATTCATATCACTCTTGACTAAATAATACGATAAATATAAAACATCACAACGAAATTTACAAAATATTTTGAAGTAAATGACCACCATGCCCATAATTATACGCATTCAAGTCAAATGAAAAACTCAGTATGTCATAATATTCCACATTTCATTGTTCTTGCTTCTTTTTTTGTTTTTTTTAATCTAGTTTCTCTGGCATCAAAGAGTCTGGAGAACAAAATATTGGATATTTTAACTTCTTCTATTCTTATCCCAAAATGGTAACTTGCTACATATTTCCGAATTTAGCCTCCTCAGTAATTGCAAACGGTGAAGTGCCTGCAACAGAATAAACGTTAATAATGATGAAAATCCCCTGCAGAATTCTTATAATTTTCTTAGTTTTCGAAATTCAATTTAAAATGCAAGTTGAAAGCACTGCATGTCATGTACAATGCAGCCCCTTTTTCCTCACAACAAAGATTTTTAAAAAAAATACAATAAAAGACATGAAAATCGTCATCCAATGTCAGCAAAATAGAATGACTAGCTTCTAAAAAAAATTGTCCAACTGGCAACTTGCATTTAGAGGATTTTGTTCCGTTTTCTATACAAATTGACCGCAATGTAAGCTGAACAGGAAAGGTAATGATTCAGTGCAATGTTACGGGAGGATAGAAAATTGGGTTGCAAAGGGCAGTAGAGTTTGGGAGAAATCTTTGCAATTATTAAATGTACAAGAATTTCAAAATAGCTTCTCGTATTGGTAAACAATGTTAGTTTTTCAAATATTACCAGAACCTTTGGACTGGAGCAATTTGACAATTCTTGTTTGCAAGTTGGCAAATCCAGCGCCAGCGTTCATATTACTTTTTTCTGAAAAACCTGGCACAAAACTGAGCACTTGAAAGCGTTCCCATCTTGAGAATGAAACTTTCTCCAAAAATTACCATAATGAAGCATAATAATATGGGACTGCTACTAAAACTTAACGCTTTCAAAGAAAACGGCTAACTGAACGTTACATTTATCAGTGGGGAATCTTTTGTCTTTATTCGCAATATACAGATTACATATTACACCAAGCATAAGTGGACTTCAATATTTTAAGAATACCTTTAAAAAAAAAAAAAAAATTAAAAAAAATTCCTAAAGTAACTTTGTATATAAATGTTTCACCATCTGCAAAGAATTGCCTGCTGAGTGGTATTAAGTTTGCAACCATCCATATGAGAGGTGCCTGGGAAACTTTTCAGGATGCGGATGATCCACTGCAGACAGGATGAAACCAGTTCAGACTGGATCAAACCGGTCCATTCTGCTTTGTAGCCGCTGTGAACTGGTTCAGGGCAGCTGCTGCTTCAGCCCTGTGCAATCCAAAACAGGGGGGGGGGGGGGAATGAAAATGACTCAAATTTATTGGAAGTTCAATTGTGTGAAGTAAATGGAATTTATTTTGTGGCAGACCTGCAATTCGGGCGATTCACAATGCAGTGCGCCACCAAGAGTTTGCCATGGAGAGTTCATTTTTCAAGTTTACGGTCGACAAACCATGGGCCATTTGAATGAGTGTCAGTAGACAACTTGAGCTAATATGCCATAGATTGGGGCATGGCGTTCTGCCGCCTTACAAAAAAAACCACCATACTGATAAAAAGGAAAGAAAAGGGCAAACAGATACTCGAATCATACTCTTACGAAACTACTGACCGGAAAAACGGGCAATTTCAAACGTCCCGCGCTGCGAATTTTGTCGACCATCTCCCACAATGCACTGGGAACAATGAACTCTCTGTGGCAAACTCTTGGTGGCGCACTGCATTGAGAATCGCCCGAATTGCGGCCAAAGGGACATTTAGAGGATTTGTCTTACCTTGCTTTTTCTATACGCTCCGACTCTGTAGGGCCGTTAGGTTTGGGTGACAGTGCAGGACCACTCTTCATCAAACCACTTGATGCCAAGAAACTAAAAACATAAACATACAAAAAGTACTTACATTTGGAGTGATTTTGAGTGGCTTTACCTTGATAAAGGGTCCAAGCAATGACGTTTTCAAAATCTGAATCCATCAAAATCCACACCCCTGTTTTGGAGGATGTGGGCAGATTCAGGATACCTCCATATTGAAAAAGTTGGGGGATTTGATGGATTCAGGACAGTAAGCCTAGTGTTACTGCAGGATTTTGGTGGATTCAGGATACCTCCGTAATGAGCAGTTGGGGGACTGATGGATTCAGGATCTCAACAGTTTAACTCCTTGGCTATACATGTATGTTTGGTGTGTACGAGGTATATGTACTACACTGGTGGATTCTGATGGACTCGCTGGTGGATTCTGATGGACTCAGGACACCAACATATTTTTGCATGACAAAATTGGTGGATCATAGCTGATTCAGGATACTCTCTACTGAAAGTGCCCAAGGGGTTAGGGTTAACATTCAAAAATTGTGCATGCTTTTCCGGACAACTGAGGTTGCTGTTGCTGTGATGTCATTTCAGGAAGACACAATTCAGTAAGGGTATTCAGTTCAAATTGTGAACCCAAAATGTACTCATTGAAAGCAATTGTGAGAAAGGGATGCTCAGTGGCTCATACTACCATTTACTGAAACAACAACGAATTACCGAAGAAAATACCATGCATGACAGTGAAATATCCAAAATTCTATTAACTTTTTGTGCTGAAATAGCTTAGCTGTCGCATTGAGGTTTCTTGCCCGGAATAACATCAGTTTTGCTCACGAGTATGGACATTTGCATTAGCATAAAAACTAAAAAGGCACCAAAAATACCTCTCAAAATGGCAAAACGAAAATTGAAAATAAGGTTAAATGGGACACAAAGGGTCATTTCCAAGAATAGCATTAAAAGAAAATCACATTGCAAGGGCCCTGCAAGCGAATGCAATCACAAGCTTCGTCAAGAATAATTTCTGTCTGTGAAGAGCAAAACCAATATTCAAATTTACATCCTTCCAATGCAAAATTCCATCAGCTGCAATATCACTCAGATTGTGGGTTTGAGTCCCATCTATGTAAACAGGGGATTACTTTCTCCTTTAACGAAACAGCATCACATAAAAAAGAGCTTCTGAAGTTGTCTAGGTGGACGGGCAAACCTGAAACTAAAACTACAATGTGATAAGAAAGACGCTAGTTACTTCACTTTGTCCTGATCACTATTTTAGTTCAATTTCTTTACCTGAAGTTATCTTCCAAATCTTCCTCTGCTTCTTCTTCCTGTGGTTGACTGCAATTCCCATCCACGACTTCAATCACTGTAGACACCGGTTGCTGTACATCATCTGCAGTGTTCCTCCTCTCTCCCACTGTCTCTTTACTACTGACGTCAACAACCCCCTCTTGTGTCGAATGACTGTCAGCTTCTTGCTTCCGAGTCTGCGAGAGTCCTGAGCCTTGCGGAGAATTTGCGGGCGGGCTGCTCGGCGGCGCCGCCGGCCTGGGCAGAGGCTCCACCTCCGCTTGCGTTAATTGATGGCTATTGACAGAGTCCGAGCTGGAGCTCGTCTCGCTGAGATTCTTGGCTGGACTGTCGGAGTTCACAAGTTGCGGTGCCGGTGATAACGGGGTCACGTGAGGGTCTACGACGGTGCTGTCGGGTTGTGGGGAGGCAGGTTGAGGAGATGACGGGAAGGCTGGATAGGAGTTATGTAACGATGAGACGGGGTCTTGACTGGAAGAGGAAGAATCGCCACTCTGGGAGCAAGGTTCTACCACCATCTCTCTACAAACAGACAAATCACAAAACATATTCATCAAGCTATTAGTAATAGCAAAACATTGCAATGCAAATATATTTATCCCTGATGAATACATTAAAGAGGTTGTCGAATGCTCGAAGACATTTCCGTCATTTTTCTGGTATATGTAGCCTAAGGTGTGATGAAATAAAAACGACTATCGTGTCTGTCATAAAATGAGTACAAAAGGTACTTTTGAGAGCTGTTTTTCACCATGAAACTGCTTCAGGCAGTACAGGAAGTAACCGGGAGGTTGCTCTACTTTCACAATATTTTTATTTCTGATCTGGCGTAAGCTTTGAGAAACAAACTGACAAAAGATCCAATCACGTTAGGTTCCGCAGGATAATGCGATTAGACCCAACAAAAGGTGATTTCCAACCATTTTCCTAAGCCAAACATTGTTCTGGGAATTTCAATGATGTTCTTTAACTTTCTAAAGGTACGAGAATAGTGATCTTGTAAACTCAAACAAACCGAGCGTTGCTCACTCGAGTATTAGTTTACAGTTTTAGTTGACCAATGGTACTGTAGATCGCACATGATAAAACAAGAGACTATCAACTACATGTAGTAAGTTGTGATCTGTGGTTCCTTAACAAAAAATCCAAGCTGAGAGACAGTTTTTAAACCAGTACAACAAATACGGCAATTTTCAATGCTTGCCTTGTTCTATAGGCTTGCTTCGAATGTTCGTACTCGGCAGAAGAGTAAACATGAACACAAAGTTCTGACATCGGTGCAAGTTTTCACTCCGCAAATTTACAGAAGTTACACTGTTTGACCCTCAATGAATGTCACAGCAATTTTTTTTTTGAGTCAAATTCACTTTGCATTCGTTGGAGTGAAACCAGGACTTATGAAAGATTATATAACCAACATACAGATCCTTGTCATTTGATTGGTGGAACTCACATCACGTGTCATTCGTTATTACTGCCATTCACACCGGGGCTCCAAAAGTACTATCCGCCCATGGGGAATGGGAAATACTATTGAACAGTTAGGATCAGTCTTGTTCCATGACGCGGTATTTGTGTGCAAATGCATGCTGGTGTGCACGTTCAGCGTTACGCGTAGCGCGTATTGCTCCAAAGAGCCAGCGCTACAGCGTTGGGTTCAAACATTTTCGTGAAGGGGTGGTTTGGAAGAGAGAAATACATTTTTCACCAATTTTGTATTGAAATAAAAGTTCAAATATATCAAATGACAAGGATCTATATGTCAGTTACATAAAACAAATATTGAGTGGCTTTAAATTGTTGAATGGGAGGAATATTATCGCTCGGTAAAATCTGGACTTTTCCAGTTCACTTGGCTTCGCCTCGTGAAATGGAAAAGTCCATATTTTACCTTGCAATAATATTCCTCCCATTCCATGCTGATCCACTCAATATTTGTAGACTATTTACTCACCTATCTTCTGGTACACTGTGCTCAGACTGCGTTGATGTGCCAATGCTTGTAACCTGTGCATCATGACTACTGTCTTCAGGATGCTTCTCCTGGTCGGCATTACTTGAAACAACTGTCAAGCATCAAAATAAGAAATCCCACTTATAACAAATCATTTTTTTCTCCCAAGTAAATAAAAATTACAACTAATATTTACATCAAACTGACCACAGACACATATTAAGGGGATGCGTTTTTCAACATATTTCTCATTTCAGAAATTTACACAATTTTTTTTTAAGAAAAGACTTTGGGGAAAAAAAAAACTGCAATTGCAAACAGATGCTACGGAGAATATGTCACAAACTCAATAAAGTTCTGTTAAAAAATTAAGTGACTCAAATAGGATTCGGTTTGTTTTAAACTGGTTTCCAGCAGAGTTTCGCTCAATGAGCAAATCTTTTCAGCTGTATTTTTTCTCAATTAACCCTAACCACCCTGAATCCTTCAAAATCCTCTCTGCCAAAGTGGAGGAATGTGGAGGATTGACGTTACATGGCAAAAGTGTGTTACTGATTCCGTAGTATGCACTTTGTCAAGGTCTTAGGACGAACCTTGTGTTGTTTTTGCTCAGCCATGCACAAATATAGGCCTGGATTATACTTGAAATCCTCCGTACTGCTCCAGGATATCACTGGCCAAGCCTCAACATATTGACAGTCACTGCCACAGGATTTTGCAGGATTCAGGCAGTGGTCACCCCTCCATGGACCATATTCAAGAAACAATGGAGGAATTTGCAGGATTGAGGCCATATGCCATTTTTCCATGAGGCCAATTGGAGGATTTTGCAGGATTGAGGCTACATCCTAGCAAAAAGGCCTAGGGAGTTAGGGTTAAACTGTTCAATGTAGTCCCGAGTATCTTACCGTAAGCAGCACCAGGTTGCGGGGAGTAAAGTGGTGTAGCCTCGTTACTGGTGGTGTCTTGGGCTGAGGTAACTTCTTGGGATGACTCGCTGTCCATGGCAATGGGAGAGCTACTCCTTGGACCCTCAGGGCTGTTGGGAGGAAATATACAAGATGAGTATATCAGTTATTGTCTATGTTACTCTATATACGAACCGTAGATTATGCTGTGTGGCTTAATCGCAAAGAGTCACAATGCAAGTAGCGGTGCATGTGCGCACTATCAATGAGTGCAAGAGCCTTGGATGTGGATTATTAAGAGCCAATTCTAACCTGGCAGAGCTGAAGCCAGCGTTGAAGTCATTGAAGTTAGCCCAGCCTGTCTCAGGTTCCTCCGGTTGACTTGGTGCAGCCCGAGGGGGTGAGTCTGGCCACGATGTAGGCGTTGTATCCATGGCAACCGCTCCATCCATGGGGACATCGTCAAAGTTAGCTGTCCAAGCTGGGCAAAGAGAGACGTTAGGTTTGATTAATGAGAGAATATCAAACTGACAGACAAACTGGGCTTGTAAAAGACTGTTCCGTGTAAAAAGTGAAACAAGTCCAAGAAGTTAAACACGGAACATGCCTGATCCTCTGTTTGGATGATCCAATAGGAACTCGGTGTGTTCCTGACAAGAACCTGACATGGCTGTTCCAAGTTGAAACAGCATGTACCTACCAAATAGAACAGGCTTCCTTATAGTCACTGTGTGGGAGTCTCTGGAATGGTTACAAGCACAGAGTTGGAAGGTTCTCTTTAACACACTGCTGATGGCACCAGATTGGTGCACACTCGGAATAAAATCAATTGTGCCTCCTTCGTGCCATATGCACGTGAACTAGTGTGTAACATATGCGCGTGAAAAAGTACGCACAACTGTATTTTACAATTATATCCGAGGACACGTGAACAAGTACGTACACACAGTATGCCCCTCACACAGAGCTATCACAGGATGGTTACGAAGTACCACCGACATTTCAAACATGGAAATCCTCAAATCTACCCTCCACAATTAACCGTAACCCTCCAAAATCCTCTTTGCAAATTGTGGGATTTTGCAGGATTCTGGCTATATGGCAAAAATGTGTGGCTGATTTTGGAAGATGCACTGTGTCAACGTCTTGGGCCGGAGCTTGTGTTGTTTATGCTCAGCCGTGCATAAATTTTGGCCTAGATTATACTTAAAATCATCCACACTGCTACAGGATGTCACTGGCTCTGCCTCAACATATTGACAGTGATTGCTGGAGGATTAAGCAGGATTTAGGCAGTACAAAATGTTTACTTGGAGGCAGTTGGAGGATTTTGCAGGATTGAGGTTGCATCCTAGCAAAAATGCCTAGGAAGTTCGGGTTAATAACTGCCATTTCCTAAAAAAAGTATTAAGGGACAAATATGAAGAACAATATGACTCACTTTCAGCCGAGTCTACATCCATCTTTGTCTCATCGGTATTGGATGGTGAGGGTTGTGGGGATCCCGGGGTTGCCTCTTTCGTGTTCTCCTCTTCACTATCGCTATCATCACTACCAGCACCAGGACCTGCTGTCGAATCACTGAGAGGAAACAAGACAAATAACAAGAGGTTATCATAACAGTAATATGATTGATAAAGCACAAGTATCCACTATTACTGGTGCTCAAGGCACTACATCATTGGGCCAATGAAACATTCCAAAATACCATCTCAGCTCCCTGGGGAGTGTACAGCTCGATGCTGCCCTTTCAGAGCAAAGCAGCTCAAATCAACCGCAATAACCATCTCTGCCCTCACAGGTACCCATTTACTCCTGGGTGGGGAGAAGCAATGAGTGACAAAGTGCCTTGCCCAAGGGCACACACCGCAGCCCCAGGCTGGACTCGAACCCACAACCTTCAGAATTACCCGCAGACCATGAATTCAATGCTCCAAACCACAATGCCACAGCACTCATAACATCATATCAGAACTGAAGGTCAAAGCAAACTCTTGCCACAATTTGAATCGGGAGAAAGAACAACTTGTTTTTTTTAAGTATCTAATTTACGTATCTTACACTTATGTAGTGGTAATAAGTTTCAAAACAAAATTTTCAAATCTGACTTGCACATGTAGATGCCTCAAATTGTTTCAACCATCAAACTTAATCTAAATCTAAAGAATTATTAGTTTCACTGTGACAGTTAAATGCCATTCTGAAACGGGTGTAAATCTACTTAATTTATCTTACGTTTCATCACAAACTAAACATAAAAAAAAAAAATCCCAAAACTAAGAATTTTCTTGTATTTGTATATGGGCAATTCCACGGTTACTCATGTTACATTTTTGATGTACTTTTGAGTTTCCTTGGGCTGTAATAACCTTACTGAAAAGATTTAATAACTGTTATCCCCATGGTAGATAGAGTAGACCTAGACCTACCTAAGCACCAAAGATGACATCCAGAAAAATGTGTTATGTATGATAAACAAGATGCACAAAATCGGTTACTCACGTTACAAAAGTGTAACAGTTATTAAACCTTTTCTTCAGTAAGGTAATTACAGCCCAAGGAAACTCAAAAGTACATCAAAAATGTAACATGAGTAACCGTGGAACTGCCCATATGATGCACAAAGGTTCTTTACCCCTCCATGACAGACGACGGCTATAGCCGCGGCCCGGTATGCCGTGGTGCGCCCTCTGTGGGCAGCTGCTAGCCAACTGCTACTGCACAGATGCTACTGTGCAGTGATGCGTACAAGCCTGTCCAATGAGGCGTAAGGGAAGGGGTCAAGGAAAACTGTCTTTGTTGATTATTTCTTACCACGTTCTCGTTAATTCATCAACATTGGATAAGAACGTCAACTCTTTCTCTTCCCACATATCTTCTTCGTCACTGTTGTTGTCGTTAAACTTGGATATCCTCTCATTGCAACAGGCTTCAAATAACGCCGAATTGGGCTGCGGGAAAACAATTACAAGTACAAGTTAGAATAACAAATCTGACGTCACACATCTGACGTCTGAAGTGCCACACATTTAATTTTGTAGGAATAAGGGTAACGAGGCTTCGACTCAACCGAACAGCGGGCAAGTCACCTGCTTCCTACATTGTAGGTGATCAACTCATGAACGATCATCTCGTGAACACACACAACCGCACATATGGGTAGTTACGGGGTACCACTATTGTCCACCTTGACTTCCTACTATTGCTCTCCTTTGTTTCTAGTGAAATCTGAAACTACATAGCGTTTCATTCCTGGTGTACTGAGATTTCTAAAGACCGACTTGCAGGGTACCATCCCGTCCCTATTGTTACCCTTTGCTCCCTGTAACCCATAAGACCATATACGTTAGAACACCCACACACATATCGTTTCGGTTTGCGGTAACACCATGTAGTAATAACTACTGCTTAGAAGATATTAGTTCTGAAAAGAACTTGTCCTGCTTATTATCAACTTTGCTAAGTAGTTTTTGTTCTGTTAAGAACAGTCCAGCTGTAAGTTCTAAATGAACTTGTCTTTGGTCTCAACGTTTTGACTAGCCTGCTCTAGTCACCCACACACATACATGTTTTGGGCTTTACAGTATAGCCATGGTGATTTTTACCGAAAACTGCACTAAAAACCTTGCTAGAAGAGGACAACTTCAAAACAACTTTCAACTCTGGCATTAAGAAAGGCACTCAAAGTGCTATTAACCCTTACCCCCTAGGGTGATTTACTAGGAACCTTCCTCATCCTTGCAAATTTCAACACCCTATGGCAAACTGTGCACATAAACAATTGGACTGTTTATTTGTGTTATGCCTAACCCATGTAAAGCATAATCAGTTTACTAGTGCAGTACTCATCCTAACAGATTCCAACAAACCCTGGCGTTGGAGTTTGATTGGATGGGGATCATTAATGCCCACAAAAACATGGGAAAAATACGATTCTGTACTTACATTGTCTTCATTAGCCGATATTGAGAAACTGATGTCTGATATTGTGTCAAATGGATTGCTGTATGATAAGACAGAAACAGTGTACAGTAATCAATCCCAAACATACTACGAGGAAGCCATGATACACCAAAGTTTGCAAGCTGTACATTTGTTGGAAAGAATTTTGCATCCTGACGCCACTTTTTTCATCATGTATTATCTCCAAAAACGTCATTCATTGCAAAAAATGTTGAAAAGACATGAATCTGAGACTGAGATAAACATTTCCAATTTTTTAAGAAAATATTTTTAAAATGCACTCGACTCTCCATAGACTTTGTACACAACCAAAGGAGTGGCGTCTGGATACTACATTCTTTCCCATTTTATTCAATATTTCGTTCATTCTTTACAACTTTTGTTAGAACTACCATATATCCTTCACCATGTCAAACCTTTTTCAGGGATAGTATTTGGGCATACAATATCTTGGTACATTTAGAATTGCCATGTGAACGTCAGACCAGACAAGATCAATGGGTTTTTTTTCGTTAGAAATTTGTCTTCAAGCTGCATTTCTGGTACACTAGTGTTAATTACAACATATACAGACAAAATCAAAGCACACCATAAAAAACGAAATTACTAAGACAGATACAGATATCTAATATAAAGACTACTCATGCAGAACTGAGGCGAGATTAAACGAATTGAAGTAATTTCTTTTTTTAATGCCAAAAAAAAATATATAAAAAATAAAGAACAAACAGGAAATAAATACAACAAACAAAATTTCTGGCAGTTCAACAGACAGAAAAACATCTTCAAACTGATCTGTTGTCCAACAGAAATTCTACAATTCAAGTTCCATAAAACTCACATTACAATTATAATTTTGAAGGGATGCATTTCATAGTTCAAAAACTATTTGGCATCACTCCGTATTATCCCAACTTTCCTTATTGCCAAAACTTTGTCTAACTAAACTCACAACTACACTGGAGGTGTATAACCAAATGAAACCCAACGGAACACACAAAGAAAAAGAAGAAAACAGAGAAGAGCGGAGAGTTTTCAACAGAGAAAGAGAAAGACAGAAAAGGCAAGACTTCGAGTCTGACTAAGATGACTTACTTGACGTTATCTTCTTGCTTGGTGAAGTCCTCATCGGTGAATCCAAACTGGTCAATAAAATGGGACGTCATTTGTTGTATCTGATAATCAGAGAATGCCTGCCATGGTAGTGGCAGACCGAAGGGAAATGCAACAATGTATGGTGAAGGCACACACACAATAAACACACACGCATACACCGCTCGTTGTGGGAGGAGAAGTTGGAGGTGGGTAGGTGGGTGAGTGGGTGAGTGGATCAGAACAAAACATGATGCATCGGTTCAAAGCGATAATTAGTCACCCAACCCTTCGGGTGTCAATCTTCTACTGCCATCATATCTGAACCAAGTTGGTCAATTCGCATCGATTCAGTTTTTCATTTTCCAAACTGTTTTCAGAGTTACAAAAAGTTTGACTTGAACAAATGTTGGCCAAAACAAGTCTGTGGCAGTGAGTAGACGGACACCCCTAAAATATCTACATAGAACGAGGAATTTGAAAAGTCAGTGGACACTTTGGGAGCGTATGCAATATCCACGATGCTCATGCAATGGCAAGCTTAACAGTCTAGGCAGTCAACAAAACAGCTTCATCGAGAAAACAGTGAACGCATGCTTTTACAAAAATGAAGTTGAGGGAATGAACTGCTCTGAATCAAATGGATCATTATTGTAGATGGAAGTGGTAAGTACTACGAGTGGAAATCCATGAAAGGTTTTGATGGTTTGTGGTTGTAAACAAGTAGTGGACGTTAGTTTAAAAATGAAAAAAATAATCGTTTATTGTGGGAGTGTCTTGTTTTTTGTATAATACATGTAGATGTCTTGTTTTAAATGAAATATTTCTGGACGCATGGATTTGGCAAATTTTTCATGTGAAAAGTTTTACAGCGTTATTTATCGTAAAGCTTTTGTTTTTATCCCCTTTAAGAATGCAATATTTAGTAATTCAGAAAGCACATTGGGTTTTTTTCACAAGTGATAGCCAATGAATGTAAATACCAATACAGATTTCAGCAATAAGTTCATGTTTTGGTTCAGAACTTATTCGGTAAGTACTAGAGTTTGTAATAGTTCATTTTTTTAAGTATGTATAGTTTTGATAATGCCCACAAAAGGAGTTCGTGACTTTATGCTTCATGCTGAATCATTTGTTCTCGAGACAGTTAACATGGAAGAAAATTTGGAAGATAAAGTCTGACAGATATAACGATAACGATAAGGTTAACAAAGAAGGATGAGGGCAAAGAGTTGAAAGAAAATCAAATACGAGGAAGAATGAAAAACTTTGGGGGGGGGGGGGGGAGAAGGGAACTAAGCATGGAATGGCATTTTGTGGTTTTTACCGGTACTTGACACTTTCAGTTTGTTTAACGGGACTACGTGTGAATTGTTGCTTTGTGCTTAACTTTCACTTCTTCTCCACTTTGTTTTGATTGTTTTTGGGGGTTTCTGTTCAGTCTGAAATTCTTATTTGACAAAGCAAGCAGCATAGCAAGGTTGCAACATGCATAACACCACATTCTCAGTCAAACCAACTGATAGACCACAATTGTCGACTAAGAGGCAAAATATTCTCGCAATTCTGGTGCATCAGTTAGCAGGTATGTGTGCCTTCCCACAAAACGACATTGTTTTCATACTGATTGCAGTTTAACTTGAGCACCCCCGGAATTTTTTTTTTCTCAACTCACGCAGACCATTAAACGGTCGAATCACAGGGGTAGTCAATTTAAACTGAAAGTACATTCAAACATGTGAAAATGCAAATATGTTTTTTGGTTGTAACAAAATAGGTCCTGCTTTCAGGTTTGCCAAGATATACTTTCAAAACGTCTTGCAGCTGAGTACAATACTACAGACTAGGAGAGATGTGATGCATCTCACCATACACTTATTGTGGTAAGCCATCATGACTTTACATGGAACCTGACATCCCAATTCTGGGTCAATCAAAACAATAGGCTTACTATTTCAACATGGCCCAACAGATTCAAGAAAGTTCACAGCAAAAACGAGCAGGACATTAGGTCTGTAGCACATTTGTACACAGTTTTATGGGCCTTTTTTTTTGGAGGAGCTGAATGATTTAAGATGCAACGATGATCTACTTTTAGACTTCATCATAGTATCTGTTGACCTTTGACATGACCTTTTGCAGGGACCTGATTTGTTACAACTCAAGATACATGTTATTTGAAACCAGATTTTATTGGGGACAAATTGTCTCTTTCTGGAGAGTAAAATTGTCTCATTCTTGTAATTACTTGTCCACTAGTGGTCAATTTACAAATTCCAGTGGATAGACATTTTGTAATTATAGGCAAACGCCTGTACATTTCACGATTACTCTTACAAACCCATTAAAATCTGGTTTCAATTCTCTGTTAGTGAAAAATATAAAAGTTGCAGCAATTCTCTTTCAATTGGTAATTAAAGAAGAGAAAAAGGTCATTTTTTTTGTCCAGAATGGTTGGTGCAGATTGTGGCAAAGAAACAAAACGCCTGGACATAAAGTTTTCTATTTTCAAAATAAGTTTGAACCTTAACTTTTCAACTTAAATAAACTCATTTGTATTTTTCACCAAGTGAGCATCAATTAAAAATGAGTTTGAATGATAACAGAATTGCTGCATTCAACAGAGGAATAAAATTTAAGAAATATTTCAATTGCTAAAACCTCTCTGCGTTTGTATCAAAAGTGAATGCTTTTTACCCAAGTGAGTGCATTATATTGTCTGCAATTTGACACTTTGCTTCTTTTAATGTGAACTTTTGCAACTAATTTGAAAATTAAAAATGGTGTAGTATATTCAAGACAATGTCCATGCAGTTTTTTCCTGAGAAAGTTTCATCCGTTACTTTGATCTTTTTTGGTCTAAAATAAATTGATGCATACACGTACCTGTTGTACTGCAGTGTCTTTGCCAAAGTCTATATTACCAAAATCACCATCATCGTCCTCACTGGAGGAATGTAAGGGATGTGTGCCAACCTACAAACAGCAGCAGACACAAAAAAAAGTCAAGATTTAGAATTTGTGTCAACCTATGAAATACACAAGAACAAACTGCTTAAAACTTGAACATTGACACCAAAATGCCAAAATTGAGATTTAGGCTGCAAAATTGTTTACCAGTTGTCAATATGTTAGCATTTTCAGCGGAATTTGCGAAAGCCCGATTGATAATTTCAAACCTCCACATCAAATTTACTTATAATTTGTTCGCAAGAAATAAATGCATTTACCCTAACCGCATACTCAATCCTTCAAAATCCTCCAACTGCCACCATGTAAAAATTGATATAGCCTCAATCCTCCAAAACCGTCCGTTATTTTTTAACTTGGTCTGTGAAGGGGCGACCACTTTTTCAATCCTTCATAATCTTCCAAAAATCACTGTAACACACTGGGGCAGTGCAGATGATAAACCAGAAGCCGTGCAGATGATGTCCAGTATAATATAGGCCGCCAGTATGCAGGACTAATGAAACAGCTTAAGCCCAATAACGCAATGCATCCTTCAAAGTCGACAGCACTTTTTGGGCCAACAACCTCAATCCTCCAAAAGCAATCCATTAATTAATTAATCCATTATGTTCTGCTTACACGTATGCAAGGCAGCCCATGAGATACAATTTAGGAGTTAAAAGTGAGTATTAGCAATTCTCGCAAAGTTTTTTTAAGTCATGATTGAAATTTAGAAAGCCAACTCACCAAATCTACCGTATTCCGTTTGTTGAGATCAGACAAACTACCCGCTAGAAAAGAACTCCACTTATCTCGAAAATCCTCCGGTACATACTCTGAAGGCAAGGGAAATAAAACAAGAGACAGTTGATTATTTCACTGGGATAAATTTATAGAAATAGTGACTAGCCTTTGCAATACAAAGAACCAAACACGTGATTTAGATATGGACAATACTGTTTGTTTTCATATTAACAATTTAACTCTTTTTTTTCAAGTAACTGCTTTTTGGCTACAGTTATGTATTATTGGTAGTCTTTTTGACACTTTGTTTTTACATGCCAAATGCAAGTACTATATGGTGACTTTTTTAAGGCAGAAAATTTCATATTTTATGGCAAGAGTTTTTTTGTATGATTAATAGTTTCTCGTATGTTTAAAATAGTACCAAAGATTTGCAGACAAACTGTAATGCGAGTAGCCGTAATGCGAGTAACTAGCCTTTTTCTTTCGAGCATCTATACCTGAATTTGGTCTACCTTTTTTTATTGTACAGATTGATACTCTAGTTGAGTAGAGATCTTGTACAAAATAATCATTTGGTTATTGCAGTTTCACACAAGTAAACTAGAGAATTAAAGAAAGACAACTTTGGCATGTCCTTTTTGTGTCATACAAGTAACCACATTCTAAGAGTGCCATGCTCAAATGAGGAGAACATACAACTTGCTTTGTTGTCATCAGGGAAAAGCCTTGATTATTGGGTATTTTTATGCAATAAAGTAAATAGATTGTCCAACTAGTATGAAGACAAACAGCACTCAGGTTGTTAAAGGATACCAAAAAGCGTCATGTGAGTAACCGTGAAATTGCTGTGGAATTTTCGGAAGGTTTTGCAAGATTAGGGAAGGTAATCTCAACCATTAACTACCGGTACTTCACATATGCCCTTGAAGGCACAGTACAAAAAGAATGTGCCACTGGCTTCAAACAAAATAGAAGATATCAGAAATTTCTGGAAAGGTTCCATGCCAAAACTTTGGGTCAGTGTCTGTGTCTCTCACCTTGAAATAAGGACTTGATCTGATCGCAGTTACAGCCTTTCTCCATCTCATCGATGACGGTATTAGTGATACGGGTCAGGTGGCCCATGTACCCTCTCCGCGACCCGCCTTTCTGTTGGGTTTGTTCGTTTTCTTCCCACTTTTCCAGTATCCTTTGTATCAGCTTACAATCTGTAAAAAGCTATGGGGTCGAGAAATACACGATAGGAATGTCAATATTGAAACCAAGAGGTGTTACTCGTACTTAAACTTCTTTATGAAGTAAAGAAGTAAATTCTGTCATGAGCAAATGTAGCCCATCAGGCCGGCGTTGATATCTCGTTTCCTCGCCATGAAACAACAGAGAATATTCCTAGTCCCCCTGGATGGGATGCCAGTCCATCACAGGTTACTCCTCAGCTAATGCAGGTACCCATTTATACTCCTGGGTGGAGAGAGGCAAGTGGGGGTGAAGCGGCTTGGCCAAGGTCACAACATATGGCCAGCAGCTGGATTCGAACCCTTGATCCTCTGATCATGAGTCACGAACCCTAACCACTAGGCCACACCCCCTCCTCCTCTTTTGAAGGGATACACACATCCGGCCCAGTGAAAATTAGAGAACATTACCATGAATATTTGAAATCCTTTTTGATATTTATAACCTATTGTCCGGCATGCAACTGGGAAGTAACACATTTTAGGTAAGACTTGAGGCTTTGCGTGGTGGAGATGTACTAATAAATGAAAGGTTTGCGGAAACACCATGTGGGAATAATTTCTCAAACTAAGAGAATGGTTCTAAAAAGAACCAGAGGTATAAACTCGATGTTCCGTTAAGTATGCTGGTTTATTACTGAATGCTAAAAAGTCAGTGTGGATGCAAGCATAGTCAATTGACCGGTTAGGTAATACCTGGGACACGAGGGAAGGTTCTTTTAAAAAGGAAATTGTAAGTTTTACAAGACTTTATAGTGTTTTTCAATTTTTAATGGCATAATTGTGAAATGAAAAAAAAACCGAGGAAATCAGCTGATCCAAGGAAAAGGTGCGTACCTGTAATGTGAAACTAGTGCTTTCCAAAACCAGGGAATTCTTGGAATTGCCAACAAAATATGAGAGGTTTTGTAGGTATTCTCCCATGAAGTCACATTTGCAGGTCGATTTGAAGAAAGATAGAGATCTTTTTGAAATGGCAGTGCTTTCAGGTATCGCAGAGTCAAGGTACCAGACTTACATGAACTAATAGGGGATGTTGCGTCTTTCCTTCTTCTGATTCGGTGGGGTTATTGGCCAGGATGGTGCTTATACACTTCTCAACTTCCAAATGTAGGAAGTTGTTCCATGCATACTGAAATAAAAGCTCCTAAAAACAAAAACAATAAGTACCAGAAAAATCATGAGAATTGTGCAAGGCAGAACGGATTAGTTTGTTAAAACTGAACAGAATTTGAAATTAGTTGATGAATTTGGATAGAAAAGCTCAAACAGGTATTGCTTGGTCGAAGCTCATCTGATGAAATCTAGATTATTCTTTAAATTAATATTACGACTGTTGCCAGATTGTGTTGTTTCAGTTATACACACACTGCACACGGGTAATGTCAAAGATGTGAGGAAATTTAACACAATTTTATCACTTGGAACTAAAAAGTACAAGATGGGTATCGATTAATATCAGCAGAATCGTTAAGGTCTCCAGCTGTTTAGTGTCTGTGCAGCTACCGAGGGTGATGCTAAGCCTACTTAGAAAAATCCAAGTAAGAGATCTGATAATAAAATATAAATTGTTCTAAACGTTGATGTAAAGCCAAGTTCATCAAATATGCAGCTTTCTATGATGAAAGTAGATCAAGCGACTGCTCAACAAAATGTGCTAGCAGTCTAGCACAATCACTTTCAGCTGTTCTATGCCGAGTGACAAATTCCCTTGCAATGAACATACACTACAAAAATTGAACGAGCACACCTTTTTTCCTTTTTAAATATAAAATATGGTAAACGATTTAAAATTATCTGATGTCCAACCATAATGCAACACTCTACTGAAATGATCAGCTCCAAAGAAGATTAACTCAGGATGACATAAACTTTCTCATTCCTACAACGTGAGGACACGATGTGTACAGACTTTTATTTTTACCTGATACACATCACAACCCTCCAACACACTGTTGCCTAATTCTCTAGGTTTGTACCTACCCATAGTGACTTTATCGTTCCCAATCTGGCTAGTTCCACGTTAATACTCTGGGTATTGGTAACCAGCAGTGAAGCAATCAGCTTACAGACTTGTAGGCGGACAGCTCCAAATGGAGGGGAAAGCTGACCCACGGTGGTTGGCATTGGATCTTGCTGTAACGACAGAGGAAAGAACATTCATGTTGGATTTGAAAATGTTTGGCTGGCTGCAAATCTCAAGTCCTCTTACTTATCAAATTAAATTAGGTTTTACCCTTCACTGACGTTTAAACACTGTATACTCAGTGTGTTACCTCCCGAGTGAAAGTTGGAAAAAAAATCACTCGGGTGGGACTCGAACCCACGACCTCCTGCTTTCTAGTGCAGATGTCTTACCACTCGACCACCGAGCTAACGGGATCAGTTGGCCGGTTCGAATCTGATGTACATAGCAGTTGGTACCGCATTAAGTATTATATGATGAAATTTTGCATCGGGGTGATATAAATCAAATTAGATTTTGCCCTTCACCGACGTTTAAACACTGTATACTCAGTGTGTTACCTCCCGAGTGAAAGTTGGACAAAATCACTCGGGTGGGACTCGAACCCACGACCTCCTGCTTTCTAGTGCAGATGTCTTACCACTTGATCATCGAGCTAATGGGATTGGTGGGCTGGTTCGAATCTGATGTACATAGCAGCGGGTACCGCATAAAGTATTATAAGATGGAATTTTGCGTCGGGGTGATATAAATCAAATTAGGTTTTGCCCTTCACCGACGTTTGAACACTGTATACTCAGTGTGTTACCTCCCGAGTGAAATTTGGAAAAAAAGTTACTTATGTTAAGCTGTGTGAAGTACCGGGAGTGGTTGGTTTTATTGAAGTTTTTAGCTTGTGTTTGATGTCTAAAATACACACGTCATAACCATCTAGTGCCAATTAATCCTTGGCACAAAATTTGATTAAGTTAATTCTTAAAAAACAGGGAACCCTAAATGAAATGCTTTCATATTCAAAACTCAAACCTTTGGTGGTACAACATGGTAATTTCCTAACTGATCAACAAATCTTTACATTTGAGAGAAAAGCAACTGTCTGACTGATTTAACCAATGTTATCAGTCCAACAGTTATCAATGTAACTGCTTTTACCAACAAGTTGTACGTTCAAACAAATTTTTGCATCAAGTCAAAATCCCTAAACTACAAGAAGGAAACGAACTTTCATGCTCGATACAAGAAGGATATTCTGAAATTTCAATTCGTGACAAAAGAATAAATCATTGCTATACCTAAATTATACAAATCGGGAACTTTTACCGATACTTGTACAAAGGGTAGTCTACACTCAGAAAAAAAAAGTACATGTATGTCCTGAAGACAGGAAGAATAAAAAGAAATAGGACGCATATTAACCCTAACTCCCTAGGCCTTTTTGCTAGGATGTAGCCTCAATCCTGCAAAATCCTCCAATTGGCCTCATGGAAAAATAGCACATAGCCTCAATCCTGCAAATTCCTCCGTTATTTCTTAAATATGGTCCATGGAGGGATGACCACTGCCTGAATCCTGCAAAATCCTCCGGCTATGTCTGTCAATAGGCTGAGACAGAGGCAGTGACATCCTGGAGCAGTGCGGAGGATGTCAAGTATAATCAAGGACTAAATTTATGCACGGCTGAGCATAAACAACACAAGGTCCGGCCCAAGACCTTGACACAGTGCATACTCCGAAATCAGCAATGCACTTTTGCCATGTAACCTCAATCCTGCAAATTCCTCCAATTTGCAAAAAGGATTTTGGAGGATTCAGGGCGGTTAGGGTTAAAAGAGAAAACCAACTGACTGAAAAACAAACTTGAACACCTGAAACCAAAAGTAGCAGGTTTTTTTTTTTTTATATACAAGTACCTCTGGGGGATCTGTCAATAATTGGTGAAGTTCAGGTAGCTGATGTATAACCGCCTTCAGCGTGCCGCTGACACCATGAGCTAATCTCTCAGCGTCTAGCGCAGTCATTTGTTCCTGTCCCTCGGGCCTAAAGAAAGACAATACCATGCTGGTAAGGGAGGAAGCAAAAGAATGAAGCTTGAAAAAGACGGGTGACCAAACAACAACAACAGCAGCTACACACCAACAACCAAATTGCTTCTTCATTGTCTAGCATCTACCCTCGTCCGACATTTCAACTTGCAATGTCTTACATTTTTGTTATCCTTTTGGAAACGCTTTCAAATACTATTACTTTTCTCCAAAATTGGCTGAAAATTTGATGGACAGACAATGGAATGAGTAAGGAAATGAAGAAGCAATTTCTACTTTTTAACAGCAACATGTGCATTGCAATTGCTAAATAAATGTGTTTATATAAACAGTTCAGGGGTTGGAATAGTGACACAAAAACATGAATTAATACAAATGGGTGCTAAATCTAGGTGAATGCAAAACACAAACAGCTATAAGTGCAGACATTTCATTTGCTATCTTTTTTTGGTGAACATTTTGGAGCATTTGAGCAATTTATGGAGCTTACATGTAAAGGGGAGAAGTTTGGTTTCCACTACAACTGTATGGTGCCAATATATTTACAGATTTGAGTGAAATGAGTGAAATGAGATGCAAATATCATTAAATTGCACATTTTTAGTACTTAAACCAATACTCTCCCGATAGTTAAGTTGAAATCCTGACACTCCATGACTATTCTTGATGAACTTAAAACTATTTAGAGATACTGCAGCCACAATGGGAGGGTATCAATACGTTTGAGTAAAAAAAAAGTTTGCCCAAACGAAATAGCATCCTCCTGCTGTAGCTACCACATCTCAAACAAGCTAATGGCATATTTGGTATTTTTACTGTTCACAGAGCAAATTCAAAAAAGAGCAAATAATATTTTGCAAGACTTTCTAAAATGTTTTTAATGGCACAAGTGTGAAGTGAAAAAAATGAGAAAAATCTGGAGATCCAAGGAAAAGTTTGATGCCTGTAGATAGGGTCATTCTACAAATTTAGGGTCCAAATGCGACATTTTTCCAGTCTGTGTTACACTGGTGCTTTGTAATTTGGCATTCAAGTATCATTATGAATGACTTCAGATAAAAAAAATTTGTAAGTAGTTTGATATTCATAATCATAATCACTCTTGCAGAACAACTCCGAGAATTATAATCAGAATTCTAAAATCATACATGTACATACATGTATGTCAGATGTAACGGGGACAGGGAAAAAAAAAAGTGAACCCCTAATTTATAGCATGGTCCATATCCATGTGAACACCTCTGTAGACTTGTCTCCTCATGTTAGCCAGGGACAGGAGACATGTTACCTGACAGGATGTTCTCCATCATACACCAATAGGTGTTCAAGTGCCGCACCAAATTGGTGACTTCCTGCCCCACTCATTGCCAATATCAAGGGGTATTACAAAGTCATGAAGAGGATAAGGGAGGGGGGAATATGATTAGCTATGGAGCACTTTCATGTCAAAATGGGTGCAGCTGCTTGTATTTGAATGGCAACATAATACACTGCTTGACATACGGAACACATTAATTAGGTTATGATACAAGTATGGGAACGGGTGTTTCAATGTCTGTCATGCAATCCACAAGATTACATTGGGCATAGTATCAATGAAACCATGAATGGGTAATAGTACTGATTCTATTGTATAGTCCGCTTTCATGTGTCAGGCAATAGTTAGGGAATTTTCTTCACAAGAGTATAGATGTACATGTACATGTACATGTATAACAATGCACATTGTATGAGAATAGAGAGGTTTCGCAAGCGAACAGATACGCTTACACTTACATTTAGCTATGCACGTTTAGCGGATAGTGAGTGGCGTATGACGTCATAACTGATGACGTATCCGTCGCACTAAACGTATCCGTTTGCATGCGAAACCTCTCTATTGTTATTGCTGTGAAGATTACAATAGGGCGTCAATGGTACCATGACAACATGTTATGAGTAGGTAATAACACTGATGCTATTGCTCAACTTACTTCCATGTGTCAGACAATAATAGGGAATTTTCTTCGCACGAATAAACATGACAATATACATGTACATGAGAATGTTATTGCTGTGAAGAGTACAAAGGGCAGTGTCAATGTACCATATTGACTGCATGTTATGAATGGATATATTAAGCACTGACGCTATTGCACAACTTACTTCCATGTGTCAGACAATATGTTAAGAATTTTCTTTGCAAGAATATAGACGTATGACAATGTACATGAGAATGTTATTGCTGTGAAGATTACATACATTGTAGGGCAGTGTCAATGGTACCACAGTGACTACATGTTATGAATGGATATTAATAGCACTGACGCTATTGCGCAACTTACTTCCATGTGTCAGACAATAGTTAGAGAATTTTCTTTGCAAGAATATAGATGTATGACAATGTACATGAGAATGTTATTGCTGTGAATATTACACAGGGCAGTATCAATGGTACCATGTTGACTACATCATACATGTTATGAATGGGTATTTATAGCACTGATGCTACTGCACAACATACTTCCATGTGTCAGAGTACTCGGACAATAGAAATGCTATTGCTGTGAAGATTACTGACAGTCACCTAATGAGGGGACTTTAACCCTAACAACCCTGAGCTCATCAAGCTCCAACAGCGGGTTTTGCTTGATTTTGGCAGGGTTGGTACCGAACACTGGCCAGCTGGTGTTGGACTTTGATTGACTGGGTACCAAAGGCCCAGGGAGACCCTGTTGAATTTTGTGAGGTTCGGGGCAGAAGGGCATGAGATTTGTGAACACGTTGGAGTTTGAGGGAGTTCACGGTCCTCAGCACAGTTGGTGGTCAAATGTGCATGTACATGGGAGTTCACAGGCATTTATTCGTGGGTACGCTCACCCACGGTCCCCAGTACAGTTCCTGGTCAAATATATTGCTTTATTTTGTTAGGATTGGTACCATCCCTATCCAATCACTCGACAATGCATAGGCCCATCCATACCAAGTCAATCAAACTCCAACAGTTGGAGTTTGGCAGGTTTAGTACTGTTCCCCGTACAAGGCCTGTTGGAGTTTGGCAGTTTTGGTACCAGTGCTTACAGACCTGTATGCAGCTGTTGAAATTTGTTAGGTTTGGTATCCTTTCTAGTGCAAGAGCCTAGGGGGTTAGGGTTAACCCTAACCCTCTTAGATTATTTACAACTAGAGTATTTTGGAGGTAGGGGTGTGCATTGGACCCGGGTACCCAAGTACCCAACCGCTGATGTCAGGAACCGGTTCCAGATTATGGGATTGGGTATCCGTAACCAACTTTGGAAATTACTTAGTTACTTCTCAGACAATAAAAAAGAAAGGTTTTCAGTGGGAATTTTCAAAATGAAAACAACCTGGCTACATGGCAACCAAAATAGAGTTCATGTTATGTGCATTTTAACGCGTGACAGATGACGCTCGATAAAGTTGCAGTTTAGACGGTAAGACCGTAAGTTATCAAGACCTTCAGACAACTTCCGGGATTTGAATTTAGGGGTTGGGTTTCTTTTACGGTAACAGGATACCAGTGATCTTACTTCGACAGGGTACCCGGTTCCCGTACTACCCATAAATGCACATCACTATTTGGAGGATCACATTTGGGGAAAGTAGACAGAATGTGCTGTTGTTTTCATGAAGGATATAGGATTCAGGACATTTCCTAGCACAAAGACCAAGGGGAGGTACATGTACATGCGTGTAACGTTAATCTACACAATGATATCAAGTCTCAATACACACAGCATGACATTTAAGGGGTGCTGAAATAGCTGAAACATTGAGTTTTCTGCCTGAAATGACACCACACTTTTACTCGTGAATATGGAAACTTGCATTAGCATAAAAACCAAAAAGTCACCAAAATACCCTTCAAAATAGCAAAAAACGAAAATTGAAAATAAGGTTAAATGAGACACAAAGGGGCATTTCCAAGGATTCCGTTAAAAAAATGACATTACATGGGACCTGTAATCCAGGCTAAAAAGGGTGAAATGAGTTCAAAAATGGGTCCGTAAAAGAAAAAGGAACCTGCAAAGGTCACTTCACAAATGTCCCTACGATGAATAGACTTCCTCTTGACTCCATCAATGCACACATAACAGGGATTTTTTTGTGGTTTAGATTTCATTAGAAAGGTCCACACAGTGACTCACTGCATTTGTATCATAGGGATTTCCCTGTCCAATCAAATTACTGTCATTCAATGTACACTGTGTACAACGTACTTCCTTGCGAAAAAAATTTAGTTAATCTTCCTTCCTTCTTCCCACTAGGAACACCACTCAGACTGTCATTTCTGAATAAATCGGGGGAAATGTGAGTGAACTTAGGGGTATATTTTCTCTTCAGTAATATTTTATGGAAAATTTAAGTAGGCCAGACAGCAAACTCTAGATTTTTCCTTTATGGAATTGAAATTTCTTTTTTAGTCTGTTGACAATGATAAGTATTTAAGCGAGCAAATTTTGTGCAGCACAAAAACTTGTTATCACAACAATAACAAAAAATGTACACAACAGAAATGACATCAATGCATCAATTAATTAGACAAATCTCTCACTGCAAAACTACAAATGTATCACAACAATCACAGCATTACACAACACACAACCACATTTTAAGCTTCCCTCACAAAAAAAAAAAAATATGACTTGAAAAACTTTTTTTTAAACTTTTTTAAAACTAGAAACACAATGGTAAGCTGATATACATGTACCAACAAACAAAGTTGACGTAAAGGCATAGGCCTATTTGATCATTTGTTTTTTTACGCATTTTGTTCGTTTCCAAAAGAACACCACTCAATATCCAAAGACGAATGTTCAAAACCTAACCTGTTGAAATTTCAGCTCAGTGGATATTACACTTTTCGAGAAAACAGTGAAAAACCATGTACAACTTTTTGATCACGAAACAGGATTTCGCCGATAACACTCTGTGTTTCCCCTTAAAATCAGTCAAATGATTGATCATTGAAAATTCTAAATGACAGCAAGCCAGACAGAATAATTTCACGTGGTGTTTAGTGCCAGTACAATCTTTAGTCCAAGTAAGCTTTCAATAATAATTTGGTAGGTTACTTTTGGGATAAATGCAAATGATCCTACAATGCCTTTATACATTTTTCAATTACTTCCTAAATTAACTTTAGGTCTTTTTAAATTTTCAGGCAAAAAAATATAAATAACAAGATACCATTATAAAAAAATCACACAAAATAAACCTCCCACCATGCGATAAACTTACCCTTGCTTTTTGAATTCCAGGAGGGCCAGTAGTACACTGACGCCATTGACTAGTGCAGACTTAGATTTCTTCCCATGAAACATGTGTTCTAGTAACTCAGTCACTGTTTCTTGCCTGTATACAAAAAATAAAAGGAAAACATAATCCATAAAGGATGTTAATTTAAGCTGAAGAGGATGTGATAAGGCCACTCAACCAGGGACATGTTTCTAAATTTACCATATTTGCCCAGAGGTTTTATGAATATTTATCGAACTTCAGATAAAAATTGCCCAATTTCACTGTTTAACTCAATACCCCTTAAATATTATCTGCAACAAATCTGCTGGAAAGGACCAACAACATACCTTTCATGGTTTATTGAACAAAAAACAACAACATTTATTTCTTTTGCAGTTTAGGCTTTGTTCAACCAATCAATTTCAAAATTGGCACTGGTCAAAAAATATTTTCTTGACCAGTGAAAAGGATCTCTGTGCATGATGATGGCTTGGTTTATTGTATCTTAATGACTGACTGTACAACATATTGAGTTTTATCTGTCACGGTGTCAACAAAAGCTATTTAAGTGCGATCAAATACGGCGGGGTGGGAGAGGGGGAAAGTAAAAAATCCCCAAAATAATTGGTAGAGGATTTGAGAGTCCCTGAGGGCCCCTAGGTAACGTAAGGTATCTGTATGTTTGCATTTGCCAAAATGCACCCTTAAAATACAAATTTCTTTGGTTCCATATCAACTTTATAATAACCTTTACGGTAAAATCACTTTCATGGTCAAATTAAAGAATTCCAGATTTCAAAAGGAATTCTTTAAAATATCCTGTAATAAAAGTTCCTGATAATTTTCTTTTTCAAACCTGAAATCAGGACAAATCCTGACAAATCTCACCCCTGAACACAGTCAGTCAGTATTGGGTAATACAGAGTGGTTTAAAGGAACAAGGAAAGTTACGAAATGGCACAAACTTTGGTTTCACACCGTGTAACATATGAAAAAAGAACTGTTGGCTTTCATTCTTAAAGGGAATATACAACATTTGCAAACATCGAAAAATAAAACTACCAAGTTTTTACAAAATACCTTACTAGGATGTTGGTAAATGACAGTCTCAAGCATCTTGTAACATTATGGCACCTGGTGTGAATTCATTTTCGAGAAAATGGTATTTTTGTATACATTTCCAACGGTGGTCGGCCGACCAGCGTTGGAAAAACCTAACTATTTTCAACTACTGCTCCAAATTTACCATTTTTTAGTCCAAATTTTGTTTGCTATGGGTTACATGTTCATGAACGGGTGCAGGCCAGCTAGACTGGTTCCCTTGCCTTACAATTTTCCATCATCTATAAATTGATCCATTTTATCTTTTGTGGAGTCAGGGAACCAGACTACTTGAACATTTTTGTTTTTCTTGGTTTTTCCAACCTTTTCGAACACAAAACTTCACAAATGTCAGTGTTAACGATATTTGATCTATTATACTAATACTAACCCCTTGAATAGTTCATTTCCGAAAATTACAGCAAAAGCCAATGATGTACATTCCCTTTAAATGGATATTCTCTTACATGGCAATATAATTAAAGGGAATAGCGGCACACTTCAACAGTCACGTCGTGATTTGTCATGGGACATGTGAGCGGCATAAGGGAAGGGAGAGCTTTCCTGCCGGGTGGGGTCAGGTTGTTCGGATTGGCTAAGTCCGGGGATAGTGACGACTGAATGAAGGTCAATGGTTCAGGAAATTATTACTAGCTCTCAAGGATGTTGCTTGTGTTCCTCGCGGCCCAAATTCTAATGAGTTCATTTAAGGGGTCAGGTACGTATTGACGTGTTGATGGGTTGTAGGTAGACCTTATACGTTTAAGGGTCCATGACATGAATTTTTCCTAGGAACATATTTTGTGCAACTTTCTACTCCTCTTCAATGTATGAAAACTATTGGACATCCCTTTTTGGTTAACTTTATTGAAAAGTGCACTTTTTAAAGGGAAGATACAACAATTGCAAACATCAAAAAACAAAATTATCAAATTATCACGAAATTCTTTACTAGGCTGTTAGGGAATGACAGTCTAATGCATCCCGTACAATCCTGGCTCCTGGTGTGCTGACATTTGTAAGTAAAGTGCTATTTTTGTAACAATTTCCAACGCTAGTCGGCCGACCAGTGTTGGAGAAAACTGGATTTTTTCAAAAATTTCTTCCTTATTTTTCATATTTAGTTGTTCCACATTTTCTTTGCAACTGATTACACTCCTGTGAAGGGGTACAAACCAGCTAGACTGATTCTCTGACCTTATAATTCCCAAAGGTCTATAAATTGCTCTGTTTCATCTTAAGTGGGGTCTGGGAACCAGACTACAAGACATGATTGGTTTTCTTTGTTTTTCCAGCATCTACAAACCCGAAACGTGAAACAAGTCAGTGTAACAATATTTGCTTTAACATACTTTTCCTCCAAATCCATTTATTTCTGATAATTACAGCAAAAGCCAATGTTGTACATTCCCTTTAAACAATTGAAATATTCCATGCTTTTCTTGACAAATGAGGGTGCTGTTGCTGTGACGTCATTTCAGGAAGACTCTGATCAGTTTAGAGGGTTTCTGTGCAAGTTGTGAACCTAAAAATTGGTTTCTTGTATAGTGCTCATGTCCGTCACGAAGTGAAGTTCCTGTCGCTCTAATATTACCCGGCTTTAGAATGGCTGCCATTACGGCGCTCAAGCATTGAAGGAATTTCTTTCAACTGGTTACCCATTTACTACACCCGGGTGGAGAGAAGCAATCGTAGTTAAGTGTCTTGCCCAAGCACACAAGCACCATGTTCCCCGTCAGGATTTGAACCCATGTACCACGGAGTCAAACACCGTAACCATTGGACCACAGCATCCCACAGTATTAGTGTACAAAAGCGTGCATGTAAATAAACAATATTATATTCGTTCAACAAACTAACATGATTATGCTGATTCAGTTATTACTACAGAATAAACCAATAGTCAGTAAAACAGTTTGGCATTTGAGAGAATTGAGGACATACTCACTTTTCTAACGTTGTTAGCAATGGGTCACTCTCTGCACACTCTTGTAACTGTGACATATGTTCCCTGGTAATGCGCACAATGTCACACAGAGTCTGTGCAGCATTGCTGTGTTTATCGTCAGTCTCTTCGGGATCTATCAAATCCACTAATCGCTGGATAAACTTCTGCTCATTCAACCACTGTAAACAATCAAAACAAACCACGCAAAAAGCTTTGATGTATTCCAATTCAGCAATCAAATAGGGCTCCTTCAATGACAGCCATTTCTGTAGAAGTGCAACTGCGTATTTTACGCAATCTAGCACGCATTGCGTAGTGTTGAAAATGATCCAAACACGCGCGCTTGTTGCTCGAAATACGACGCAGCCGATGCGCGTAATGCAAGTTGAAGCTCAAATGCCGATGCACTTGGATGGTCTGTAGGAAATGACGTCATTTGAACGAGACCTATTCCCGCAAAGTTGCAAATGAAAATACTGACAACTGTGAAACAGCTTAAACTCAACTTTAAAAAAAAAAAAAAAAAATACGCAAACTCTTCCATATCTAACAATGATAAACGATGGTTGAGCGACGACCTGTTTGACTTTATTCACCAATAGGAAAACCCAACATTACGAAAGGGAGTTTAAAGTCTGCGACAGAGCCAATTAACCAAGATAATTCAGAGAGATGATCCAAAACTCCTCGACTGTAATCTCCTTAACCATTACTAGATGACAGATGTATATGAATTGAAAAACGAATTTACAAGTTTATTCACTGGGCTCTGAAAAGCTCCATCACGGACATTACACAACGTTGGAATTGCCCCTATGCAGTGGAGAAAGGATCTGTTGTTCAAAATGCAGACTCTAAACCTGTTCTATTTTTGGATTTCTTGAAATCTGTGGAGTTCTTACAGAAGACCAACAGGGTAAGGGGAGGGGGGATAATAATGAGTAGTCCAACTATTAAGGTGCATCAATCGATGAACTCTTTACTAAATCTTATGTATCCCTGTAGTTAAATGTGAAGTAAAGGTAGCAACTGACATGATTACCAACACGCCTCTGTGCACTCCTCAATGGTAGCAAACAGAGTATGGCAGGACTCTTGACTAAATTGCCGCTAAAATGAAACTAGTCGTCCTTACTTCACACCAAAGCGGCGATCACACACAGGTTTTTCCCACTCAAGGATCTCTAACAAGTGGTCATGAAGTGGAATGTGCACAGAGTCAATACACACAGGCTGACTACAAGAATGTTTAAAGATGTTCAGAATCAGGGAGTTTTACCTCTAGGAATTCCTGCCTGACTTCTCTGCTCTCTATGCACGTGATTAGCCTGAGGAGGAGATCCATGATGGCCGACGTGCCTAGATGATTCAGGAGAATGCCGATAGAGTTGTCTTTGCTTTTGAGGTGATTGATGACAACCTCAGGTCTCCGGACCAGGAGGGTGCCGATGGTTTTGCTGAAGAAGCTGGCTAGTAGCGGGTTGAGTGGAGGCTCATGGTCTAGGAAACCCCACAGTGCACTCATTGCCGACTGTAAAAAGTAAAATCAGGAACTCAGCAACAACATCGATATTTACCATCCTATTCAACAACTATCAGTATTTTGTTTCTATTTATACCCAGGGCCATGGGGAATTCAAAAGATGTGTGTGAACATGTTGGAGGACACATCCTCCAAGGCCTAACTTTAGCCATTCTCGGAAAAATAAAGTATACCTCACTAAGTAATAAACTGATTGCACTCTATTTTATGTTGAAAAGAGTGAGCCATTTTAGGGTGAGCGCCATGAGCGCCCAGCAGTGCGGACACTGGCAATGGTTCTTTCCAATATTTTGACAGGTAAAAGTAGGACTCACATTGTACACATCAACTCAAATTCTGCAAGCTACAATTCTAAGTAAAACTTGTAACAAAATTATTCCCCAAACAAGTCAAACCAATCCATGAACACAAGCCAACGTTTGCATGATTTTTTTGTTCAAAATCCTTTGCTAAAAAGTACGATAACTTACATCAGTCTCTGCAAGCTTATCGCTGATTTCTGCTACTTCGGAGGTTAGTAGCTCACAAGCCATGTTAGGGTGCTTGTACTGTAGTTGCTCCTCTAATTCACCCGAGGGCTCTTTGGTGATGTAAGAAATCAACTCGTCCATGATTTCAGATCGCGATAGGCTGAAAGGGAAAGAAAGAGAAAACAAATCATGGTAACTTTCTTCACACTAGATGTCCTTGTGGTAGTACTTTTTCCTAGTGTGAAGCATATCTGATGTGTTTATGGCAGAAATACTTGACTGTCTTAAAATGTTTGTTTGATACATTTTGGGCCTCTTTTTTATTTTGTGCAATTTTGGACAACCAGAATCAAAAATTAGCTTAACCCTAACTCCCAAGCGTCTTTTACTAGGAACTGGACCAAGTCCATCAAAATCCATCAATCACTGTGCCTCCAATACAAAACTGTACATGACATAATGGAATCCACCACTGACACACTGGTTGACATTCATGGACTTGCTACACATGGCTTTATCACAATAGCAGTACAGGAAGCTAGGCAAAATCAATTGGATACCCCTAGCACTGCTTCAGGCCATCAGGCCCAAGTCCATCATACCCCTAACCCCCTAGTACTTCCTCAGGACTACCCTGCTAAATCCAACAGAGTCCAACCGGACTTTCCTGTTCAATCCACTGTGCCTCATTTTCAGTTGTCTGCTGAATCCAACGAGGTCCAACAATGCGTTATAATGCGGTTCAGTTGCCTGCTGAATCCAACATTTTGCATTTGAATGTACACAAGGGGTTAACTGCTCAATCCAACAGGCTCCATCGGGTGACATAGTTGGATCCGGTTGGATTCAGCAGGGTTAGGGGTATTACTCCATCAATATTTAGTCACTCCAGGCCTCCTGGACCAAGTCCCCAAAATCCACCAAAATGGGGTATGGATTTTGATGGAGTTGGGGTGGGTTAAACATGTTCCTTTTTGTAAATGTTTTAAGGCTACAAATATAAAATTTGAAACAGTAGAAGTTTGGTGTAATCAAGCACAAGAAATCTTGAATGCATTTCCCAAACATGTTCAATTGATTGAAGTAAGTCAGTGTTTCGTTACAAGCTAGAATGTATACCAGTATTTACTTACTAGTCAATGAGCTTTTTGTTTTGAGCCTTGCATTCTTGTAGGATATCATCCTCGTCGAGCAGCTCAGTTAATGTCACATCCTGCAAATCCATGCAAATGTTGGGATAATTAATTAATGGGACTTGACGTCCTGATATCTCAGAAACACATCCATTTGATTTCATTGATTCAGAGTCTGGTCTACAGGAAACCAGCATAGTGTGTTATGGTTACCAGGAAATGGTTGAGAAATAGAAAGTTACTTCTACACAAAGCCAGCACTAAAAACAACTACTGGCGTACGTGGTCAGCCTATAAACAAATTGTGCATGCAAAGCCTGGCCACTAGGCAATCAGCATTGTTTGTTCATTGCTACATGTACCTGTTCTCTGTTTAGTAGAAGATTCCGGTCAATGCATACTCAACCATATTTATAATGTATTTTAGGATTGTGAACAACACGGCACTTAAGGACCTTAGATCTCAGCTGAGTGGGTGTTTTGGGGGTTTCTTTTGTGTGTGTGACAATTTTACTCTTCTATGATTCACGAAACCACCTGCACAACACAAGCACCCCAGGAAGTTTGGTGCAATGAATTATAAAGGAGAAATTTGTTTCTGTACGTTTGCCCATGTCACGTTTGAGTTACTGACATTAAACGTATACTTATAAAGCTCCATTTTAATGTTCACTGTGTGCGCTAGGGCTGTCTACTTTCATATAGTTTAGTATTTGATTATTCGGGAAAGCGTTTCACCGAATACTCACATATTTGAAACTCTCTGACCAAGTTTTACACACGCCAGCTGCAACTGCTTGCTGTGCCGGTGAAAAGGGGTTAAAATTTGCGTGCGGCAATCGATATTATGGACCACTGTGTTTACAGTAAGTATTTTTATAAGTGTCAAGGGATTTGACCTGCTAAAAAGATGGGAACAATCCTTTTTTAGCATCTGACATCTGAAAATAAAGCGCCGTAGTTGTGTGTGCACGTGCATTTTTTTTTCTTTTTCGCATATTCCAACCGACAAAAAGCTATTCGAATATTCAGTTGATGATCGAATATTTGCATATTCGGTATATTTGAGACAGCCGTAGTGTATGCATTGGACGACACAAAAAAAATACTTGTGTAGGCCACAGATGTTGCATGCAAATGGTACTAACTGATATCTTCAACTTCATGAAAAGCTTTTAAGAATGGCTAAGATTTGATTTAATCAGACTACATGTATTGTGGCTTACATTTATCTGAACATGTTATTTGGACAAATGAATAATAAGATTTGAACCAGCCAACCGATCCCGTTAGCTCGGTGGTCGAGTGGTAAGACATCTGCACTAGAAAGCAGGAGGTCGTGGGTTTGAGTCCCACCCGAGTGATTTTTTCCAACTTTCACTCGGGAGGTAACACACTGAGTATACAGTGTTTAAACGTCGCTGAAGGGCAAAAACCCAAATTTGAAATGAATAATTGTTCTCAGCAAGTGGCACATTTGTTTTCAAACATGCCTTGAGTGCAGAGTGAACACTAGAATATTAAAGACATTTCAAAAGAATTTCTGAGCTTATGAATAATGCAAAGACTCATTGATCAACATGTCCCAAGGCTTTTTCATTTATTTTAACTTCAAAGTTTTGCGTAGGTTGCACTTTGATCTGACTGCGCGCTAGGTGACACATATATGCAGTCAAGTGGATTTGCTGTGGTTTCACATTTGGGTAACAATTGCCACTATCAGGCTCAGCAACCATCAATAACTGAACTTTACACAGGAAAAGATAAGCAAAAGATTTGAAATGTGCATTGCGCAAACCCTGCGACCATCTTCAATGGTATGAATTATGCACATTGATATGTAACATACAAGCACATGGAATGATGTGGCACATACCAACAAGTGTGCAATGCATATATCGGAACAATAAGGTCACTAGGTCTTTTAAGTTCGCTCAAAACAAAAAGTTGCATGGCCCCCCCCCCCCCCAAAGGTCTGCTTCCGATTACATGGTATTAGAAAATAGGGTAGGTAGGTATTGGGAATTATTTTGGGGGGCCAATTTTTTTTGGTGTACGATCATACATGTATGGAGGTGTCTGCGTGTAGTCAAGGGTAAAAGGTACAAATTGGTGGTTTTGGGTGCTTGTTTTTTTCTCATTTTTCCCATAAAAAATTAGGGTAGGAGCTGCAATAGGGTAGGTCGTAGAAACCTGAAGCAGAATTTTAAAAAAAAAATTTTTGGCCTAACCACTTGCATCAACCTTTCATAATTATCTAATAAGGTGGACGTCAAATCGGAACAACGTTTCTCTTTAACCACAACAATCATGGAAACGGTCCAAAATAGGTTTAACCTTGATTTCTTCTATAATTCCAATGATGCCTGATCAAACTTTTTTTCCTCATGAGATCCGTGCAAGTCACTCAAGCATTCACATGCATAAAAGTGAGGTCAAGGGTTTAGATGACTAACGAATTTGCCTTCTCTTGCAACACTCAAACCTGGACTAAAGGAGGCTCTTTTACTACTTGAATGTACTACAGTGGATTATGTAATTGTACACTGGGGAAATATACAAGCACAGGTTGGTCAAATAGTGTTAAATTAAAAAAGATTGCTGAACATGTCATGATTGTTAGTCACAAGGCATTTCAAAAGGAAACAATGAATGTATGAAATTAAATGTTTCCTGTGTGGGAAAAAAAATGGTACGATTCTTCCTGTCCAACACAGAAACATACTGTGTGTGGTGCCATTCTTTTACAGCACATATATACAAATGCCATTTAGTCCAGACTTTCCAAGTTAAAACGGATACTTCAAGAGAAATTTGTCAGTGTTTGTGTTGAACTCATACGTCCAACTTGCAATCCATTTTAATTCCAAAATTAGCATAAAATTGTTGGTTCAGACATTTCGAATATCTTTCACCTTTTAGAATGTAACATGATCTAGAGTTTTGTGGAATTTGTGAACTCCGCAAAAATCAAAACACATTTCATTCCGACTCATTTTTTTGTAGAATTAATCAGACTTCAGATTTTGCTTTTGATGTACATGTATTCTAATGTATCCAGCAGAGTCAAGTTAACACGACACTCAAGTTGTTTTCTAGGATTCTTCAAATTACCTCCTTCTCTAGTAAGGTGTCCACTTGGGACGTAGTATGGACATCAAATTTCCAGAACATTGTGGATTTTGTTTTCAGATCTGCAAAATAAAAGTGAAAAGTAATCATAATCAGTGTCAGAGAAATCATCTGGAGTCTATTATAACATCAACTAACTTAACAGCATGTACACTATTAGTTGATTCCATCACATTGATAAGAAGGTTTAAGTCACTACTCTGAATGAAGATGTTGTGATGACATCGAAAGCTACGTCACTGCAGTATTTTTGATTCCAAAAAAGGTATCTAAATATTTCTTATCACCTAATTTACTTGCTTGGAGCAATTCTATTTAGGACAACAAATACAGTTTCTTTGTTGTAACTTGTTCAATGGTTAATTTAGAAAATCTGTATTCACATATTACTAAGGAATGATACATTTATTAATGTTAAGTATTAACCCTAACTCCCTAGGGGGTGTGTAAAATTATATTGAAATTGGAGGATTCACGACTGTTAGGGCTATTCTCTTTTATTGGTTTATCAGTTGAAAATGAAAAGTTCACTTTGTATATTTCAATCTGTCAATACTTCAGTCATCCATGTTCACACTGAGCGCTTTCACTCTAAACTGAAAGTTTTTAGCAAAACTTAGTATCCCTGGAAAAAAAATTTTGAATTTTAATTTTGGTAGGGAATTTTTTTGTTGAATATGCATAGATAATCAAGGTAGCAACCGTGCAATTTGATGGTAGGGCTTAATTGCCCATGCATGCACACATACACCACAGTGGGTGCAAACCTCCATGTGATTACAAACTTGGTACATGTATGCTGATAATGCCATAAGCAATGGTTTTTGTACCAGTAGCCAATCCCAAGTAATTGATATCCCAGTAATTTATAATTGTCCACTCCACTCCCAAGACTTGACACAAGACCATAGATTTGATAACTGCAAATACAAGGACTTTTGGAAACGCAATCAAACAACACATACAGTGTAGGCTAAATATAGTTCAAGGAAGAAACACATACACGGTGCAAAACAATTAAAGTCAAAAACATTATCTTGTAAACGTTACTTATCATTTCAATAATAGTCAGTGAAACAAAAACTGAAGTCATGCAAGTGTGTGCCTCCAGAAACATTTTCATTTTCCATTAATATGGAGTGAAAACCTTCATTTCACTTTGAAAAATTTAAATTTAAATTTTCAAAATGTTAAATCTTATGTGAGGCCAAGTAAAAAAAAAAACAATGTCTTGTCCCATTTCTATCTTCCTGGCTGCCTTTTTTTTTCTTTTATTCATACATTTGCAATATATTTTGCACATATGTGTCAATATAGGTCTATTGTCGTTTTGTTTCCAACACAATTGTAGCTAGAGGTAGAGAGGGTTATGGCTCCTTTGGAGGCCATTTAGTATCAGCAAAGTAGTCAAGAAAATTGAAGAATCCATCTGCCCAGTGTTTCCCCTGCCCATTCAAACGTGAGGTGGCCCACCTCGCTACTTTCAGTGACCACCTCGCTCAATTTTTGCCAATATCACCACCTCGCTGTGAAGATTGGCAAAAAGGAAATATCAATTGAAAAATTTTCATTTTGTGTAATTAATATATGAGCATTTTCCTTTACCTCCATGTATCAAGAACTCACAATTTTGATGTGTTTTTGGAATCATCGCGCATTTTTGTGAGCACTGCATTCTTTTCAGTTTGCAGACTGTAAATTTCGTTTCAATCATCAACTTGAATTTTTACTACCTCGCCCAGTTCATTAGCCAGGGGAAACACTGCATCTGCCATCTTGGAAAATCTGCCATCTTCGGGGAAAAAGCAGGAAAGAATGTTGCAACCTGAAGCACTTTTTTCTTCATAACTATAATCGTCTCAATAAAGGTTAGTCATTGAAAAAAAATTTAAAAGACATGAATCTGTGACTGAGAAACATTTCCAATTTTGTTAGGAAATACTTAAGACAATTTTCTTGACTCTCCATACACTTTATTACACAACCGCTGAAGTGGTGTCTGGGTACTGGGCCTACATCCTTTCCAAAAAGCAAAAGAAAAGTCACCGCCTCCTTCATTTCTTAAAAAAGGCCAGACGAGAAACTACTTTACTTATTTTTGATACGGCACAATCAATTCCAAGAAAAAGAATGTCATTAAGGTCTACAGCCCATTTTCTTTTAAACTAACAAACCAACAATTTAAATGCAAGATAGTAGATAGCTTAACTTGTAAACACGGAAAAAATGTTGCAACCCGACGCCACTTTTTTCTTCATATATCATCTCAATGGAGGTCAGTCATTGCAAAAATGATGATACGACATGAATCTGGGCCTGAGACAATGTGAGATACATTTCCAATTTTGTTAGGAAATACTTAGAAAACTTTCTTGACTCTCCATGAACTTTATGCACAACCGCTGAAGTGGCGTCAGGTTGCGACATTTTTTCCATCAACACTTGCACACCGACCATGCTGACAACAAACATTTAACATATTTGGGCCTATTTAATCATGCTGTTTACATTTTAACTGCAAAGTGCAAGAAAAAAATCTTTAAATTACGACACCGTGTACAGTGTATGTTTTAAACATGCATGCACATGTTTTAAACATTTAAAACGTAAGAGAACAAGTCTTTTTGTCATAATTATTGCATGTATTTAAGCCCTTCCAAAAATATGACGTGCTGCTGTACTGAGAGACAGTGACATTGTCACCAGTCGATCATGTCGATATGCCAGCGCGGTATGCCGGTAAATTTCCGACATTGAAAACGCCCTCCCAATCGACTGAAAAATCGTCCCATACTTACTTCTTTTTTAAAGAAGGTATACACAATTATTCTCCGCTCCCAGGGAGGGAGATTCACTTTGTAAACAGGGTACTGTTTCGCTGAATTCGTTGTTGTACTTGTAGAGTTATCGTTCAAGCCTCTATCCCATTACTCAAAACTTGATTTTGATCCTTGCACGACGACGAACGTGTAGAAATCCAACGGGAAACACCACACACGTTTATCGGTATTCTGCCTCCGAGATTCCACAGTAAAAACAAGCACTCGTACGTCCTACAGTCACCTATTATGCTATTTAATACAATGTACACTTATCATAGCTTTCTTTTGTATGGAAAATTGAACTACATTCCTTCAACTGCAACATTAACAGTCTTGTATTTAATGTTCTACGTTTATCGGGCGCGAAAATTTCAACGTTCGCAATATCCAATATGGCGGCTTCTGAGAGAGGTAATGAGTGCGCAACCCATAATACTCTTCTCGTCACGTGACACAGGTTTCAGCGAATGACGTCATCTAATTTCGTTCATTAGCTGGCTTTATATTCAGATATTACTTATTTTTTGGAATAAACAGTATTTTTTAAATTCCTCGTTTTAGTTCAATTTTACAGGTTATTTTGTGATCATTTTGAGGAATAGAATTGTGTTACTGTTGATCAACCTCACAACTTTTCTTATAACTTGTTGGCAGAAAATTAATTACAAATCGGACTTGAAATCGAGTTGGACTTTGGCCAGCTATGTAAATAATAGCTGGCCGAAGGAAAACAAAAATACGGAACTTTGACAGTCTTGTATTTTCTTGAAATCTTCATTAAAGTTTGAATCGCCAGGAACAAACTTTTATACATGAAGCTGCTTTGAGAGAGGATAGCCTTTTTGATTGATTAAATTAATTTTTCGTTTCAATCGTAGTTATGGGGGGGGGGGGGGGGTCAAATTCCTACTAATTTGACATCGTCATCTGGTGGGAATTTATCATAATGCAGGGGAGCAGAATTTGAAATTATGTTACGCAAGCACTGTAATAAATGATTTAGGTACAGCAAGTGTGATGTACTACCGCTGTTTCTCTTTGTTCTGATATTTGGTTTCATTGTATTGTACATGTACACCTCAGTGATCCACTCATGGATGATCGTTTATTCAGTTAGCTAGCTCAAGTGCAATTATGAGATGGTTGAGGGCGCCATTCAACAAAGCTAGCGTTGAAGCGTGCACGAGCATGGGTGCATTATGTACATGTACGTACGTACGTACACAATGCAGGGGCCAGAATCATTCAGTTCACCAATGAAGCTTTGTCTGCGCGTAACGTGTGAGCGGTAGCCATCTGCCGGTCGGTAAGTGAATTATGTATTTTGTACATTTTTCCTCATTTTTGCAGCAATTCTAAAACAGGCAAATTTCACAAGTGGATAAAAGATAGAGATAGCTACTCCACTGGTTAAGTTGCATCGCAAGTCAAGCGCTGTTCTTGTTTTAAAACGGTAAAAACTCAAATGGCAATCGCTGTTGCCTTCGATTCTTTGTTATGCGCATTGTGTAGTCGCATTCGAAGGTAACGTGCGGGATTTTTTTTTATTTTCATTTCCGCTTGATGCGATTGATTTAAGCCATGTGTGCATGTTGCCCACCATGATGTATTGGGATCAAATTTGACAAACTCTGCATGTTGCCATACCGATTTACGGGAATATGACCCTATTTGGTATAGCATTTTGCTGTGCCCAGAATTTGTAATCAACCCTTAGGGGGACCATGACATACACCCTGTTAGGGTCGCGGGGGGTACGTGTCGCGTGCGTGGCACGTGCCATATCGGTAGCCGCTAATACCGTCTACAGTACAGATGTGTACACAAAGCATTTGCAGCGTAGTACAGCATGATCAGCAGTCTTTGTGTGCAGAACTGCAGATATCGGCTTTTTTAGGAATAACAAATTCTGGTTTCGTTGTTAGACGATTTATAATCGTGCCTTCTACCATTTCGTGAAATGTACAGGGTTTTATCAATTTGGGAAGTTTTTACTGGCCTGTTTTGGTTGTGAGTTAAAGGGAAAATACAACATTTGCAAACATCAAAAAATAAAACTACCAAATCATTTTGAAATACCTTGCTGGACTGTTAGTGAATGACAGTGTAAAGCATCCTGTAAAATCATGGCACCTGGTATACTGTCATTTTCAAAAAAAGTGGAATTTTTGTATCAATTTCCAACGCTGATCGGCCGATCAGCGTTGGAAAAAACTGGCTTTTTTCAAATACTGGCCCCAATTGACCATCGCACTTGTTTGCAATCGATTACAAACCTATGAACGGGTACGAGCCAGCTAGACTGGTTCCCCGACCTTACAATTCCCAAATGTATGTAAACTGCTCTGTTTCTTCTTATATGGAGTCAGGGAACCAGACTACAGGAAAATGATTGTTTTTCTTGGTTTTTATAGCATTTTCGAACCCAAAACCTCAAAAAAGTCAGTGTAACTATATTTGCTATATATTTCCAACCCCCCTATTCCATCCATTTCTGAAAATTACAGTAAAAGCAAATGATGTATATTCCCTTTAATTGTGTTGTTTTAAATAGCTATAGGATGATGCGATATCATTCAGTGACAGTGCAATAATTATATAGAAACGAAAAAGTTGTTCTATATAAGTATGTAAATTACAATCATTCATATAAATGGCCATGATGTTAGTGAGAGTGCTGTTAGCTGACAGTTTAATGAAACCATTGGCAAACCAATCCAAAACCAGGGGAAAAAATAAACTATGATGCGCATCTGCTCTGTAATTAAATAAGACAAAATCAAAACATTACTATAGTGACTGACAGTAACATAATGAACAAACAAAATTATAAGGCGTTTACTCAAATTTGGCTGTATTTATGTATAATTAGACGTGAACGTGAAGTTATGTAGCCTGCCTCTCGATTTGATGTGCAAAAGAGAGCAAACAAACAAAAACATTTAACTGACAAAATTGGCCGAAATCCCCAAACACCGCAAACTTTGCACCACCAAATATTTTAGACACAAATATCTGATTCCAAATTTGGACAACTTACTGCAATATTTTGGTACGTGTATGCATGTCGACAGACTGTAGGCATGCACCGTCCTGTGGACATTAGATTTTCATGCTTGTGTATTACCATAAGGTCAGGATAAAAATACACGCAGTATTGCAGTGACCTAGTTTCCCTAGGTGTGACCATGGAGCTATCCTTTTTTTTTTAAAGCTCCATGGTGTGACCCAAGTCCCAACGTGAGGGGCTTATACCATGGAGCTATAAAAAGTAATGTTGTTTGCAAGGTCCATATTCCTTCATACATTTCATGCATCTGTTCCTCGCGCTATTGGGTAAACACCCGTGGTGCCTCTTAACGTCTTTTTAGTCCTGTCTTTGTTCCTTCATAGCGGAAACGTACCCCTAAACTATCCGCCTTTGCCACCTGTCCTTATTCACGCTTGGCTGAACACCGACAACACGGCACGCGCCATGTGTATAATCGGATTCTATTTTAAGGGTTTGTTGTAAGGGAAACGTTGGAGAGATAACATCTTTTCCCCGACAAACGAGGGAAACCCCCATTGAATGTGCCATATCATGATGTATATATACTGTTGCATGGATTTTCCTTTGTTAGTTATTCAACGTAGACCAAGCACTAGTTGGACCCATGTTGGACCACATCACAACCAAACAACACATACTGGGGACACTGGCCCCACTCTACACAATGACCTTACAAGCAACCGCACTATATATTCCCGTAAAGGAACAATAATAAGTTGCAGTTAAGTTTCAGGCAAGTTATCTTGTAGTTTTGTAATAAGCTCAGGTGGAATTAACCGCCAACTCATTGTTTTTAAAACGAACAACATTCCAACCCACAATCATCCATCGCAAATCATGACTATAGTCAATATTGTGTTAGGCCATCCCCATGGTCTCACTGTTAATGACACGGAATATTATTTCGATAATTAAAAAGACAAATGACATCATTTTGGATGACTTCCAACTCGGATCTGGCAATTACGTTGTAGAGATTGTGATTTCATATCGCTCCTTGGACGCGCTGATCAAACACATACGCAGTTACGGCCCCATTGACGACAAATTCGTGTTTGTAAAAACTTTGATGTACATGATGGTTTTGATATACATGAGCGTTTGTGTGGTATGTGAATTCGTAGTACCTCCATGAAAAGATAAATCAGCTGTTTCATCATTTCCTGCACGGACGGAAGTATAATTAACTGACGTCACTTTTATTGATATTCTCTTCAGTTCTTTATTAGATGCAAAGGAGTGTAGCATCAACTTTTCTTCAGAGTCGACTCTTGCCGTTTATACACAACTTAACTTGCCATATATACATTCCAGCCATGTTTGCCTTCCATCGACCCAAGATTTATCGGAGTATCAACGGCTGTTGCATCTGCAAAGCAAAGTCATCAAGTTCAAGGTTTACAGGTGAATATTATTTATAATTTATCTGTAGAATAGAATAGTTATAAAAACCAAATATTCAAATCCAGCACAAAATAATACACAGATTTGAATTTTCTATATAATGTATGATCTCGAATGTCAAATAAATCCCTATAAATCTTACCGTTCTGTAGTGATTTTACTTTCAGACCCTTTTTAGTTCTTTTCAAACTGGGTATTTTTTCTCTCTCTCTGTCGCAATTCACAGACAGTAAGAAGTACGAGAACGAATTTAAGCTGTGTTTCAACCTTGAAGAGGAGCAGAAACGAGCAGGAGAGATCTGCAACGCTTGCGTGCTGCTCATCAAAAGATGGAAGAAATTACCCAAAGGAACGGAGAGAAATTGGAATCACGTGAGTTAATTTGCACTGCAGACAGTGGGTCAACTCAGAGTTGTGTTTTTTAAAGCAAGGCTTGCCTACAGCCGAGCTGGACCCGGAAGTCTCGGTTTAGGACATGATATACCCGGTCAGTTAGTTAGTCAGTTAGTTAGTCAATTAGTTAGTCAGTCACTCAGTTAGTTACTCAGTCAGTTACTCAGTCGGTTAGAGGACAATTAGAGTGGCCCTTTGCTTTCAACAAAAATCCACATCCATTTTTGAAAGGCTGCATGCCTATAGGCTGTTATATACAGTAATAGCCATAACCGTAGCCATGTGATTCGCGAACGTGAACTAAGACGCTGAACATTGTCAAGAGAGAGGCTTGTTCTTTCAAGGGTGTCACGGTTCCTTATACCCATTCGTCTTGCAGGTGGTCGATGCCAGAGCTGGACCAGGAGGCAAGAGTCTGCTACGGAGCAAATTGAAGCACACGCCCATCAAGTCACAGCATTCGAGTCATGGATGTTGCAACATTCGGAAACGCAAGCATCGAAGTGCCGAAGGAATTAGGAAGATGAGACTCATGGACAGATTATCACAACATAACAGAGAGGGTAAATATTTCCTCTTTGCTATACGGCACCATAGCAGAGAAAGGGGAATCCTTGCTCAAGTGCTGTCTTTGGAAGTTCACGTGCTCTCTTTGGAATGAAGAGCTAATAATAAACGACATGCTGCCCGTATGCTCTTCAACATATTCGAATTTTCAACTTGAATGTCTAAGGAAATTTCTACTTGAATGTCTTAAAGAATTCAGGGCCTTTTATTTTGAGTTGCTTTCGAGCACAGATCGATACAGTAATACTGGTTCTCGCGGTGCCAACATTATCGAACCAGTCTAACTAACCCTTGTGAGAATTGTCGGGCTGTAAATAAAATCATTTGAATTTCACAATTATTCCATAACTTAATGCAGGCCGATTTCTTTCATTCGATGTCTCATTCAAAAATGATTTTCTATTTTCGAAAAAAAAATTAGAAATCTAAAATGTCGATTGCTTGTGAAAGATAATGTCTAAAAATTACCATATTTATTTCTCGGTGTGAAACTCGAAAAAGCACTGCGGGCAATAAATCTTTACACGTCATGAAAGTCAACTAAGTTAGGTTTAGGCCCCCCCCCCCAAAAAAAATTCTCGGTCTCTGGTCAGCGTGCGCGTCGATTTTAATCATGCGCGTCAACTTTTTTTCTTCAAATTAACACGGAAGCTACAACAGCGCCCTCTATTGCCGCACCTCCTCAAATGTTTGTACCAAGGAGCACGAAGGAATGGGGAAATTGCACCAAGGCAAATGATAAAGGGCACCAAGGCATATTATGGAGGACACCAATGTATAATGAGGACACCAAAAAGCAAAATAATACCAACCTTGTCTGTACAATTCAAGCTTGAAAAAAGCCACCCCCCCAAAAAAAAAAACGCGTCGCCGCATCAATTCCGGAACTTCGGTCTGACCAGAGACCGGCTATTTTTTATTTTTTTGTGCCTTATTGCGAATAGTTAAAATTAACAAGAATACAAAACATATAGACAGATATTCAGTTGGCGGCCATTCTAGGTTTTTTTTACTTGTGCTTATAGCGTGTTATCAGAAGAAACTGGATTGAGTAATTTTGTATGGATTTGAAAATGCTAGACTTTTGCCGGGCTTTTGACGTCATGAGTTCACCTTCTTCTTTTTTGGCAGATACAGACAAAGCCCCGCTCAGTCCGACCGCGAGTGAGAGCTCTATTGATGATCTAGATGACATGAGGAGTGGGAATGGTATCGAGATGATGACGGGCAAGGAACGATACGATCTACCGCCATCATTACGGGCAATATTGGACACGACGTACTGGAAAATGTAAGATTGAGAAACTCGTATTTCGATTGCAGTCAATTGTTTATACTTATGATAATAATTAAGATAATCCTGACAGTGACAATAAAAGGTTGCATCGCAATCTCAATTAGGCCAACAACTACATGATGACAGTAGACGTAGCCGCGTATATCTGGAGTTTTGTTTCGTTCACGGCCTGCCCTTAGCTATATTTGATAAGATTGCAGAGCTCATTTGAACAAATTACCTAAGTTACCAAGATAAACTGAGTTACCGTCAATCGTGTCTTACCATTGTTTTTTTACTCCACACTACAGGGAACACATCTGCTGTGGTACCATCTTCAAAGGAGGCAAGGGTGAGGTGCTCATTGAACCCACACTCTTCAAGCCTTGCACCTCATGCACCGATTCTACGGTATCTACTCCCCCACGCCGTACCGCCTTCAAGACGGCAGACGTAAACAGAGACGCACGGCCAGATAGCCTGGGTAGCGACGATTCACTGGACATCTCAGATCGAGAGATGGACGAATGTACGGCTGATGATGAGACTACGAGTACGGAAGGCGACGTGTTGGATTCGTTGATGGGTTTATCTGAGGTGGCTGCAGTCAAAAAGAGCGTGGTCGTTTAGGGTGTGGTCAGGGGAGGGGACTACAGATGTTTCGGGGTCGGGTTTTACAACAAATTGGATGTAATAAAACTGAAAAAAATATTTCGAGTAACTACGAAACGGTTGTCGGTGGACAATCGGGGAGCCGAAGGGAAAAGGTGTTCAATCCTTTGTAGAGTTTGTACATAATCAATTAAAACTCCTAGTTTTTAAACAAGTTCCAGAGAATGGGGCGATTCCTTGAACTTAATTTGCACATATTTCAAAATATATCCATGAATGAAATGATATTCATAAATTGCCAAAAATGTCGTAAACTATTTAAAATGTCATAATACATCGAGATGCATTCCATTTTTTTATACTTACGATACTTTTTTTTATACTTACGATACGTTTCTTTGTCCCGGTGCTTCCAAACTGAATTATATTAAAGTTGACTACCTCCTTGACTATGATGCCATTGTTTTACAAAAGAAAAATAATGAAGTCTCTGTTGATTTCACCTTTAAGCAGAAAATGCGAAAATTGCAATTGTTTCAAGAACAACATTGAGCTTTTTCTGCCAGTTAAATAACGGTACTGTGTATGTTTGTTTAAGCACGGCAGTTTTAAACTGCGAGTATGAATTTTTGTTAAATACCAACAGTGGTGGTTGGTGCATTGCTCATTTTAAACCATTTTTAAAAATAATTATATATTTTGCCTTGTAAAGGTACTAACTATGCACAAACAATCCCAGTGTGCTTTTTGAAAGCCGAGGTGCAATTCAACCTTAACCAGCCAAAACTGAACTATACAACTGCAACCCTTTTAAGAAAAAAATCCTGCCATTTCAAGATATATTGTTATGCTGTACTTTAACTATTTCTGGACAGGACATTCGATATGCACCAAAAACGCTAGAAGATTATTCCATAAGCTGTAAATATATTTATTACATTTTTAAAACGCGACCTTAACAGGACTCTTTTCCAGAATACAGTCGACTCTCATTATAAAGAGCACTTTTATAAAGAGGTTCTGCTTATATAAGGAGCAAATTCTGAGGTCCCAAATCTCAGGTTCTCTTGGTGTTTCTTTGTTTCGCTGTCCTTTTATAACAACATTCCTGTTATAAAGAGGTAATTTGGCTAGTCCCATCGACCTTGTTATAGCGAGAGTCGACTGTAGTGACATACAGTGTCAGTATTTTTTATTTTTCGACAGAGGCTCCAGCGAAGTTTGAACGATAGTGGCCATTTTACTGTCACTGTTGGAACGAACATGTTTATTTTTTCGTGCAGATAGAGACCCATGTTTCACCTGAAGATGAAGTGCCTCCTTATTTTGGCAAATTAACTGGACAACAGATGATTTATGAGATGTATTATAAGGTGTGATATGCAATGAGGAATATCTGTGGTGCTGTATATAAGCTTGGTTGACAAGTGCTGAATTGTAAATGTGCGTGTTAGTGATGTTGGTTAGGCTACATGACAGGGAATGTTTACGGAGGTTCAAGCTCATTTAATTTGTTGGTTTTTTGTCAGTGGCGGGGGAAGTGCTGGATTCCCTTTGAAACGCCGCTGACGCAAGCGTAAAGTGTTTACTATTGCAGTAAGGTGCCGCATTGTGTGCATTATGTATCTTGGTAGTCAGTCTTTGTATTCTTGTCAACTAATGTGACTTGTGAAATATTGAAAGTAAAATGAACGAACGTATGATAAATGTGTTTCTTGGTTGTCTTCACTAATATCAAAGTGTTCAATCGAAGGTAGTGGCGTAACTACGTGGTGGCACGGGGACACCCCCCCCCCCCCAGCGGAGATCCGTGCCCCCGGGTCCCCCCCCCCCCAATTTAAAATCGTTGATTGCACACTCAAAATATAATTTGCCCTTATGCCCCCCGAAAAGAATGGTGAACCCTGAGGTCCCCCCCCCCTCCCCCGCAGTAGCAGTTTACCCCTATACGCCGCTGATCATAGGTGCCTTGTTCATATGTTTGAAATAATGTTACTGCAAATTCTGTATCAAATCAGTCATTAGAAGACGAAGACAAGTAAAGCCTTGTAGCACTGGTCCCAGAGTGCCAAGAACTATATTCAATCGATTAAAAAAGGGCTATTCACTGAAGTCTTGCTCAGGAATGTAGCTTACACAATACTGGGTGAACCCCCCCCCCCCCCCCCCAAAAAAAAAACCACCGGAACGGCATACTTCCACTACATTGAGACTCAAACTACCTGTACCAATGGTTTGAGAATCTTTTTAGATTATAAATGATACCAAGATCTCCCGATTCGGTCCAGTAGTTTTTGCTGCAGAGCCTATTTTGTGAAGACCACATCTTTCATTACATAATTAATTTCTCTATCCAATTAAAGTCAAAGTCGCAGGCGCGGTTTAGTAATTCATCGGGACAAAATGACTCTCGACTTGTTTCACAAAATAGGCTCTGGAACAAAATCTACTGGACCGAATCGTGCGATCTTTGTATCATTTTTCTTTTAACAAAATTCCCCATGCATTGGTATAGGATGTTTGAGTCTCAGGGTAGCGGAAGTACCCCATTGTTATTATTATTATTATATTTTTTTTGGGGGGGGGGACCTGTTTATGGCCGGATTATTTTGCCATTCATAAAAATAATCGTCTCGGGGTAATCCTATTTCAAACTTTTGGGACAAGTGTCACTCAGTCAGTGAGTCGATCAGTGAGGTACAAATAGGACCGTAAGGTGGCCCATCCAGGACGCGAATCTCCCCCCCCCCCCAAACGACATCCGCTTCCTATCTTCTGATTGCATTACATGCATATCTAATGCCTTGTTCTACACAACACAAACCCCAGATATGGCTTTACGTCTTGTGAGAAATGTTCCTTCTTCACTTTAGTTATTTAAAAGGTAAAATGAGAATAAGTGAAAAACGCTCACTGGGATTCGAACTCGGATCACCTGATTAGAAGTAAGGACTACTTCCAACCCAGTCCACGAATCGGTGATTAAAACATCATTATTCCTTGTTACATAACTTGTTCTCTTAAGCCCTGGACATCATGAATATGCATAACGCAGAGATACAGCGCCCTCTTTTGATATTATCGGATCTCGTTTGGGAAAAAATAATTCGCATCCGGGACCAGTAAAAACAGACACAAACTTCCATTCAACACTTCAATGTAACTTTATAATACAAATTTAATAAACTTTATTTGGAAGGCAATTGGAATATTTTTTTAACATTGTTAATCACACACATCTTGTACTTTTTCAATCATTTTAGATCTTGTAAGATCAAAGCAAACCTCCATCCTCCAAGACTACATCTGACCTGAGGAGGATTCTAAGACAATCTAGTCTTGCTTGATGCTTGTAAGTGTGTATCACCACTTTCTGATTGTTTGGGTCCAATCTGTCTCTCTTTTTTACTTCAATCTTAAAGGGAACATACAACATTTGCAAACATCAAAAAATAATTAAAAAATACCAAATTATTATGAAATACTCGACCAATAACGAATGAGTCTAAAGCATCCTGTAAAATCATGGCACCTGGTGTACTGTCATTTTCAAGAAAAGTGGTATTTTCGTATCAATTTCCAATGCTAGTCAGCCGACCAGGCGACCAGTGTTGGAAAAAAAGATGGTATTTGGAATGTTTCATTGGCCCAATAATAATAAGCGCCTTGTATCCATTGGTAATTTGGAGCTCTATGAATCCATTAATATTATTTGTTATTATTATACAAAAAAATTGAAAGGCAGATCTTAAACAATGAATCAATGGTTACTACAGCTTAGATAAAAAATGATGATATAAATAAATAATAATTCATTGAATAGGTGAACGATCTTGGTCAGTAATACATCAATATTTTGACCCTGTCAGGGCAGGCACTTTCTAGTGCTTAGCCATCAGTGCCCAAAATAAAAAAGATCTGATTCACCAATGTGATTCACTGATATAAGATTTGAGGCTTTGCATGGTGGGGTATCGGTATCGTTTCGGTTTGCGGTAACACCATGTGGTAATAACTACTGCTTAGAAGATATTAGTTCTGAAAAGAACTTGTCCTGCTTATTATCAACTTTGCTAAGTAGTTTTTTGTTCTGTTAAGAACAGTCCTGCTGTAAGTTCTAAACGAACTTGTCTTTGGTCTCTGTTGATAATAAGAGACCAAAAGACAAGTTCGTTTAGAACTTACAGCAGGACTGTTCTTAACAGAACAAAAACCTACTTAGCAAAGTTGATAATAAGCAGGACAAGTTCTTTTCAGAACTAATATCTTCTAAGCAGTAGTTATTACCACATGGTGTTACCGCAAACCGAAACGATAGTGATTCACTGAGTTATTAAAAAATGAGTGACTTTGTTAGGATTGCTTATCCTTGTTTTTGACCAAGACACCAATGGTCAGAGTGGAAGCCAGACTAATCCAGCCAAGTAGAGGGAAGAGAAGCTTGCTTGCAGTCTGATTGACTGGCCAGAACAGGTACGCTGTTGCTCCGGTTACTCCCAGGTACATCAGGATCTCTATGGTTGCCTGTGTAAAATGGGTACAGAAAACAAGGGTAGTGATCGTTGCATTTAGGAATGCTAGTGTGAAATGGATAAAAACCCAGGGTAAATTCTCATGGCTTCTGTTGTATCCTGTGTGAAATTGAACAACCTTAATTTAATCAAGGGTAAGATAACAGGACTTCCAGGGCAGCATGTGTGTACCTATTGACTGGAATTTCAGATGGCGGGTGAGGAGAATTACCAATCGTTTTACATTTGGTAGACATTGGAAGTGGAAGAAACAGACTCAGTGCATGACTTTGCCCAAAGACTTAGTGGACTTGTGGTATAAAAGCAAAACATTGTAACTGACGCTTTTGCATCATTTCCGTCCAGCCCACACTCAAGTCCTTTCCTCTCAAGTGAAGTAAAGGGACGATGCTGCAAATCTACCAACTCCTGTCTTGGGAACTTGGCACCTCCGTCATTATTAGCAAACTTGCTGCATGCGCAAATTAGCTGGAAAAAAATGTATGCACTGGATTTGATTCATGTTGTTGGTAGCACCTCTAAGGCTCCTACCACCGTGATGGCTTGATGTGCTTACCAGGGATTAGTACATCGGCAGCATCAACCCTAACCGTGCCAGACGCAACACAGTGCATCAAGTGGAAAAGTATGGTGCACTTTGATGCATTCAGCTACCAACACCACTGCATTAACAGCCACTTCTGAGACAATGAGAGCTAGTCCCATTAACCCTAACGTACCTAAATCCATCAAAATCCACACCCCTGTTTTGGAGGATTTCGGTGGATTCAGGATACCTCCATATTGAAAAAGTTGGGGGATTTTCATGGATTCAGGACAGTAAGCCTAGCGGTACTGCAGGATTTTGATGGATACAGGATACCTCCATATTGAGCAGTTGGGGGACTTTGATGGATTCAGGATCTCAACAGATTTACTACCGGCTAATTGGTGGATTCTGATGGACTCACTGGCCATCAACGATTTTTTGCATGGCAAAAGTGATGGATTTTGGCGGATTCAGGATACTTTCTAGTAAAAATACCTAAGGGGTTAGGGTTAAACAACGCCACAGTTGTATCCTGCTGCTTTCAGTGACCACAGACTCTGAGGCAGTTTGGCCTTGAGACTTTTGACCTGATGGATCTTGCTGCACTGAGCAGGCTTGTCACTTAGGCAAGAGGTGCAGGTTGCTGCATTTGGCAGGTTTTCTAGCCAAAATAACCTGGAGGGTTAGGGTTAAGGAAAAAAAAAATCCACCCTTGAACAACCCTAGGGCTTACCCAGCCTTTGAGATGATACTTGAAGAAAAGCGGTGTCCACAACCAGTTGAGAGCCAGAGATGCACCATACATTCCTAGCGGAACCACAGCTCCCTCAAATCCACCTGCAGAGATACGGACAGATGACATGCTAATAATTTGCAGTTTTTATGCTCCCTTCCAGTGCGGCCATGCGGTTAGGGTTTTGTGAGTCGTGATCAGAGGGTCAGGGCTCAAATCCTGCCACTGGCCATATATTGTGTCCTTGGGCAAGCCATTTCACCCCAACTTGCCTCTCTCCACCCAGGAGTATTATTGGGTACAGACATTTATGCAACAGAAATAAAGCGAATAAGCCGTGATAGTATACAAATATTGAGTGGCTCAGCGTGGAATGGGAGGAATATTATCGCAAGGTAAAATCTGGACTTTTCCATTTCACGAGACGAAGCCGAGTGAACTGGAAAAGTCCAGATTTCACCGAGCGATAATATTCCTCCCATTTCACAAATTAAAGCCACTCAATATTTGTTTTATATAATTGACATATAGATCCTTGCCATTTGATATATTTGAACTAATTTTATTTCAATACAAAATTGGTGAAAAAATTTATTTCTCTCTTCCAACCACCCCTTCACGGAAATGTTTGAACCCAACGCTGTAGCGCTTGCTCTTCGGAACAATACGTGCTACGTGCAACGCTGAACGCGCACACCAGCATGCATTTGCACACAAATACCACGTCATAATCCTAACTGTTCAATAGTATTTCCCATTCCCCATGGGCGGATAGTACTTTTTGAGCCGAGGCGTGAATGGGAGCAATAAAGAATGTCACGTGATGTCCGTTCCACCAATCAAATGACAAGGATCTGTAAGTCGGTTATATAATGAATGATAACAATCTGATTGCAAGTAGAATGGACGATGTGTCCTTTCCACAAAAGCTGAGGAACTTTGAGGACCTATTTAGAAAATAAGGCTTATGGCTTTGGGGTAATGAGAGCACAGAGGTAGGGTTAGTGGTCATGGAGGGAGGGTGTGGTAAGGTGTCTGTCTCTCATCAACAGTGTTGTGGTCGAGGAACTCATGATCCTTAAAGGTACAGTCCATCATTTGTAATTTATGCATTTTGTTTGTTTGAAGCAACAAACATGCTCAAAATCTAAAGAAGGGTGCTGAACAACAAACCTGATGAACATTCAAGAAAAAGAGCATTCAAAAGTTAATGAATCATGTTTTGAATTTGGCCTGAATTCAGCGTCCGAGACACGTTCTCGCTGAGCCGATTGCAGCTATGCAATGTCGCGCTCCGTTCCAACGAATTATAGCAACCACGTGCGTGTGTGCATCGTGTCAATGCTTGCACAGGCTTCGCCGAATAAAAAAACTGAACTACTAACGGAAATTTCCAACTGTGCAAAGCACCGTTGGAAAGGCCTACTTTCGTTGATTTCTTCAAAATGACAGCTTGCCAGAAAGACTAATTTCACAGGAAGTTTAGTCCCCTAACTATCTTTCAACCAAGTATGTTTTTCAACAATAATTAGGTCAGTTACTTTTTGGATAGCGGCCAATTATAGACTGTAGCTTTAAAGCCAGAGTCCATCATTTGCAATCTATCCAAAAAGTAGCTGGCATAATTATTGTTGAAAAACATACTTGGTTGAAAGATAGTAAGAAGACTAAACTCCATGTGAAACTATTCCTTCTGGCAAGCTGTCATTTTGAAGAAATCAACGAAAGGCGGCCTTTCCAACGATGCGTCTTAAGAAGCACCATTGGAAATTTCCGTTTGTAGAGTGTTTTTTTATTCGGCGAAAGTGCGCGCAAGCGTTGACACGACGCACACACGCCCGCGGTTGCTATAATTTGTCAGATCGGTGCACGACATTGCGTAGCTGCAATCGGCTCAGTGAGAACGCGTCTCAGACACTGAATACAGGCCCAATTCAAAACATGATTCAGCAACTTTTGATTTGAAATCGAGATCCTGGAATGTTGTTTTTCTCGAAATATACAGCTGAAGCTGAGCTGAAACTTCATCAGGTTAGTTGTTTAGCATCCTTCTTCAGATATTGAGCACTTTTGTTGCTTCAAACAAACAAAATGCACAAATTACAAATGATGGACTTTATCTAAGCAAACCAGTCATTAGTAAATCACAAGTTAATTCACATGTCCAGTCTCAAGTAACAGGGGATGAACAGTAACAAAGGAATGCCTTTGTCACCGTTCATTGGAGTAGCTCTGCCTTGTCAGTTGTCTTGGGGCTGGCACTGGATGACCTGTGACCGACTCATGATGTACTTGTGATTGGCTTGTGACAGCTTGTGATTCATCACAGCTACTACGACTACAACACTAGGACTCAAGTCATAATGACTTACCGCCATCTCTCCATACTAGATATGAAGCGTATCCCATTGTGCCGTACAGGTAGGTCCACACGGGACCGAACACCCAACTCGGGGGATTCCAAGGAACTTTCTTCAGTTCTTTATACCACTTCATGTTTGCCGAGTCCTTATTCCCCGTTATCCTCGCTCCCAAGAATCCTCCAACGTAAGGCAGTGCCACGGCACCGAAAATACGAGCCCATTCCGGCGACATTATTGCCTCTGTAGCTTATTCAGATCTAAAGTACAAGAACAGGAAAAACACATTAAAAAGTACTGTTTAACAGTTTCTGCTAAAGTTGTATCCCTTTAATGCAGAATAGCCGAATCTTGTGTCTGAAACTTAGTGTAATTTCCAGGTTCGTTTGCACATGTTTGTGTATCTAAATTCCAACATCAAAAATCATGCGCGTGCGCCTTGACTCAAGTCTATGTGACTGACGATCCAGCACACGCGTAACTTTTTCCAGGTTGGAAATTAGATACGCTAATGTGTGCAAACGAACCTGGAAATTACATGAAAAATAGACGTCTAAGAAAGGCGGGACTTCTTTTCTATCGCTGTAAAGTAGTCAGCACAACCAGCTTTTTTACTTGCACAAGTACTTGTACATGTATAGTTCGGGCGATTCACAATGCAGTGCGCCACCAAGAGTTTGCCACGGAGAGTTCATTTTTCCCAGTGCAGTGTTGGATATGGTCGACAAATTCGCAGCGCGGGACATTTGAAATTCTTAGTTTTTTCCGTTCAGTAGTTTTGTAAGCGTATGATTCCAGTATCTGTTTACCCTCTTGTTTTCTTTTTATCAATATGGTGTTTTTTGTAAGGCGGCAATTAGCCCGACTGCGTCTGGCCGTACAGTACTATCGCAAGCTCTGTAGTACGGCCAGACGCCCGATGCTTCCACAGAGACTGAATTTTGTTGGCCGCCGATGTAGCGATTTTGCTACATCTTTCGATCGCGATTATCTTTTCATCCAGGACACAAATTTCCAAAGTTAAGGTTCTTAGTCGTAGAGCAACTCATACCTTTTCGAAAAAACGTTCTTTGGTCTCAATATTTTTAGCCATCTGGCCACAAGACGAATTTCAGTCATCAGATTCCACAAATATCGTCCCCCATGCGATCCCCCATGCGATTTCAAAATGGCGGCCGCGCTGTAATGTTGCAATATGCAGGCGCGCCCGCGCAAAGTCATGAATATGCATAATTAGTCTGTGACGTATGACCTCGTGTTTTTGGACGTGCGTGCAGCGGGGCCGTACGGTCATACGTCACAGACTGTTTATGCATATTCATGACTTTGCGCGGGCGCGCCTGCATATTGCATACATTACAGCGCGGCCGCCATTTTGAAATCGCATGGGGGATCGCATGGGGGACGATATTTGTGGAATCTTATGACTGAAATTCGTCTTGTGGCCAGATGGCTAAAAATATTGAGACCAAAGAACATTTTTTTCGAAAAGGTATGAGTTGCTCTACGACTTAGAACCTTAACTTTGGAAATTTGTGTCCTGGATGAAAAGATAATCGCGATCGAAAGATGTAGCAAAATCGCTACATCGGCGGCCAACAAAATTCAGTCTCTGTGGAAGCATCGGGCGTCTGGCCGTACTACAGAGCTTGCGATAGTACTGTACGGCCAGACGCAGTCGGGCTAGGCGGCAATTAATGCCCAAATCTATAACATATAAGCTCAAGTTGTCTACTGACACTCATTCAAATTGTTCATGTTGTGTCGACCTTAAAATTGAAAAATAGACTCTCCATGGCAAACTCTTGGTGGCGCACTGCATTGTGAATCGCCCGAATTATCTGCACTTGACTGAACTTCTTACTCAGACACATGTGCAACACACAGTGCATTTATCCTCATACATATGAGGCCGCACTTTCAAAGAGGGTGAGTATGCTTCTAAAGCGTAAATAAACTAGTACAAACTAGTCTAGGCCCTAAATGTTAAAATCAAAATTTGACAAAGTTCTACATTTTCGGGTACATGTCCCAAGTGCTAGTGTGGCATTTACCGTGCGAGTGAGACGGCTTGGGATGTCTGGGATGCGTGGATGCACGGTGGATGAGCATGAAGTCATCAATAGAGGGCGCTTTATTTACCCCAGGACCCTCTACTGTATTTACCCTAGGACCCACTGCTTTATTTCCTTATCTAAAACCAACGTCAACCTATCCACTCATTCCGTCTTGGATGCGTGGATGCGTGGATGCGCGGATGCGGGGTGGGCATGAAGTAAATTTTAATCAATAGAGGGCGCTTTAGTGGATGCTTGGATGCTGAATTGGATGCGCGGAAGTCAATTTCAATCAATAGAGGGCGCTTTATTGGATGACTGGGAGCAACTATAGAATGCAGGGCCAGGGCCACGCCGGAGCAAGGGTTTTTTTCTGCTTGGAGGATGGAGTGGCCCTGTATTCTATAGTTGTACTGTGAAATGGCTAAATGTTTCAACGGTTCTCAGAACTTTTTGCAAAACTTCCACTGCGCGAGTACAAAATTACACGCCAAGTCACATCCTTACTATATAACTTATAGTTATAACTATAAGACAAGTGAGGGCGCGCCTTGCCTTCGCATGTTCGCCAGCCACTGCACTGCGCACTGCAACTGCAACCAAAAGTGCAAGTGCAACTCCGTCTTCTGACTAATTAACTCGCTTTATTTCCAAGACCCACATATTTAAGCAACAATTTTATAACCGATGTTTACAGGGGCAGGAGAACTTTAAAAGGAACCGAGGACCAAACCAAATGACCGCAGTTTTTGGGATACTTACAGTATTACACGGGGTCGATCTTACGTCCAGACAAGCGATCAACTCAGCATGTATGGCACCCTGCTACTTATATCACGTCAATGTGCATACAGTCTCATCATTTCCCAAGTTTTGGACAGTGGGACCAGACTGAAATCCATTTATGTAACTGTTAGTGTAAGCCATAGTCAGTAATGAACTTTAAATGTACGGCTAGTGGCTATGATCACGTCCGAATATACGTGATCATAGCCACAGCGGACTGCACGGGATTGGATTCTAGTCAATGGGCTTGAATTGTATAAGCCTTTTCGGAGTTCCAAATGTGCATTCATAACCTGCGACAACGCGCGCATTATTTGTCTCAAATGGCCCTTGACATCATTGCGCCACTGACTTTACAAAAAGGCTGTTTGTGCATTGTGGGTACTGTCAAAGGGCATTTGAGACAAATAATGTGCGTTATCACAGGTTACGAATGCGCGCAGTTGGAACTCCGAAAAGGGTTAGGCCCTATTAGTTTTATGGGAGATCCATGCATTTTTGGTTGGGGCGATCCAGGAATTTTCGCAGGGGGGGGGGGGGGGTTTCGTCGGCCAAAAAATCTGAACGTATAGACAGGTTTTTTTTCTCCGGACTCTTGGCCTCCGAAAATCAAAAGGTGATGGCCGGGGGGGGGGGGGGGGGGGGGGAGCTGGGGCTGGGGGAAAGGGGAGGGGGCGGGTGGGGGGGGGGGGCTCGTACCATCCTTTTAATGGGGCGCTGTTCAAATCCGACGATTAACACTACATCACAGAATAGGTTAGTATTGTTGGGGAATGGATGAGTCGATACACAATTCTTTGGTTGAGGACTGTGTTTACCGTGACTGTTTATTCCACAACAATTATGTTATTTACACATTGATTGATTGAACTGGTTACAGTGAATTGAGACAAAGAGAACTGAGTGAACTGACTGGATGAGCAGAACGAATTAAACTGACTACATGATTGGAATTGAAACAGAATAGAATAGACTGAAGAACTGCTAGTGGAGCAGCACTTATATACTGGTGGAAACAGGAAGTCTTGGGAATAAGAAATACTTAAGAATGGGGAAACTTAGTCATATCGTGGTTTCCTTGAGTCTCAGAAAAATGACTAGGAATGAGTAATATAGTTCCTTAAAACAATGATCTTGAAAGTAACTTGGTTGTACTAAGAAACTGACCAGTGACTTGTGTGTGGGCAGTGAAGGTCATTTACTCTGCATAAAAGTATAGGGACTACACATTGTATAGGCACTGTGTGGGTGTATGTGTATACAAAGAAAACGATGAGTAATGCATTCAGGAGAATTAATCTATAAAATGTTCAAAAGGAACATTGATAATTAAAGTGTGATAATTAACTAAGAATTAAGACAAATTGATAATTTAAGAATTGATAATCTGAAAACGCTACAGTATATACATCGACAGATGGTACAAGCCACCCCCCCTCCCCCACTCCCAGGTATTTTAACTACGGAGGCCAAGTCCGGAGAAAAAATTGTCTTCATTTTCAGCACGGGTGTGCAAGTGCCCTCTTCAAGAAATGTTTACCCCCAATCAAAATTACCAGCTTGCTACGCCACTGTTAACTTTTCATAACGATTCAAATGCAAATAATTTCTGTCAGCCCTGCCCACCTGATTCATGGAGTATTAACATTCCTCAGTAAGAATGCATTGTCAGTACCAGCAGCACAAGTAAACGAAAGGTATATAGGCCTATATTTAGCAAACGAATTCTTGAACCAAACCAAGACAGACTCCGATATAAGATGGACACGAGTTCAACAGATAAAGTCGATCAGCAACTCAAGGAACTTGCCGACAAACATGGGTTTTTGCGGCCAGATCGAGGAGATTTGGACAACCCACCGGCTCCATGGCGTGAGGGCAAGCCTGATTATCGCAAAGCAGATCTGCTATACTTCAAAGGAAAGACCATGAACCACAAGCCAGGTTCTCTTGAACTGATCGTTGAGAACTTGGTGAAGAAATGGGAAATGGAAGGTTCACATCTTCCTGACTACATGACCTGGACCACCATCAACAAGGAGAAATACAGGGTCCAGGCGAACGGCCAGAAGGTCTTCAGTGGTAAAGAGTCATCAACCATAGGTTACTACAACTGGTTGCTTTCCACTGCTTCCAAGGAGCTATACGACAGCGAGCAGCACACATTTGAGAGTTCCCACAGCGTCTTCCCAGGGGCGTTTCCTGATGGCTTTGCATGGGAGGTGTTGCAAGTTTTCTCAGGGCCGCCTAAGGTGGCTTTCTCCTGGCGTCACTGGTCCAATTTCAGCGGAGAGTACAAGGGCAGAGTGGGTGAGGGGCAACTGGTTGAAATGCACGGCTTCGCTATAGCTACAGTTGATGAGCAACTTCTCATCGGTCAGTTAGAGGTGTATTACAAACCAGATGAGTTCCTGAAGGCCATGGAAGGTAAAATACCGATATCTGATGTGTCAAGTGGGAAGGAGATATTGGGTACCGGATGCCCGATTCATCGTGAGAAGTAGATGGATGATATTTATGTAACTACATGTGCATGTACATCCTTTCCAAGAAAAACTATTGGGGCATAACAATGCTAATCACTGTTCTTGAATCGTGCAGGATCTAAAAAGAAAAAACTCTTGATATACGTAGTTAGATGATCCATAAAATAAAAGACGATAAAACCATATCAAGTTCAACAATAGAAAATATTGTTTATATAATGAGAGTAGTGGAACATTGCGTGTTTGTTTACGTATTACAAACCCTAACAAGAGTGGTTGCTTAAAAATTATAAATAAATTACCACTGGTTTTATAACCGCTATGTTCCAGTTATGTAATTCGTTTGTATTGTTAATCCTTATAAGATAACCATTTATTTTACTACACTGGTATATTTACAACACTATTCTATGTTATTCTTCATATTAATCCGTATGTAATTCTGTGGACCGCCACATGTGGTCATAATGTTAAGACAATGTAGATAATCGGATGATTATCATTTAAAATGTATCTTGAGATGTCTCAAGTTTTCGGGTATGTGTAACTTATATAATATTTTTTTTCAAACCAAACAAATTATTTTTGAATACTAATATTTTTACCTGTCGATTTACTCTTTACAACAATCTTTTTTGGGGGAATGTGTAACATTGAATTTTTTTTTCGTCATCCTTTAAAGTTTTGAGCATTTTGGGGTTACTGTATACAACTATACATTGTACATACTATTAGTTATCCCGCGAGCGCGAGTGGAACATAAAGAAAGATTGTGAAAGAAAGCAAAATGAACGGTACTTTCAAAATATGTTTCGATATTTGCGAGTTTTTTAAAGCTGTTGTCACAGGTTAATCTCAAGCTTTGTCTGAGGACCTATGTCGGTTCGTTGTATAATGACGGAACTTTGCTCAGAATAAAAATCACACAGATAGCAGAAATTAAAGTTGGTCCTTTCCTCTATGAATTCACTCTGTAATTATTTCATCAACACATCATAAATCGTCAATGTCAACAGTGATTGGTCAAGAATCAATGGTAAAAGAATCACCAAAAATTCAAAATATTTGTGTGACCTTCAGTGGTGTAACGTTTCAAACAACAATGCAATTCAAACAATGGAAAGAACAAACAACTGCAACAAAAGTTAATTTCAAAGACCAAAAAATATCAAAGAATGTGAAAGACAATATTACCAAAATCTCAGATCATCTGAATCAAAAGAAAAGAATTTGCAAAGTACTTAAGGTCAACAAACTTCAAATGTTGTGTAAGTCAAAAGTCTGGGGCAACTGTAGGAAAGAGTTATTACTTAAAATCCATGTAATAATGAAACGATTTGCCAGAAGTATACTTGATGTTAGAGATGTTAAGCAAAGTTGTACAGTCCACCTTTTCGAAGAACTTGGATGGTTACCAATTGATATTCGAATTAACTATTTTGAAACATTGCAAATGTTCAACATTGTCCATGGTAATGCTCCATCTTATCTAAAGGACATGTTCACACCGGTTAATTCAGTTCACTCTTATAATACAAGAAGCAATCAACCCAACACCTTTTATACACCTAGATATGTGTCAACTACTGGTCAGAGATCATTCAGGTACAGGGGTGGTACCATTTGGAACAAGCTGAGTGGGGAACTAAAGACTGTTACGAATGTCGAAACATTTAAGCAGAGGCTACTTCACTGTTTAAAACAAAATCTGTATAAGTGTGATTCTTTCCCCATTGACTGTAATTATTAGATGGACACACCGGTATATTAATGTACATGTATGTCTATTTTTTATTTGTTTTCTCTTTAGTCCCAGCAGACTCTTTTTCCAAGGTTGGTTTTTCCTCGAGTGTTGACAGAAGGGTGGATGTGGCGAGGGGGGGGGGGGGTGGTAGTGTCGCATTCTAATGGTTCTCCTCTACCACGTTTTTGAATATCTCTATTTTACCTATTGTATTGGATGTGAACCTTTAAGGTATTTTTATAGTTTTGATTTTTCTAGTGGCACTATCATTGTGAATTGATCTGTGTTTTGTATGTATGTATGTATGTATAGTCTTAATTAAGTTATGTAATTTTAATAATGTTTAAATTGATAGATGGCCCATTGAAAATCATCTGTTAGGTGACATGGCTACCATCTGTAAATATTATTATTATTATTATTAAAAGTCAACAGTATGCATAGGTTCAGCATGAATAAATACAAACAAGCTCAATGAAGTCAAACCACTGAAACATCAACACAAAGAGTCATAGCAAAAATCAATGAATACAACAAACAAATACAATATGAATTTTATACAATATGTATAATTATAAGGTCTTAGCTGGGTCCAAAGCGTCGCGAAGCTCGTCTTGATTGCCGATGCGGTGTCGTACTCGGATGGGGTCCGGGTAGGGCAGCAGCGTCCTGGCGAAGTCCAGCGGACGGTGGTCCAGACGAAGAGGTGGTGGTGGTGAGAAGCAGGAACAGGCCGGGCGAAGAATCGAACCGGGTCGACTCCTCAAAGCGTGACCTGGGGACTCCGTGTTCTGTATCAACAAAAGCACCTGGCAAATGATGCAAGAAGGAGTAAGGAACGTCTCTCACGAGAAAATGACTTAGTGAAGTCCGCACTCGTTCCTAGGCTAACTTATCAAAAGTGCAAAGGGTAGCACTCTAAGATATTCTCGCATCGAGGTCTTCTTCGCTTCTTATTTAGAACCAACTTTGTATTAAAATTACTAACTACAAAAAACATTAAAAACTGAGATTACAAATAGTATTAAGTAAGCCAAAATAGTGTAACAACTAATAAAAACTAAAGTTTATGGTGTTCGCCCAGAACATTATTCTAAATCAGAAACAAGAATCGGAACAAGGAAGTGGTTTGTGCACGTGCATGCTTGACACATGAGATTTAGTCGTGTGGGGGGCAAAGGGCATGATTGCTCACTTATTCTCAACCGCAACCGGTCGCAAGACACACTAACTATAATTGAATGGGATGCGTGAAAAAACCTTAAACCAGTGGTCATCTCGAAGTAACGACACATATAATGTAAAGTACTCAAAAGCAAATCCTAGAACGAATGGGACTTACACGCACGTATTTTGTACTTGTGTGTACACAGAGTAAATACAAGTTTCACAACTGCTCATGATGACTTGGACATGCACTCAAATGTTTTAGCCAAAAAAAAAGACAGTGTGCGTGTGGGCGCTGACCCTACTCAAGGTCACCTTGGGGTACAATTACACAAGATACTCAATCCCGTGTCCGTGGTAACAGAACTAACAAGAACCAGCACAGGTGGTAATTTAGATCAGATCAGAATCAAAGTGGGACACAATGAATAGGTGAGGGATGGCAATAAGCTATGGCGTGTCAAACGTTGCAATATTCAATGTTTTACAATATACATGTTAAATGTTCAATATGTGTTTGTTATCTTTTACATTTATGTGCGATGTTTTTCATTATGTGTGCGATGTTTAATATATGTGTGCAATGTTTTACAATATATGTGCGATGTTCAATATACAGTATGTATGCGATGTTTTACATTTATATGCGATTTTCAATTTATATGTGCGATGTTTGACGATATATATGTGCGATGTTTTCAATATTATGTTCGAAGTTTTACATTAAATGTGCGATGTTTTTTCGATACAATTGTGTGTGATGTCTACAATATATTTGCGATATATTCTTAAATATGTGAGCGATGTTTTACCAACATATGTTTTACATTTCGAGCAATAGGTATTCGATGTTTCATCGGTATATTTGTATTCGATCTTTTGCAATATGCATTTGATGTTTCACTTTTCATTTGATGTTTCGTTAAGAGTTACAGTCTGGTTAGTAGACCGCGAAAGTCTGACTATTTTGCCTAAAGTCAGTGCATGAGACGTCAGGGGATCGCGTAAGTGATTAGAGCCAGACCTAAACGGTAAAAACCGAAATTGTGGGTAATCTTGGATCATGTGAAAAGCAGTCGTCATTGTTTGGGCAGTACCGCCAGCTGCATGCTTTCGTAATTTTGATGTTTATGATGTTAGCATGGCGCTATAAAAACCAATCTGCGCAGTACCGGTGTCACGGTCTCACTTCTCCGGCGTGCTAGCTTAAATGAGACATCAAGAAGTTACCCTCATGATTAGTTTTGTGATAATTATATAGGCCTGGACCTACTTGAAAATTTCGAATTATCAGACAATAATGCAGTAAAACAACACTACAACGAACACCGCTATAACAATCATGTGGCTACCGCAAACATTCCCTTTAATGTGTATATTCAATTGTTTTATAGGTTTCCAGGCTATTTTAAAATGTTTATCATTCGAATTCACCGTTTCAAATATTCAAATGCATCCATCAACATCGATTTAGTGCACTTCCAATGTTTGATTTCGTCTTTTGTCAGACAATTTCAAATGCACTTCAAGCAAATTCAAACACGTTTTCGTCCCGGAGTATTCCATTTCGTCTCGCCTACGCCAAACCTTGTTATTCAGAAATCAAATTCGTCTAATTGATTTACACAGGCTAAGACGAATTCGATCTCTGAATGCTGCCCTTCAGAAAATGTTAGACGAATTTGATCTGCAAAGACGAATATTTGCGACCCTGTGACTAAAGAGGATGACCAAATTTTGAAATTGAATGGCAAATGACTAAATTGGTTTGCTAAAAGCGTGCTATTTTTTTCTCGGACGAAATTGAATGAAACATGTTTTAAAATAGCCGGGAAAACCTATATAATTCGCAATCACTACAACGAACGACCACTACAACAAACATTTTTGACAGACTCCGTCTTGTTCATATAATGTGACGTTCTAGGTAGAGCCCTTGTACAACCTATGGGCGTCGGGGGGGGGGGGGGGGGCAAAGGGAGCAGGGGCGTAACTGGGGTGAAACATCTGGGGGAACCTGGGGAAGCACACATTTGTTCGAGAGGGCAACGAAAAACTGCCGCTTGCCTTTTTTCGTTTTTGGACTGATAAAGGCCAATCTACGTGT